TACTTAGCTTAATAAACTTAATAATAAAGTTATTAATTTTTTTACTTTACTTAGCTATAATGCTTTTAGCTATATTAAGTATTAAAAGTTCTTTATAGTTTTTTAAGGTATATAAACCCTAATTTAGTAAAAAGAAAATAAGCTTAAAGAGCTTACTATAAAAAGTTATTTTTAGTAATATCTTTATATTATAAGGTTAAGGGTAAATTAGGCTTAGTTAATATTACTTTATACTTTATAGCTATAGCTTTAAGGCTATAAATATAAGTTACTTAGTAACTTAAAAAGAAAAGGTAAATATAAAGAAAAGGTTAAATAGATAAAGGTTTTAAAGAAAATATATTTATAGTAGCTATATAGTTAGCTATAAAGAAAGAAAGGTTAAAAGAACTAGTAAAGGTTTAAAGAAAAATATATATATAGTAGCTATATTATTAAAGGAAAGGTTAAACTAATTAAGGTTAGGGAATATTAAGTTATAAGGTAGCGAAAGATTGGTTATAATAAAGTTATCTTAATATAATGGCGAGATCTTTACACTTACCTGATTTTAAGGAACCTTCCCCGCAATCATACCGTAGCTTCATCCCTCCCTTTCGACATCCTTCATAAACTCTCAATACAACTCTCCCCAGATTCATTAGTTCTACAAACTTGCCTTTGGTCTGTGATCGAACCTCATCGCCAAGAATGTCTCCAGCTTCAAAATCTGCAACACGGTCCAAAACCCTTCACAAGCGCTCATTGCAGGCATGTATGATCTGTCGGTCAAGAAAGGTCCGATGCGACGTGTCAGTACACGGCCAGCCATGCACGAATTGCTCTCTAGACGATAAAGAATGTCAGTTATCGAAAGCCCCAGCTGTATGGTAAGTCATAAAATACTTTGCATCTCTGCTTATCTCGGTTGACACGTCGTTTCAGGACCCAGAAGGCTTCCGAAAGACGAGCCTTGCGTAAAGACGAGCCTTGCGTAGTGCAATTAAGACACCCGACATCCGAAACAGTGACCTTGCCTCAGATGTGACTAAACAGTTGAGTCTGGATAGCCAGATATTACTACCACAGCTCACCAGCCCAAGTTTCCCGTTACAGACAGTAAGCACTGGTGATCCATGGCAAAGCTGGCAAATGGACTCTCTGGACTTTGCCTCCATACCCGATCCTACCGCTTTCGATAGCTGGAGCTCCTCTTTGCCCATTGAGAAGCAGCCTCGTTTGGATCCTATTAGTGAGTATCTCTGTGACTTGGCACGCTATGTTCGATCGCTAATAACAAGAAAGGAAATATCTTTCAACATGGTATAGCGTCACCGAGTGACGCAGGTAGCACGAGAGATGGGGTCGTTTTGTACTCCTACTTCCGATTTCTGACGGTCGGGAATCTTCATGCCATTCCCTATCAAGACGTCACGTATCTAGAAGCTCAAGGCTGTTTGCACGTCCCTAATCCCCTAATCTTGGACGTCTTTATGAAGGCGTACTTTATATACGCCCATGCATTTATACCTCTCGTTGACGAGGGAGAGTTCTGGGAAATGCTCTCTCCAAACACAAGCAGCTCACCCAATACCATGATATCGCTTCTCGTCCTTCGGGCTATGCTATTTGCTAGCAGTGCTATATGTTGCTCTCGAGGCTTCCTTACTAGTTTCGGTGAAACTGCCTGCTAATGATCAATAATATGTTCCTCTTCCCGTTCTGCGCCAACTTGGATATCATGACATATGCTCCGCGAGGGCTGATCTATATCGAAAAGCAAAGGTAAGTCCAAATTATTGTATGATGACCAAGGCTGACATTTCAAAGCTTCTGTTTGATATGGAAGCTGAGACATCTCATCTGCCACTTGCTCAGTCTGCTTTATTACTCATGAGCTGGGTTCCTGAATCGCCTACCACAACTTCACGTGTACCTTACAGAACATGGCTAAGCATAGCGATCCATCATGCCAAGCTCATCAACGCCCAGCGCCACGCAGGAATATGTGACGTTGGAACAACGACAAACGAACCACGGTCAAGAACACTTCGAAGGTTTTGGTGGTGCTGCATTATCTGTGACAGATTATCGTCTCTCGCCTGTCGCTTCCGTCTTCAGATCACGCCTGATATTCTTGACATGGAGAACTTCGTACCGTTGGGTTTCGCCGATTTACAGAGCGAAATACATCGATCAAATGTTTTCTCGCCTGCGATCAAGCGCCAACTTATATCTCTGTTCTCTAAGAACCTGAGCCTGTTGATGATACTCACAGAGGTTATTCCAGTTGCGTATCCTTTTGAGACACGCCTCGAATCAAATCCAGACTTCTCGGTCCGGGAAGATAGGAATATCAGTAAGTCCTGCGATCTTCTCGAGGAATGGTATAATTCAGCCAAGGCTGAGTTTCCTCCCTTGCATAAACCCATCGCAGCCGCGGAAGACGATTCAGCCACTCCCATCGCTGTACATACAAACCTTATGTATATTTACTACTAGTATGTTCCGGAAACCCCTGTATCTGTAGAAGATAGACTGATCGCATCCAGCACGTCTTGCATTGCTCTCTGTAATCGCAGAGTTTTCACGCAAATTTCCGGAACGGGTAGCCCCGACTATCATATTGAAAGTTTTCAAGATGGCAACAGAGGCAATGATATTCGTGGCGATATCGAAGACTCTGTCCTAGGTGTGTCTAAATGCATAGGCTCATTGACAGGGTCTCACTTGGCAAAGTATCTTCCCATCACAGTGTAAGAAAGCCTAGCTCTCCCTTCCGATTCCCTGTAAGCGTATATGCTGACGAGATTGCTACAAAGCTCGGGCTGCCTTGCAATCCCCCTTGCGTTGCATCATATGAACACAATCCTATCCTATGAAGACGACGTAGTTCCAAGCCATATCGGAGGATGGCTCCCCTTGAGCCTTGATCCAACACAGCAACACCTACAAGTCGTGACAGACGCATCGGACACTTTCTCAGCTCAATACTACGGTTCCCACTGGGTCAGAGAAGCAGCAGAACACGTCGCCAAGCTAGCCAAGTCGTTCAACAAGCTTTCGTTGCAATCCGGTCAAGGCGCGATGAAGGACTGGGTCGACATTCTCGTGAGACACCCAGAGACATATCTGGGCCTTGTGTGGACAGTGGATATGTGTATTAATCGGAGGAAGCTGCCTGAAGCTCAAGACTTTCCTTTATGCCTCCGCAACGATGTAGAGAGGCTTAGCACAGCGCCGAAGAAGGCAGACCAAGACATACTAGACTCTCAGCCTTTGGATGGGTCGAAGAGCATTCAGCTTACGCAGTCACTGAATTATCTGTTAGGTATACAGGAACCCATGATAGGTGTCCTATAGGACATTGTCACATAGTTATTAATGACATCAAGTATCAGTCAGGCAACTTTGTTCATATCTCAACGCAAGGGTATTAGTTGGTCTTCCTGTTTATTACTCTTCCTCGGCCCTATTCAGCTTTCATAGCGAATGGGCACCCAGGACCACTCCACTCAGATCTGATATACTGGCAATATGCTTGATCACTCCCCCTAATATCCTCTTTCCTCGCCTTTGCCTTCTCCACATCCAACGTCTCAATCTTCTTCCAAAATGACTCCCGCGGATCCGGCAAAAGCGTCTCAGCAAGACTCATAGCTATCCCAACGAAAAGCACAATCAGCCACTGAAAGATGGGGTTAACAGGTTCGACCTGCATTGCTCTGAGAGTTGTAGGTAGTGTAAGAGCTTTCACTATTGACACTCCTAGCCATCGGAAGCCGTAGGGAAAGTATCGGAACGCGAATTGATTGAAGATGGCCAGACCGATGTATTGCATCTTCACATCGAACTCGCGTTTCTCATTCTCGTAATCTTCACAAAACTGGATACATCCATCAAAGTCTTGAGGATATCCGCAGACAGAGTTCCCGTCCTCTCTGATAAACAGCGGCGTCATATCCCGCCAAAAGTGGTGAGCCGCGATCTTTTCCTTTTCAGTGAAGCCTGATAGTCCCAGCCGAAGACGAAGACGGTGCATTAATACAGCACTGAAAGTCGTGACGTATAGAAAATCTTCGTTGAACGAGAAGTTGCCAGGGTAACGGCGCGCCAGAGACATGTGAAGGTTGTTGATGTGCTCAACTGCATCTCGACATCTTCTATCGTTTGGCCCATAGTGCCACCACGTCATGTTGTAGTTTTCGGTATCTTCGACGCGCTGGGCTCCTCGCTTGACAACCTTGCCACCGTCTGAGCGCCAGACCGTCTCGCAGCCGTGTGTGGTAATGATGAAATTGGGGAAGGTGAGGGCGTAGATCATGTTGTTCATGAAATCATTTGATCGGTAGCAAGACATGAGCCGCCACATGAGTTCATAGTCATACTCTGGATCGAGGCTGTTGATGGTGTCATTGAGCCAGTGATAGCCCCCAGGGGATATTTCTTTAGACATGATTGATGGAAAACAAGTGAAATGAATTTGACAGTAATTGATATTGTGATGAATATGATATTCTTTCAGAAGCTTATATTCTATGCACGTTGTTTCTGTCAACACTTCCAATCAATTGTACCAACCCTCCCCACAAATTGCTGCAATATCGTGCCGATAGTTCCCCGTGGGGAAACACGCGTCAGGGCGAACAGAAAACGCGAATGCCGCTGACTAAGCGGTCCTCGTTTCACATTTCGATCGCCGAGATGTATTAAACCTACCAACTGCCGAGTCTCGGATCCGATACTACTGATAACTCATGGGTACGATTCTCGTGATCCTTTCTACTAAGACACGACTACGTAGTCACTGGCTATCACCTGCGGTCACCGTCTTCGTTATCGTTGTCTCAAAAAAGCTCATTTTATGACGCGCGACGCGTTTTATCACTTTACGTCATGGGCTTTTGTGGCACCAAAATATTCAGATTACCATTGTGTCTGTTCGAACCACCGCTGAGAATCACTAGCAAAGAAATGGCCCAGCTCAAGTTCATCCCCGAACCCAAGCGTTGATGTCTCCCAGGTCGGCATCGTTGAGAGTAGATCAGACTCCATGTCAAAATTAATAGGGCCCCCTTCCGCCGTCAGGTATGATCCCAAAGATTCATTATTAAGGTCAGCTTGGGTCGTGGTGCTCGCATCTAAGAAGTTGTCAATGATGCGAAATGTACAAGAAGACAATGAGCAATACTAACCCCAGGCGCTCACAATCCGGAGAAGTTGTTGTACGAATTTGACGCAGCGTAGGACCAGAGTGTTGTTATCGCTGAGCTTCAAAAGAGCCTCGCAAGTCTTGCCGAGATATCGTTTCGCACTTTCGAGGCGGCCAGCGTTTCCAGCTTCAGCGCCGAAAGATATCAACAGGCTACCAAAGATTGCCAATGCTGCACTGAAGGCTGTCCCACAAGTCAACTCACCATATAGTATCCATGGGGTTGATTACTTACCATAGTAGAGAGTGAACCACCACGCCCCAATCAAATGACGCCCATGATCAGGCCTCGTCAATATGGTGTATATAATATCTATGATGTTTTCCGCGACTTGAACAAAGACTCTGTCAAAGTTGGCATGCATGCTGTTGATAGACCCCGCGTGGCGATATGGCGTTTTGGCCTCTCTCAGCAGAGTACCTAGAGACCGAATGAAGATTGGGCGATGGAGGAGTAGTTGAACGTTGAGGTATCTGAGCGTAAGAATGATTCTGAACTTTTCCCGTAATGGATCTCGGATATTCTCATCCGTATTATCTGGCATGTTGTCGACAGACCGCAAACCTAGATGCTGAGGCAAATTATTTTGCCAGTCTGAGAGCTCCTGGCCGAACTGGATCATTGATGTCATTGTGGCTGTATCTGATGACTGGTCTTCACATCCAAGGTTACTACCATAAAGTGAACCAATGATTCGCCCCATGATCCTGTAGAGAGTTCTAGAAACGTCAGGTCAGTGTTTCGCCACCAAGGTACGGTGGCTTCTTACATAGAAGCATTGTAGAATGCAGTGCTCATCTTATGCACTTCATCCGAATTTGAGATTGGTACTGGTAGTGGCTTTGGAAGATCCAAGCGGATGTACTCTTCTGGGATAGCACATGGGCGGCCAAACGTGAGGCTCAGACTTCTATAGTTGTGTCAGCTAGAACATCTGCTTGGCCTTGGCCGTCTTAACTGATGGGAGAACCAACCTATCAAGCAAGATGCATCCGAACCAAGTGCGTTTCCTTATCTCTTGCTGGAGAGGAGTAAACTTTGACGCTATGTCCCTCGAGTGAAGTCCGATAGACATGGCAGCTTTGACAGCGAGGCCGTGAATGGTCCACGTATGAACAGACTTGTGCGTCCCCTGGAGATACTGACTTGTGAGTAAGAGGTATTGGACTTAACAATGTCAGTCCTAGAACGCGAGGTGTAGTTAACAGAGGCTATCACCTGTTTCAAGAGTAGTCCCCCTAAACATCTGAGTATGGCAAAGCTCCTGGGCCCTGCGATAGTAAACATCCGACTCCTCAAAAGTAGTCTCACTTCCCGAGTCCTCCCAGCAAGAAGTACAAGTTGCCATTGCAAGGATCATATTCAGGAGGCCGAGCCAAGTCCGACGAACATTACCTCGAAAGCCACTTGCTCGGAATCTCTCATAAGTGTCAAGAAACTCTTGCTCGTGTATGTACGGAAACAAGAGTCCTGTGTTGTCAAAGTACGCACGGATGAGACGTTGCATGACCTTATCTGGCGGTAGGAGGTTGGCGCCCGCCTTTTGAGAGTCGCTCGAGGCCGCTGGAAAGGCGTTCAAATTACTCACTAGCCCACCTTCATAGGCACTGTACTCTGATGCTGGTGTTAATGAAGTCTGGTCGCAGTGCTGTGTTCTTTTTGTATCGACAGCTCGCAATATGTGTCGCATAAGTGCGATGTTGGATGACGGCCCTAGAGAATGGCGTGAGACAAGATCAACAAAAGGGACAAACCGTGTTGGCGTACCAAAGAAACCGCAGTCTTGCTCATCTACGAAGGAAACAGCCATGCCATCAGTCATACTCTGACCAGCACCATTTTCCGGTATCTCATCGATGTTGACCACCACATCTCCAGGTTGGTGATGAAGTGGAAGCGTTACATCTTGCCTTGAACTTGCTGGAGTCTTTAGTGTACCCTCAACCAAATTCAGTCTAATATTGTGCTGTTCGATATTCGTTTCCAATAGCTTCACTTTGGCCTCCAATGCAGCAAAGAGGCTGGAGATAACTTCATATTAGACAATTGCATTCATGCCAGTCCAGGGTAGTGAAGGGTGGACGCCTTACTCTTTTGGGACTAGAAGATTCGCAGAGGTTTCTTGCTGTTCGTATGAACAATCGAATCCAAGCTTATCGCACGTATCACATCTTGGTCGCACTCCATTGCACTAAGTCATTAGTTATTAATCGTCCAATAACGCGTGAGAGATAAACTCTACCCGTGATTTGCGGATTCTGCACGCCGAACAAGCCAGCGCGACTCGGCGTCTCTTTGGCGCGGGCTCCGACGCGTTTCCTTTTGGCGGCTGAGACGTTCCGCTTTTGGCCGAAGCTGGTGGAGAGTCATCTCGGGGGGTCATGATGGTACGATTGGAGATGCAACGAGTAGCCTTTGATCGGGGCAACATTGGGATGGGCCGAGTTTTGTATCCAAGTTGACAAATCTTGACTACGCATTTCCCCAGAATTATTGAGACAAGAAACTTGGGATCACGGCACATCCAAACTCTGTTCCATCTTTGGTTTGGGCTGTGTTGATCAAACCAATTGGAATGTTGTATCTTGTTCCGTCTCCATCTCGCTTCTGATGCTTCTGGGGTTGGAGGCTGCGCCTTCGTTACACTGGCGCAAATACAACTCTCTCAATTGGCTTAGTGACTGCTCTGGTGTCCACTTGACCATGTTAGCTCCACTTTCGGGGCACCATCGGGACGAACGGCACAAGAAGCTCAAGTATCAAAACAGGCTCAAGACATATACTTCCTGCAGTGAGCATTCGTTGTCCAAGAATTATAGTGACAAGTAATTGAACATATCAAAACTCGCAATGAAGGTAGCTTGGCAACGTTTAATCCGATTCGTCTCAACCGACGGGCGTCTGTTGCGTGGAGAACCCATCCTCCCGACTCCCGACTTTGATCTTGGAAACACCACGGAAGAGACGAAACTTCAGGCTCGAGTCATTGAAGGAGATGACCTTTACAACACAACCGGTGCCACTCGTGTTACAGATGAAGTGGTTACAGTCAAGACTTTATTAGGCCCCCTTGTTGCTAGCGACGTATCCATTCTCAGATGCGTGGGACTCAACTACGCTACACACAGTGAGTAGTTATTTTCATCAAGCCTTAGCATCGCCGCATTAACACGGCGACAGTTCGTGAAGCTGGACGCAAGACGCCACCTTTTCCTTCCATCTTCTTCAAGCCTTCGACAACAATACATGACCATGGGGTCAACGTGGTGATCCCCAAAGTCGCCCAGGATGATCAAGCAGATTACGAGGGAGAACTGGTACGCTCCAAGCCTTCCTACTACCGATTCATACTGACAGATTTAGGTCGTTGTCATTGGCAAGGATGCCAAAAACGTCAAGGAGAGTGAGGCCCTTGACTACGTCGCTGCTTATACGGCAGGCAACGACATTTCCTCTCGGAAATGGCAAAGAGATCCTAATCTCGCTGGCGGAGTCCCACAATGGGGATTCTCCAAGGGTTTCGATACCTTTGCGCCTTTAGGCCCCGCCCTGGTTTCAAGTTCTGTGATAACAGCACCCGAGAAACTCCATCTGCAGACAATCGTCGACAAGGATATTCGACAGGACGCAGGACTAGATGACCTTGTCTTTTCCATCCCACGTTTAATCGCACATCTTTCTTCTGGGACTACCCTGCAGAAAGGAAGTATTATTATGACCGGTACTCCCGGAGGTAAGTCATTCCAATGGCTGGATTTGATCTGAACATGAACTGACGGGTGAACGTGTAGGTGTTGGCGCTGGGTTACAGCCACCAAAATACCTTGTACCCGGAACTCAGATGGAGGTCAAGATTACTCAGATTGGTACTCTGAAGAACGGCGTTGATTTTGAGTAGCCAGGTATCATTGGGCACAAGGAGAAATAAACATATAGAGCCATACAATGAAATAGATATCAGTGTATCCAAGCTACGTCCTACTTGAAGAATGTGAAGTTTAATGTTCTTCGCGTCACATAGTAAATAGGGCTAGAGTATGCATAGAGGAAGAGAAAGTGTTATTTAGCCTCCAGGGTTGATATAAACTAGCTCTTAAGGGAGTGACATTTAAGGTAAAGAAAACAACAGAAAAATCGAAAACCACAACACATCCAATCATGATAAAGAGCGAAAAGTCCGACCACTGCCCAGGCCCCCGGGTACCCTATGACAAGCACACCGTTTTCACTACTAAGCCGAAGCATAGCCCAACTAGATAGAGGTAGCAGCAACACGCTGGATGAGGAATTGGGGTGCAGGTCCAGAGGCGTCAGACTGATAAGCCAGATGGGGAGCAACAACAATCAAGGAGCCAGTGCAAACCAAGTCCCCAACGTTGCAGAAAACGAGGGTTCGCTCTCGGGGGTAGTTTGGAATGCGGCCGAGATTCTGCAGGTTCTTGGTATATCCAAACAGCACAGTGCCAACGACCTTGTTGCGCACAGCAGTACTAAGATCCTCAATACTGGCTGCAGCAAGGGCAGCACCTTGACTGTAACCCCCGGCCACAATCTTGGCTGAAGGGCACTTTGAGTTTGCAAGGTTGAACAGTCCGATCATCTCTCGAATGGCTGCCGAAGAGGTTCCTCGGGGAAGGGCGTTATCCCCAAGGGTAGCACGGTATGCACCACCGACCTATGATTCAAACAGTCAGAAAGCAAAACTGGACATCATATAGCAAAGGTACTCACTCCTTGGATCCAGACACCGTTACTTCCGTAGTTACTCTCAAGCACAGAGGCAACTCGAGGACCAAGCGTTCCCTATCAAGTCAGTCAAGTCGATCTGAGTATCAGTGAACACAGACAAAACTCACCAAGTTTCCAAGCTCAGTGGACCCTCGAGCATAGATGAAAATAACAGGGGGGCAAGCAGACGACGCGCCGTTGGAAAGGTCATCGCGAGTGATGCTTCCAGATTGACGTTTCTCAAGCTCAGCAAGAATTTCACGCTCAGAGAGAGGGTTCGAAGTGGGAAGGGCGACGGACGCAGCAGCGAAGAGTGAGAGGATGGTGATGAACTTCATGATTGATATGAGTTAATGATTGGGTTGATGTATTGTGAGTTGCTCTTGATTGTGGAATGATTGAGAAGCTTGCGAGATGAAGAAAGTCATTTCAACGGGACAATCTCATCTATTTATCATAATTTGTCAAGGTACTTCCCCTTCACCATTCTCTCATACCTCTATACTCAATTCCATCTCATAGTCTGCGATTTTCTTCATCTCATCTGCTAACCTCCCAAGCATTCTCCAAACCTCGGCTCCATTCCTCAAGGAGGGGAAGCTCATACACACAAATATCTTACCTTCACTCATCATAAGACCAAAACCCCGCATTTTACAACACCACCATCAGGCTCTTCGACGAATCACTTAATAAAACACTGTCTCAGGAGCTATTGCACTAGAGTATGATTCTCGGAGCTTCGTTACTTTGCATCGTTTTAGGAAATGCCAACAACGTTTTGTCGGCCTAGCCTTTTCGGTAGCAATCTCACGATGCGGAACTCTACCGAGTTAAACTCACTAGTTCCCTTGGTTAGTGTTGTTTGAATGGCGGGATATTTTAAAGAAGGGCGCTAATCCAGGGACAGATCATCTTGCGAAAATAGCTATACACCAAGATTATACCGAGGTCATCTTATTGAAGCAACCAAGGAAGGGATCAGCGGATGGATATTAACCGCCAAGAAGATATTACCACCAAGATTAATGATTTAGCGGTCAAGGGCTCAGAATAGTCCTCATGTGTGCTACGGCTTCCGGGTTAGATCAAAAACCCCAAGATTGAGGAGTGACTCAACCTCGGCACGTTAGTCAAATAGTACTTGGCAGCGAGTTTATGCATAATTCAACCAATAGTATGAACTTGGGACCTCTTGGTAGTATCTAATAAATTAAAAGAAACTGTTTACCTGGAACTATCGTCTGGATCCTTACGTGAGACAGGTAACAGGTATCTAGACATAGAGCTAAGTTATAGGAGGGACGAAGCTTATATCGGAAAAAGATATCGTGCTATTATTTATTACTTGTGTTTGCAGACTAACGCTTAACCTTATAGGCAGCAGTATTTCCCTTAGATAGGAGTGAAGAAAAAGTCAGTTTCGTGTCCATTCTATATCACCACACTGTAATACATTTTAAGCTACTTTGTCACCGTGTCTCTTTCCCTCAACTACTATCTGGAGCGCCGTTCAGGAATACAATAAGAACAGTAAGGTATCTGTAGATTCATTAGCTCTTGACAAAAGAATGTCCAAAATTTACCCACGTAGCACTAGCACTGACCAGATCTATAGCTCTAGATCGTGTCAAGAGGGATAATGCCGTAATAAAAATTATAGCTGAGATAAATAATACTGCTATTCTGCTCTTTGAATCACTCAATGCATTACAAACCACGACAGGTAATAGTACGAGAAGGGCGACAAGAGGTGTAAGTAGAAACCGTGCTATCCGATCTGTAAAAGACTGACTAAACACGTGAACGCGCGGGTCATCGGATTTCTTTCTCGTAGACCTCTGATGTTGCCACGGGTCGTTTGGTAAGCCTTATTCTCGATATGAGGAATGGATCTCTTGAACATACCTTACTGAAGAAACCGATGACCAAGGTTACGACAGTTTCTAACCAGTAGAGAACACCATCTTCGAGAGGAGCAAGGACAAGTAAATTATCTGTTATCTGAAGAAAGCTTGTTTCATCTTGCGCAATGCAACTGTTCCCTCTAAGCCAATTCTGAAGACTGGCTATATGCACATCAAGCGGTTCATCATAAGAAATGACCTTTTCAGTTCGCTCGAGAAGATCATCTGAATAATTGTCAGCATAAGGCCTCGTCATGGATCCTGAAGCCTATACCATAAGATGCCAACGCATCCTCGATTTCTGAGATAATGGCCGCACGCTCAGAAGACCCATTCATCCTCATACTACTAAGAAACACCGGGGCAGGCTCTTCACGATCAATCTTGTTAAGCCGCTTCTCCAATGTGCTTAGTCTGTCCTGTTTGGCAAGCAAAAGTCTAACGCGAAGGTGCTCGAAACGACGGAAGATATGGAAGTATTTATGAGACGATTGAAGTGCCGAGAATCTGGGATAACCGTCTGGAAAGCTTTCAACTAGTCGCGAAAGTTATCAGAAAATAAAAATCATAATTCGGCGAGTGATATATACCTCGGACTGGCTTTTGAAGATTGGCAGACCTTGAGCGGCGCTGTAGACGCTGGAGTATAGATCGCCTAGGGACCGTAGGTAAAGAGCCTCCGAGCTCAATGTTATGACTGGATCTTCGCTGAGTCGTCATCTCAATGATGTTGCTGATCTTGTAGCACTACAAATTTAAAGCAAAGGTACGTGATAATGCAATAAACTATCATTGTCAGCCTTGGGCATCAACCGACTGATATCTATGCTAGAGTCTAATATGCCTTGTTGCTGCCTACGTGTGAGAGCGGGAGTAGCCAATAGACGTCACCCTTTCAAGCCTGCTCACTCCGCCCCCGAGACACTTTCGGAGGGCTGCGCATTACCCCTCATCTGGAAAAAGCCTGGTAAGCAAGGCAAGTTCAAAAAGCAAGGCCTCTCTAGACCACTTTACCCATAAATAAATATACTTAAGTGTTGCTCGTTTCTAGACAAAGAGATTCACATTGCGATTTATTTTACAAGCTTATTCATAATACTAAAAACTCATTCGTTAGAATGAGTGCAAAGAATACTAATAAAAGGTTTGCCAGCTCCATAGCGCTTTATATCTTATAGGACACAGACTAACATAGAACCATACGCAGCGAAAAAGGGCCTGTCAGAACTGAATCTGCCGGGCTACCGTGGGTAGATAAATATAACAACAATTTCGCTGCGTATGACGAAGAATCCGCTGCAGATAGCAACAAATTCGCTTTCTCGAAAGGAACCCCGGTAACTTTCAAGCGAAGCGCTTCGTCTACAAGACAGATTTTCTTTATCATGGGTTATAAAGAAGGGGAATACAGGCTTTGTGATGGAAAAGGAGTGCTATTAGGTGATGACAACTGCTACTATGACGCGGCGGACTTGCAACTCTATAAACCCTTTGATTAAGCGAACTTGTAGTCGCGTTATTGCAAGATACCTTCTTAGATAATTCAGCTACATTTTGAACCTAATCAGTAGATATAAATAGACGTAGGGAAACGGTTTGCGTGACCCAGTTCCCTTCCCTACCTCCCCTCTGCTCAGGATCTCGCCACATGCGTTGTTTAATAAGTATAACATAATCTCCATGACTTCTAAGATCATCGCTACCAATGGGAGGAAGAACTGGATTATGGAAGAATATCTGCTTACTGGTGATAAAAACTTTAAGAATGTCATCTACTTGATCAAAGCCTTGGCCCGTCAACTCCCGAATAACCGATAATGTCAATGGTAATTCCAGCTCCCCTGAGTTCTCAGAGCGCACGGGAGGAACCTCGGGGCAGTAAGAGTTTCCGTTGGCAGCAAAGAGACTTGTTGTTTCTCAGAAAAAGCCAAATGACAGGATAGTTAGATATCCGGATTGATTGCTCAAGTTCTTGAACTTGAACCGAAAGCCATCTTTTTGAGATATTCTATATATTCCGTCGACATCAGGTGAGGGACCTAGCATTGCCAATGAGAATGGTCGACAGAAATCTGGGTCTGGGTTCAAGTTTTCGGTGCGTTGGTAGAACCTATAAGTGGCGATGTGACTGAGGCTTCGGAAATGCTACTGTCGATGACAAGTGGCCTCATGTATAGTGGATTGCCACTGGCCTATTGAGCAGGTTTCTCATCCATGTAGCAGAATTGAATCAGAGAAACGGCACGGTAAGTGTCCTGGATCGAGTAATATCGTCTTAATCAAGGCTCCGATGCATGGTCGTCGTCGGGTCAGCTCTGAATCCGGCATAACCAAGGACTACCCTGGTTCCGCTGTACTGGTCGCCATGAAAGATACACCAAGATGCCCTCCTCTTCTTTATGCAGGTAATGAAGTGGAAATGCTTCAGAAGCAGTGTCCATTATTACATTTGAGGCCAGAGATGCCAGAACCCTACACCGATGCCGTCCTCGCAGCCATGAAGACTTACACTGTCTTTCACTATGCTGGACATGGGAGTGCCCGATTTACAAACCCCTCTGATAGTTGCCCCCTTCTGAAGGACTGGCAGAGAAATGCGCTTACCGTTGATAGACTGCACGGGATACACATCCAAGACTCGCGCCCATTTCTTGCATACCTTTCTGCTTGTGAGACTAATGCGAGTGATAAGGTTCAGCTCCTGGACGAGAGTCTCGACTTGATGAGTTATTTTCAATACTTTTACAGTATGAGCCACTGCCTCTTATATGCCCAACCCTTTCCCTCTTTGATCTAAGTGCATTCCCGCCACTCCACGCTATCGCATTTACTAAACAGACTTATGGCAGTAGTTCAATGCATGTCTTTCTGCGGGCGAATTGGTGAGGGGAACATCCGCATATACGTTCTTACACCGTGAATAGAAGTCATAAGCGAAGATTTTGCAAGCCACGCTTGGGGCACGGATTGGTCTAGATCGCATTGGTTGTTGTGAGACACATGCGTCAACACAAACAAGCAGGGGAGCTGTGAACGGTTTACCCCAAGAAGAACTATTTCGCGACAGATATTTGTTCTCAGCTCTCTCCAACTATACTTGTAATTTTGAGTGCCCTCCCTATTCTACAAATCCACTACATCTAGGTCTTTCGCAAGTATGGCCTCGTCAGTCAGTATGATTGGCGTCAACGTGGAGCTTAGCCACGATTGTGAGGTATGAGAAACCGACTACATTGTCCTTCGAACCAAGGGCATGCATGCCCCTGAGCAAGAAGCAAAAGACGAAGCTCTTAGAACTAGGACTTCACGTCAGTGAGTTCGTCGGCGACGAGAAACAACACATCTACCTTTGTGGCTTCCACAACGAGTGCTTGAATAAGGTCTAAAATCTGGACTTGGTTGACCGTGAGGGGAAGTACGTGTAAGAATTTGCCCTCACGAAAAAGGTCCAGCAGAACACAAAAGGAAAAGCTTGCAATGTAGCAAGCGTGCTGCACCAGGATGTGGAGGATATTTCTGAAGAGCTGGCATAAGAAATAGCCGATGCGGTCAATGTTGTCAAGTCAACTTGATCTTGTAACCTTTAGCTTAGTCAATGTATGCAAACTTTACTTTCGAGCGGTTACAATAGGTGTCGTCAATACGGGGATTGGGATCAAGGCTGAAACAGGACATTAGCAGACTAAGGATCAGATACGTTCATTTGAATTAGTCTTCTATTGACTGTTCTTACGGCTATAGCTTCCAATATGCATGCAAATAGTTCCACCTCTATTTAAGGTGCTAGCGAAGGCCATCAATCACCTATTCTGTTTTTTTTGACTTTAGCTATTCAAAATACCTATCTTTTGTGCTTATGGAGGCTAGACGGGCGCATCTCGAAGTGAATGACATATTCTAGCCCAGCATTCCTTATACATGACCTGCGCCTCTGTACTCCCATCCTGCGGTTTAACAGAGAACCCGTGAGTACCGCCTTTGAATTCCTGGAAGTCGACATCCTTGCCACTTTTCATAAGATGTTGCGCATAACAGAAGCCCTCCTCTTTGAGGCAATCAAGACTACCGGTGAACAGTACAGCAGGTGGAACATCCAGTTCACGGAGAAGGTCTACACTAGCAGCGACAGGAGATACAAAGATGTCGTCTTTGCAGACTCTTGGCGGTAGGTATGACTGCTCCATTGCCCGGGCCACCCAAGCAGGTAGGCTGTGCTTCCGGGCATCGATTGTAGATCGGGCGAGCCTTAGATCGTACGGCAAGCGAAGCTCGAGGCTGGGATAAAGCATGAATTGGAGGACTTGCTTGAAGTCCGGTGGTAGAGCGTACCTAAAGACGGAAAAAGGACCACTGCGAAACGATAGTAATAGAGATAGAGCTGCTGTTAAATTCCCACCGGCAGAGTTTCCTCCAATTGCCACCCGTGAAGGATCGACATATATGCCTTCAAGGGCAGCTGAGCATGTCAGGGACCAACGCAGCGCTTCATAGGCTTGCAGCAAAGCGTGAGGATAAGGGTATCGGGGTGCTTTGGCGTAATTTACTGACATGACAATTGCTCTGGTCTTTGCTTGTATTGGATCTGAGTGATGTACGTGAACATTGTAAGCCACATACCTGATCAACTATTCGACGGTTGCTTAACCGCCCATCCTTAGGATGTCCCAGGACAAAACCACCGCCTTCCAGAACTAACACCAGTGGATGTTTTGCTTGGGTTTCCTGGGTAGATCGGGGTAGCCATACGTTGCAGACAACATGCCCCGCGCCTAATCCCGGGGTGCTGATTTTGACTTCCCGATCATGACCCTCATTCGGACCGGTCAGAAACGATACAAGCTTGCGCAATATCCAGGTGATACAGTTGAGGTAGATTCGAAAGAGAAAGGGCCATTCGTCACCATTCTTTACCGTTGGTATACTAACACGGCTCTGCTCAGTGGCCATAATGTAATGAAGGTGTGAAAGAGATCCGAACTGATGTGAGTAATTGAGTGGAAATTACATGCAGTAAAGCTACTGAAGTCTAGTTGGGACTGGAACGAACTTACGTCAGTGCGCTGACACAGTTAGTAACTAACCTATGTATTGAGGTATATATACCCGAGGGAGAATTTATAAGATGAACAAATTGGGGATTTGAGAATATTAACTATAGGAAGGAAAAATAAATAAAAGTCTAGATAAATAATAACACCAATACAGTAACCTGATCAATTGACGCCTATTACCTCCCGGATCCTTGCACAGAGAACCAACTCAATTGGCTCCCTTATCACCGTAAAGTGATTGGCATATCTAGTCGATACTGAATTTCACTTTCTGCACTTTTGGATTTACCGGTCAACTCGCGAGCTAACTTAGTATAGAGTGCACTATTGATACAAGTTGACAATAGCGCCATTTAAGAACAACAAGAAGGGTCTCCAGCTATACATGAAACTATAACCCATGTTTTGGCTCTCCATGATACTTATTTCAAAATGAAGGACTCCAAAGCCTTGTTAACCACCTCGGGGTAATGCAAAAATACCCAGTGACCTTGTGTCAGCTTATTCGCCGACCTTGGTTAGGTATGCTCGATTTCCCAACCTCTTCGCTCAGATATTCACCCCAAGCTGCCCTTTTATCAGCTTGAACCCAGTCTTCCAAAGCTCCAGGTGGGCCCATGTGATCCTTCCACAAGGCTGTGTTTTGTGCGTATACCAAGGACAAGAGGGATTCTTTCTGGAAGTCATGCCGCTTTAGTTGGTCTGGTCGCCCGTTATTGATATCAGTGAGAACTCACGTGTAGATTGAGAATTGCTTCAGCATCATTATTTCTGGTAAAAAATACCTGATAACCAAAAGCAGCATACCCGAGGGCTTGCTTTGAACGCTCATTAACGAGGTCAATGTCGAACGGAGTCCCTGGCGGAGTGTACCCGACAGTGATAAAGGCAAGCTTGTCTATCCTTTCCGGGAAGTAGACCGCTAATCTCCCCAGAAGAGACGAGCCCCAATCATGGCCGACGCCGATAAAGCGAACGACTTGCTCATGATCTAGAATCTCGACAACATCCTTGGCCATATCTTTCAACAGGTAAGCATCTACGTCAGCGGGCCGAGAGGTGTGTCCTGAGCCGAGAAGATCTGGAGCAATCACGGTGTAGCCCTGGTTGTGAAAATGGTCCAGTTGATGGTGCCATTCGAGGCCCATGGAAGGCCATCCGTGTAGGAAGAGCACGAAGGCCTTGGGGGCCGATACTGGCCGCCGAATGATGTAAGAGTACTCATATCCTCTCGACACCTTGAACACGGGCATTTTGAGCCCACGGAATGGTACGGATAAATAGGAATGGGTGTTTGTTTGTCGTTGAGCGAGGCTTCTCAGAATTGTTTCCAGTAGGTTCTCCAGCGGATAGGTATAAAAAACGAGATGGAATGAACTTTTAAGCTTGTGCTACCTCAAGATGCATTTAATTAGAATTAGTAATAGCTCGCGGTTCAGTGCCAGATTTGTCAGCATGTACAAAGTAGTACTTATACATGTATGCCTATTGGGTGTCTGTTGGGCTGTGCCACATCATTGCTTGAGATTGGCGTGGACTTGAGAGCACGACGAAGAAGATCTATACCGATAACGTCTACAGCTTCGCACGACAGCGCCCTGTCATAGCTGAGGCGGCCGATCGTTACTTATTTGATACCGTTCTAGGTGTAATCTCGGGGTCAATCGTCCAATATCCAGCTCATTGAGGAAGGGCTATGGGATGAGATTTGTACTCAGGGGCGTACTTCTAATACGAACAAATTCAGGATTAAAAGAAAGGGAACATAGTGAGGAAAAATAAAAGTATCTAATTACAGGTCAAAGGCCGTGCAAGGTGCTTGTCAATTTACCCCCATCGCGTCCCGGATCTTCGCACAGAGAGCAGACGCAATTGGCTCCCTCATCATAGTAAAGTGGTTGGCATTCTCAATCGCCATTGTGCTGATGTTTCCAGCACCAATAAACTCATCCCAACCATTCGGCCCAAAGTCCTCCCTGTTATTCAAGAGCCAGTTCATACCCCGAGGATCATCTGCCTGTGCCTCGGGACGGGGATCATCAGGGTTCTTGCACACGCCGTCGGCAGCCCAGATGATGGTCGTCTTGGGTGCCATGCCACGCTCGAATGGCTCAGGAACATACCTATCCAAAGCCTCGATGAAGACACAGAAGTGCTGGAAGAGCCAATCTGGCGGCGCCTGGGCTTCCTCGCCCATCTCGAAAGCACCAAAGATACCCGACTTTTCGAGGAAGTCGTACATACGCTTTGGCAGCTTACCGAGACCGACGGGGTTGGGGGAGTCAATCAGGATGAGACTCTCGACAACCTCTCCCTCTGACACAAGCTGTCGAGCGGCATCGAATGCTGATACTCCTCCTGCTGACCAACCGGCAAGATGGTAAGGGCCTGAAGGCTGGCGACGACGCACTTCGTTCAGGTAGGAGCCTGTGATGTCCTGGAGAGCACAGTTGAACTCATGCGGCTTGGTGAGGTAAGGGCTGTTGAGTCCAATGACTCTCATGTCAGGCGAGATGGACGGGAGAGTGACATAAGAAGTTGCTGAGCCAGCACCGTCGGGGAACAAGAAGAGTGTTCGGGAACAGTGCTTGGTGCCCTGCAAGATCGTAGAGGTTGAGCGAGGGATTTCAGCCACGACAGGCTTGACCTCTTCAACCACATCATCACCGTGATCACTGGGGGATGTTGAAGCAGCGCTAGACGCAGAACTTTCTGCCTCAGAGTTAGAACTAGAGAAGTCTTGGTCGTTGGCTCCAAGGAAGGACTTGAGGTCCTGAACTGTTGTGAACTCGTAGAACTGCGCTGCTGGAATGTCCAAGTCGAGTTCCTCTCGGAAGTTGCCCAGAATTGTCAGTGACATGAGTGAATCGACACCCAAGTCAGCCAAGAGTGTAGAGTCAGTGAGCTGAGATATGTCGACGCCGATCTCATCGGCAATGATCTCGAGAGCCTTCTGAACAAGACCAGAACTAGACGCTACGGGTGACTCTGTAGGCTCGGGAGGCGATATCGTGCCAACACTATGGTTGGCGGTGGACGGGGGAGTGAGAACGACATGCTTAACGGGCTCGGGAGCAGCGTGCTTAACAGCACCATGCTTGGCCTTCGCACCAGACGGCTTTGGAAGAAGCATCTCTAGTACCTTACGCGCGACCTTCTTGAAAGTAACACCACCACAGATGCCGATGATCCTACCATCACGGAGAACATGGACATCGCCACTGTAAGTCGAATCATCCGACCCGACAGCCTGCATCTTGACGTACGTCTGATACTGCACATCACACTGATAAGGCTCAACCAAGCGTAGAGTCCGCCAGCCATGGTTGATGTAGACGTGATCATCAAGATCCAAGCTATCACTGCAGTTCATGATGAAGCCAGTGATGTGACCCAGACTGTCGCAGCAGTATGGGTTGAGCGCAAAGGTGTCCTTGCCAGAGGGCATCAAGACCTTGCCGGTTCCTTCGAGGCCTTCACTGTCGAACCAAACCTGCTCGATGCCTTGGAACGCAGATCCGTATTGAACTGAGTTGGAGAAGATCTTGTACAAGAGACCACGACGCATCATATGGGCAGAACCATCACCAGCACCTTTGATAAGCTGCGTGATACCTCGCTGTATGAGGTACGCGTGACTCTGCCAGCTTTCGCGGTGGGTGCTCGGGTTCTCGACCGCTACATCACAGACTGCGTGGAGAGTAGTCTGCTTTCCGCTTGCATTGACACTGAAGATGCGAACTGAACCGTGCATGGAAGTCCAATCTATATCGAGCGATGCCCGGAACAGCTGGGGGCCAGTCTCTCCAACGATGAGAGCCTTTTCGACAGCCATGTTGTTGATGGAAGGTAGGTTAGTCTGTGTATCGAGGCCACGGTTCTCGATGAGGTGCTTGGCGAGGGTGAATGCGATGTCGGCGAAGAGAGTCTATAAATCCCAATGTCAGTAATGGAATGCAACCGAAGTACGGAAGAAATGGGACTAACCGAAGGTGCCATAGTCAAATTGTTGACACGATGGTTTTGCGCAATGGTCAAGAGAGACGGGTCATGCATATCAGACTCAACCGTGATAGAGCTTCTCTTGTCCCCATGAACCTGCTCAATGATATTATGCACAGAATCACTGAGCCTCAGTGCCCTCGTCTGCACAACTGCACCGACTTGAGCGGTCTCAACAGGAACGTCACCCTTGGTAAGGCACCAGCTGTACTTGTACTGCATCCAGTAGTTCGCAAGCTGCCAGCGATACTTGGGAAGCTGAAGGACATTGCGAGAAGAAGCAAAGTCACGATGATACTCATCCCAGTTGACAGAAAAGCCAGCAAGGTGCAGAGCGCAAAGGGAATCCGCAAGGGTCTTGAAGTGGTCCTCCTTGCGACGCAGAGAAGCAAGACATCGGAAGTCTTGGCCGATGATCGACTTGACCATTCGCGTGAGGATGGGGTGGGCTCCAATTTCTATGCACATGCCGCTTCGGTCCATGGTGCCTTGTGCCTCAGCCATCTCGATAGCACCGAGGAAGTTGACCGTCTCACGGCAGTGACGTTTGATGTATTGGGGACCAAGAGTGTCACCAGTGAGTAGCTTGCACAGAAGAGGCGAGACGATAGGAAGCTTAGGCTCGTGAAACTCGACCTGAGAAGCCAGTTCTTCGAGATCATCGAGAATGGGATCGACCTGAGATGAGTGGAAGGCAAACGGAATCTCCAGCTTATGAAGCTTGTAGCCAGCCTGTGTCAACTTTGCGCAAAGAGACTCGATGTCCGTATTGGGACCGCTGAGGACAGTATCTTCGGTACCGTTGACACAAGCAATCTCAACCTTCAAGTCAGATGAGATGTGCTGCCTCAGGTCATCAGCCGCAGCTTTGATAGCGACCATTCCGTGGGTATAGGCAGTGCACTTCTTATCCAGAAGTGCTGCTCTGTGTCCACAGAGGAAGATGGCATCGTTGACGCTGAGAACACCTGCGATCTGGAGAGCAGCATACTCACCCAGACTGTGGCCAATGACGTACTGGGGAGTGATACCAAGGCTGTTCCAGAAACGCGCGAGTGCAATCTGGATGATACAGGTTCCGAGCTGCACAACAACAGCAGAGAGATCCTCAACGGGGGTCGTGCCGTGAATGAGTGGAAGCACAGATGGAAGACCCTGAAGAGTTGCGATAGAGTCAAGTTGGTGAATGTCAGATCGGAAGGACGAAAAGCTCTTGTAGTACCCATTGGCCATGGCAGTCTCCTGCGCTCCCTGTCCAGTGAACAGGAACCCGACCTTGGGTGACACTGCGGGAATGCCCTTGACCTGTCCAGCGGCGGCGGCAGCCTTGAGGAGAGACTTTCTCAAATCGTCAAGACCATTTGTGACGAACGCAACACGCCGACTGTGATGCACACGTCGAGCAGTAGTCGTGTACGAGAGCTGAGAAAGAAGCTCACCCTCCGGAGCCCAAGAGTTGGCAATGAAAGCCTCAAGAGCCTTCAGATTCTCCTCCAAAGCCTTTGTAGACCGTGCTGAAACAGCTACCACATGCTCTGTTCGAGCGTCGCCATCTTGATGTTGTCGAGCTGGATGAACAGCGGGGCCATCCTCAAGCAGCAGAGAAGTGTTGCCTCCAGCAGCAGAGAAGTTATTTACCAACACTCTGCGCTTCCCACCGTCAGGCCGAGTCCAATCTACACTATCCTTCAGTGCAATGCGCACACCACGATGATCCAGGTCCTTGGGGAAACCCTGGTTGATCTTGGTCTTGATGCCGCAGTGTGGAGGAATCGTGTTCTTCTGCATCATGAGCAGCACCTTTATGATGGCAAGGACTCCAGACGCTGATTCAGCGTGTCCGACGTTGGCTTTGACTGAGCCTAGATATAAGCTCTTGTCTCGTGGGCGGCTGTGATCGAAGGCGAATGAGTTGAGAACTGAGCGCATCTCGACTGCATCGCCGGCTTGAGTTCCTGTGCCGTGCATCTCGACGTAGCTGACATCGTGAGGGTGAAGGCCAGTCTCGTTGAGGAGCTTCTTGAAGAGATACTCTTGAGCGTCTGCGAGAGGTCGGGTGATGGAAACGGACTCTGCTGAGTGGTTGGTGTGAGCTCCCAGGATGACTCCAAAGATAGGATCACTGTCTGCGATGGCATCTGGAAGGCGCTTAAGGATGAGGGTGCCGATTCCATCAGCTCGGCAGTAACCGTCTGCTCCGTCATCGAAGGCCTTGCAGTTGCCTGTACGAGAAAGGAAGTGCCCTCGATCGAGGCCTGCAAAGTTATCCGGGTTCGTCATGACGTTCGTCCCACCAGCAATCGCAGTATCACAGTCCCGATTCTTCAACGACGTAATCGCAAGATTTATAGCAGCGAGACTGGAAGAGCAAGCAGTGTCAACAGCGATACTTGGGCCCGTGAACTTGAAAAAGTAGTTGACCCTGCCAGGGATAAATGCACGGTTCGCTCCAGGAATGTAATAAGTATCAACATCCTGCGAGGAGTTGACCTCACCCCAATCGTTACTCGTAGTACCGTAATAAACGCCGACACGGTTTCGCTGGGTTGAGGGAGTTCGGTCAGGTACTACTCCAGCCATCTCGAGAGCTTCGTAGGCTGTGAGGAGGGCAAGTCGCTGTGCTGGATCGGTCTGCATGGCTTCCTTGGGCGACATGTGGAAGAACTGAGTGTCGAAGTAGCCTGCTGACTTTAACCAACAGCCATACTGGACTTGGCTGGTGTTCTTGCGCTGGCCAGTGGGGTCGTAGTGATCGCGAGCGAAGCGCTCTTCTGGGACTGGTTTGTGGACGTCGAGTCCGCGGATTAGAAGATCCCAGAATTCATCGAGGTTGTCAGCTTCGGGGAATCGTCCGCTGAAGCCGATGATCGCAATCTTGTTCTCGTCGCCGGGAGCAACGTGAGGCTGTGTACGATCTTTGGTCAGGCTCTCCAGGGTTGGTCCAATACGTGTTGTGGTTCCTCGCTTGGCCAGCCAGTCAGAAAGACTACAAACAGTGGTTTGCGCATTGATCGGTATCAAGGTAGCCTCGGTACCAGAAATGGTTTCAAGTAGAGCGTCAGTTACGAGGTCCATGCGGATTTGCTGAGAAAGAGCGCTGCTCAAAACTTCAGTGAGGAGGGCTCCCAAAGACAACTGATCTAAACAAGCTCCTGAGGCGCATGAGATAATGGGGATGAGCATCTTGTTCTCAAGGAATTCAACGTCTTCGAGGATTGACTCGAGGGCATCTTCGAGGCTGGCGTCGGAGTATGCTGAAGAGTTATGGTAGGGACCATAGATGGGAGCCGGATACAACCTCTTCCCAGAGAAAGCATCGCTAGCCTTCAGTGACTCAAGAATAGATGGGGGACCGCTGATTGTTGTGAAACCAGGACCGACGGCGCTGATGTAGGGGCGTGTGCTAGATGTAAGATTCTGAGACCAGAGTAAGTTTCACTCGAATTGGAAATGCTGGAGCTCCCAAACTTACCTTGTCCTTGGAGAATTCTTGTAAAGCTTTTGACACAAGCTCTTCCTGATTCGATGACAGAATCATAGACCAACTTGAAGGTGTCGAGTACCCAAGGTTCTCGGCTCTTCTGCGAACGTGCATGCCAAGTCGGAAAGCGACAGTAGCAGCCTCGACGCCCAGTCTTAAGATATCGAAAACATCTTTGGCGCAGCTGACAGCTGCTGCTGCAATGCTGCCGGTACAAATACCGAGGAGAAGAGATGGAGATGCCGATGGATGTTGTTTATCCGAACGGGCCAAATAGCTTGCATCTCGTCAGTAAAACTTGGACTTTTGCGTTCTCATCTGACTTACTCAATATAGTATCCGATCTCATTAATGCAAACAAAAGCACTATCCAGCGCCGCATGAGGTTCGCTCCTCCGAACGCCCTCCAAAAGCAAACTCAAACTCTCAGCTTCGGGAATCGATTTCCTCTCCAAAGACGAGAGCGAAACAATCTCGCGTCGCACGGCCAAAAACGCCTCGCCAAGAAAAGAAGTCAAAAGCGCGTTATCTTTCACGCGTACAAGAGCTTGCAGTTTATCAAGAACGGGAGTGCTCTGATCGCCAAAGACATACACATCTGCTGAGGACGCCATCGTGAAGAATGAATGGCAAAAGAATCGCTGTTGAAAGCAGTAACAAAATGTGTAATATTCGTTGTCTTGGCTATTTTCTTGCCAAGATGCGTCTGGCTTATACTGCAGTGGTTTGAAACGTACATGATCCTTTTTGGTAATTCGTAAGGGCCTGGTTGATGGGCTAGTCAGTGTTGGGTCCGCGCTTTTGCGAAAATGTCCGTAGTGGCTTGCATGGGTGGGCCAGGGTCAGTATAGCGGCTAGTTGCGCCACGCAGGATCAGATCAGAGATGAAGCTCCGAAGAGGTCCGAATTCTTATCTGGCAGGGAGAGCTGAAACGGGCAAGGTAGCTTAGTAGGTGCCGTGAACCGAGGACGAATGGAGGCAAGTGAAGGATCAAGGAGTTGATGGGCTAATGTCTGAAAGCCAACTGGGCATAGACATGGGTGGTGACTCGAATCTCGGCAGTTGTATAGACTTTATTAGTGTATTGATCTGATACTCTGTGATTCTATGACCAAGAGCTGGATCTAATCTAGGTACATGAAGCAGAATTCCATGACTGAGCCGGACAACAGTGTCCAAGTCCTCAACGGATTATGTAGCTGAGATTGTAACTCAACCGGTTATGTAGACTTCAACGAGTTAGATGCTTCTGCTAGATGATCATCATTTCTCTCCTGCACTAAATGAGCAAGTAGTCTAATGAGCAACAGTTATCTTGAAATTGATATCAAGCAATACTACCGAAACACTATTCTAAGAACCAACCTCAACGACCCCAGTCGCTGCCTGCACCGGGTTCCGAAGTCCCACGAACTCATTCCGCTGCTCAGTCTCCTTCATACTCGCAACCTTCGTACTCTTCTTCTCCTCCGCCTCCTTAACCTCCTTTGCCACCTTCTGACGTCTCGCCATCTCCCCCCTCGCTTCATCAACAGCCTTGTTATAAAGATGTCCTCTAGCCGTAAGCTCAACATCCTCCAGATACGGCGCAGCAGAAAGTGCCATAAACGCACGCAAAAGCCAGTCTTGGTTACTCAGCTTCAACATGTCCTTGACAAGAGTAGTTGCAGGTCCAGGCGTGCATAACAGCGCCTTGCCAACCATTTGAGATCTCTCCAGGGCTGTAGTAGCGGGCTGTGCGCGCTCTTGAGCATAGCTCGCGAGTATGGACTTGACTGCCTCACTAGACAGCTTCTCGCCAGGTTGAAGCGCCTTTCGCACTGCCATGAGCTTGTTGACCAAGACTGCGCAAGACTCTATGGCTTGGTTGGCGCCTTGTCCACCAGCCGGTGTGGTCTTACAAGCTGCATCGCCAACAATAACAGCGCGGTCGGTGTGCCATCCCTTCGCAACACCCTCTTCAACGCCAATCTTGACTGCTACTACACGGTTCTTGTAGATCTCTCCAAACTTGAGCTTTGGAGTGACTTGCGTATGAGCAACGCTTAGGCAGAGAGCCTCGGCTTCAGCTTCAGTGTATCGTGGGGCCTGAGACAGCGGGACGTTCTGGTTTAGGTTTTCAAAGACGAACCAGAACACAATGCCGTCTTTACCTGTGAAGCCGATGACTGTTTGGCTCTCTCGGTAGACGGCGAAGCGTTCGCCTGGGGCGATGCCTTGGGTGGGAGCTGACATTCCATAGACAGTGGAGCAGGCAACGCTGATGTCTGGGCATCAGTCAGTGGAAAACTCCCAAGAGACAGGTAGATTCAGAACTCACAGTCATCTGCAGTCAATGGCTCAGGCAGCTTTGAGTCGATGTGTGTGCGGATAGCGCTTCGCACGCCATCGGCACCAACCACGATGTCTGCCGTAAGAGCCAAGCCATCAGTCGTTTTTACAGTGACATGGTCATCACTTTCTTCAATTGAGGCAACGCGCGCTGAAGTCCTGACACATTCTGTGCGCTGAATGTGACGAACCATGATGGGCAACAGCTTGCGACGTTCAATGAACGCAACGGGATATCCGATCCTGGCATGTACCCTATTAGCCAACAGAACAGCAAATATGAACAGAATTCAATTCAATTATACTCACTTGTCGCGATATTGGCCCATCGCGTCAGAGTCATTCATCAAGTTCCCCTCGCTGTCATACGAGAACCACTTCTCAAGCGGAATAGTAGCATTCTCGATATCCTCCACGAGACCGAGCTGATCAAGGATACGCAGTCCATTTGGCTGCAGACCAATACCAGCGCCTCGATCGGACTCCAGAGTATCGCGCCCCTCGAGGAGGAAATAGCTGATGCCGAGTTTCTCAAACATCAGCGCGAGAGTGACTCCAGCGATTCCTCCTCCAGCGATGATGACCTCATAATGCTGCTTTGGTTCAGCCATGGCGATAATGAGATGGAGTAGAATATTGTTAGAATTGCAATCGCCTCGGTTTACGAGCTTTCAGAATGGATAGAGTGTCCTTTAGGGTGATGTTGTTTATTTGAGTAGGCAGTGCCTCACTAGTGTTGCTTATGCATAAGCCGGCCGAAGATATCCGAATTTTAAAAGTCGCCTCATCCACGCATGGTGAAACACGCATAGATCGGAGGACTTCGGACTTCCTAAACAGGTAGGACACTGAACCATCGCAGCTCTCTACCAATACAGTTGTATTCGAATGGCACCACTTTATAGACCTGATAAGCCTCTATGATTTCCATCTTCTCAGCTTCATCTCATCAACAGCAATTCAACATTATCTTCCTTGTCTTGACATTTACCAATTTCATCGTCCAACATGGTTTCAAACGGCATTTCTAACGGTACCAATGGTACTAACGGCACTACTACCAATGGCGTCAATGGGCATGCTGCTCCGTCACCCCTGGAGGTCTTGGTCCAAGATCTCAACAAGAACGCCACCACGTTGAACGGGTACCTCCGCGCCAACAAACTCCCCGAGCCTAGCTTCGAGCGGGATGCACCCATCATCAACTTATCTCCTGATGCTCCGGAAGAAGCGCAAGTTGCTAAGGAGAAGATTCTTGATAGTGCGTTGCAAATCTTCCAGCTTGTCTCTGGCCCTGGCGAGTATTTGCAAAATGTCATCACAGGTGTGAGTACTTCCCGATATACATCCTCTGTAACTTTGAATGACCTTGTGTAGTATCATTACATGGAAATCCTCCGATGGATGAGCCATTTCAAGATCTTCGAGCTTGTTCCCTTGGAGGGCAAGATCTCATACACAGAGCTGGCCTCCAAGGCTGGTGTAGCTGAACTACGACTCAAGACTCTCGCCCGCATGGGCATGACGAACCATCTCTTTGCCGAGCCTGAGCCCGGCTTCATCGCACACTCAGCCACCTCAGCTGCTTTGCTTACCAACACCAGATTCTCTGATCAGAGAGTCTGGATGACAAGCATCATTGCTCCAGTCATTGCATCTATGGTCACTGCGCACGAGAGATGGCCTGACAGTACAGCTCCCAACAAGGCAGCTTTCAATGCTGCGTTCAACACTGATCTTCGCATGTATGAGTACATTGCCAAGCAGCCTGATATGTACAAGCTCTTTGGTCGTGTCATGGATGCCATTGCGACTAGCCCCAAGAGTGACTTGAAGCATCTCGTTAGTGGCTTTGACTGGGCTGGGCTTGGCAAGGCCAATGTTGTCGATGTAAGTCTCCCCCGCGCCTATCACACTACATTTACTAACGTATTTCGTGAAGATTGGAGGCAACATCGGACACAGCTGCGTTAAGCTCGCCGAGGCCTTCCCCGATCTCACCTTCATCATCCAAGACATCCCCCACGTCGTCGAAGAAGGCGCCAAAGTCATCAAGGAGAACAACGAAGCCAGCATCGCCAACCGCATCCAATTCCAAGAATACGACTTCTTCCAGAAGCAACCAGTCGTCGGCGCCGACATCTATCTCTTGCGCCAGATCTTCCACAACTGGGACTTTGAGAACTCTGTCAAGATCCTCAAGAACACGGTTGAGTCTATGGGTCAGAACTCTCACGTTTTGATCATGGACTTTGTGGTGCCCGAGCCTGGCACTGTCTCGTCAGTGAATGAACGTGTTCTGCGATCTCGTGATGTGGGCATGATGCAGCTATTTAATTCGCTTGAGCGAGACCTTGAGGGCTGGAAAGCCATTTTGGAGGCGGTGGACTCGAGACTCAAGATTAATGCTGTCAATACGCCTTATGGTAGCTTCATGTCGGTGATTGACGTTGTTCTAGGGTAGGGGGTTATTAGATTTGGCGGTACAGCTTTAGTTATTTGATCAAAATTAGAAATACGATATAAATTGATCCAATTCATTCCATTACTCCTCGCTTTTTTCTGCTTATCTATGCTGCGAAATTTGCATCTGATTGTCGCGAGCATCAATCTGCACTGACAACGGGAATTCAACCGGGCCAACACGCCAGAGCTTCTGTACGTCTCAACTCGGCCAAAAAGAATCGCGCTATCCTAGTACCTGTCGTGTGCATTAGTATCTGTGCACTAAAAACCTTGAGTTTATTATCATCTGAACTTGTTTGACTCGCCAGATTGGCAGATGATTGCAGGAACTGACGCTTGGTGACAATCAGGGATTACCATGTTCAGTCGCTCGGATCGCCAAGACGAAGTATTGCCGAATCTGGACATGACACATTCCAGGGATTTACTCAAGCGAACCAATCGCGGGTCGTGCTTATGCGATTATGCGAGATGGCGAGACTCCACACCCTCGTTCTCGGGCGGGTTATCCGAGACCTGAGCGACGCAACGATCGCTGAGGATGACGCTGAAGTTCGGAAATGTCAGCAATTCCAGGCGGACATCTTCGGACCTTGGATGTGAGTACATAAACGCTGATACGTCAACACACTTTGCTTCACCCAAACAAGCTTCAGCTGTCCTACCATCCATTTCTACTGTGTACCACCTTGACTGACACCCTCCCTCTATCCCTGCTTATCTTACTGTCTTACTTACTACCATGCCATCTCCACATTTCTCCAAAGTCCTCGTCTTTGGTGCCACCGGCGAAGTTGGCTCCGCCGTCGCACTCGAAGCCCACGCTCTCGGCGCCCACGTCTCCATCGCCCTGCGCGACACAACCAAGCACAACGAGTGGATATCCCCCTCCCAAGAACACGCCGCAGACCTGCAGCGCGTCAGTGCCGACCTAACCGATCTCGACTCCGTCAAGCGGGCCGTGCATGACACAGGCGCCCAGGCAGCCTTCATCTACGCCGTGCGCTCCAAGGACACGTTGCGTGGTGCCATTACCGCCCTGCGCGACGCTGGCATCCAGTACGTCGTGTTCCTCTCGACGAGTCAGGTCAGGACCGCGGGCACCACCAAGGGTGACATCCGATCTATCAAGCCTGACCACTTCATCCCGTGGCAGCATGCGCAGGTTGAGATTGCGCTCGAGGAGCTCGAGGTGCCACATGCAGCGGTACGGGCCGGGTTCTTTGCGAGCAACCCTCTGAGAATTTACCTTGATCGATCTTCGGAGCCTAAACAAGTCAATTTGCTAGCTCCGGAAGTGCCGCACGATCCCATCGATCCCAAGGATATTGGGCGTGCGGCTGCTGCCGTGCTAGTCAACCCGCGCCTGTACGCGAGTGGCTACCAGGGACAGCCCAAGAAGGATGTTGTGTATCTAAGCGGACCGGCATTGCTCTCACAGACTGAGCAGTGGGAGATCATCAACCGAGAACTCGTCGCTGCTGGCAAGCCTGAGGTCAAGGTCAATCACATCACAGTCGAGCAGTACCTTGAGAATCTGGCCAAGCTCCATGTTCCTGATGTTGTAGCCAAGTCTCTTGCCAAGTCTATGGTGGAGACGAGGGCACTGTATGCTCCCGAGGACTATGAGAAGTCGCGGGGTAATGTTGAGCTCTTGACGGGCCGTAAGGCTACAGCGTTTGATGAGTTTGTCAAGAGAGAGATACCAAGATACTTCGATTAGGTTCAGACGGCACGACCATTGCATGTATTTCAACATAGAGATGTCATCTCTATCTCATATAGAATAGCACTTGCACTCAACTAATAGACACCTCATTTATGCTTCTATTCTGCAGTAGCCTTTCTATGGAGGAATTGTTATTTGTATATTAACCCCGAGAAACCTAACCCTGGTCTCCACCAGATGATCTGATCAACTAAATCTCGGTAGCCCAAGATCAAACCCCGCCAGGGATGAAGCCCCCTGTTCAGCATCTACCCACGGCCATTCCGGGATCATATCCATAAAAGGGCCTAGAGTTTCGGTACCAAGCACCCTCTGTAGAGCATCCGACTGGCCACTCCTATCAAGCGGCACTGCTGCCAACCCAGGCAACGACGCATCAGACGCCGGAATGGAAGATGGTGTCTGCTGCAACGGCCCATACCAGTTATCAGAGTACGCGGGTGTTGGATACTGCGAGAAAAGCCCCGGCGAAGGAGAGTACAGAACTGGATCTCGCCTCTGAACCTTGCGGCCCGCGTTGGACGACCGCCCAGGAGTAGTTTGCTGCATCTCTTTCACGTAGCGAGCTTTGGCCATGAGCCTTTTTATGGGTCTCCATAAAGCAAGGCGAGTCTCATCCTGTCTGCTCTCATCGACCTTCCATCCCTCATATACTGTCGTCACGCAGTCCCATGCCTGCTCACATTGCAGTGATTGGGGCCGAGCGCATAGCTCAGAGAGAACAAATGCCATGGCGCCCCATTGGATATGAGTCTTTGAGTACCATGTGAACTGTATGATCTCTTTGCTTGTGAGAAGCATGCCCGATACTTCTAGTATCTTGATTGAAGTTTGGAAGAGCTCATCGCGTACTTTGTTCTCTAGCTGGCCTGCGGTGTTGGGAGTGGGAGGGAATTGGTTGTTTGTGTTTCTGCCATCAACATCCTTTTCTCGTGACACTACTGAGTACTGCGTAATAAGCCAGAACCGTCCAAGGATGATTTGTGCCACGGCTGAAGATAGGAGCTGGAATGGGACGGTCGTATCGCAGATGGGTAGATATTTATCCCGCAACCGACTTTCCAATTCTTGAGCCAGAGTCTTGGGAGAATCAGAGGTGTCATCTACCCTTGGGGTAGCTCCATCGTCTGATGCTTTGTTCTGCTTGTGCCTCATGCGGCCCAGCTTCAGACCTGTCTGTATAGCCTCACACCTGACCAAAGTGAGCGTCATATCAGTCGCATGGTCCCATCTTTCAGCTGGAGGCTCTACCATCTCAGGTGACAAGTCAACATCATTGATGTGCAGTGGAGGTTTGGTATCTGTAATAAAGCCCTGCGCGATAGGCTCATTGCAGTGATACTCTGATGAGCGACTATCAATGATGCAGATCTGCCACCACAAACGGCGGCGCAGCTCAGTCTCGAAGGGCTTTAATCCGAAAATAGTGCCATCGCGATGGAGACCCATGGTCCTTGCGATATGAAATACCAGCGATGTGAGTGCCCATGCCGCACGCGAGTCGTCTTCATTTGGAAGAGCAGACAAGAAGAGCACTGCGGCTTGCAACATGGTCATACTCTGGGTGCTGAGAAGGTTGCCCTGAGCTAGAGCTTGTTCAACTGCAAACCGATATCTTTCCAAGGCAGCCTCACGAGTCTCGTCCAGAATATTGAGACATTGCTCTGGGTTGAGACTGATGACCGCTGAGTAATGAATAGTGAACAGCAAGGTCTCGGTATGTTTGTCTACTGTGCCAAGAGAAGCGATGGCATCCCAGTAGATTCTTGTCAAAGTCGGCATGTGAAATATGCGGACCAGCGGCGCGACATTCTCACTGAATGCGGCAAAGAGCGTGACAGCTTGTTGCAATGAGGGATGGTAGTGATAGAGTGGTGAGGCAATTGCGCGGTAGCCAAAAATTGCGGCATTGAGTCCCAGTTGGGGAGATGATGGTGAAGTAGCGGCGGTGGTGGCGGATGAAGAGATTGAAGGCTCGTAGCCAGCATCTTCACTAGCAGGCTCAAAAAGAAGATCACGCAGCTCCTCGACCTAAGGATAATGTCAGTCGTGAGAAAGGATATCAAAGAATAATGGCGATACATACCTCATTTGATAAAGTGACCCATAATGCGTTGTTCACATAGTAGCTCTTTGACTCATCGACCTTGAGACGACTAAAGTCTTGCTCAAATGAATGCCCGTCACTGTCTTGCGCAGTCTGTGGGGTATCCTGGTTCTCTCTGGCTATGTAATAGTTAGCTACAATATGTAGTGAATGAGTGCAAGGCTGTCTTTCACTTACCAGCAGCACCAAACTGTCCAATGATGCTCTCTAGGCGGGATAAACGCTCAGATAGTTGGGGCGCAAGGCTGCGTTTCGGCCGCTTGGGTGCTCTGCCTCGACCGGGAGGATAAATACAATTGACTTCAGATCTGATGCAATTAGAGCATCGGGGGAATTGGCGGTCGCATTTGACTCTGCGTTGGCGACAGTGGATGCAGGTCCGCACTTGGACGTGCGATTGAGCCAAACCTGGCATGGAGAGATTGCCCAAAGTAGGGTCCATCGCGCTGTGACTGACGAGAGCTGTCAAAGTGATTACCCTGGAGGATCTGGGAGTTGCGTGTCTGTCTTGTCAATCTGAATTACAGACTACACAGACGTTGAGAGTGGCCGCGTAGAACGTCGCAGAGGACTCAAGATCGGGCGAACGAGACAGCGGACAATTGTGCGAGACGATGCCCCGCAGATGGACTCTAGTGCTGCTATTGGCCCGGCAGTCGCATAAGTTATGCGAGGCGCGCGAGTGAGCGAGAAAGCGAAAACACTGACGAAATTGGCCATTACGAGCATCCAGAAAAAACACATGAGACTAGCGCTGAGAGAAAACATGATAAAGGCCTGTAAAGAAATCCGCAAAAGGATTCTCTCCCACAGAAACTCACTGATACAAGTCACTGATACAAGGAGTACTTTTGCCTTATCTCGCCGCCTCACACACAGTACAGTGCATGCTCTGATCTAGACGTGCATCCCATACCCATACCCCGCCAAATCACGGCGAGACAGACATACAGGCTCCACTGAATGATCTGACAGCGCAGAAAAAATGAACCAAGAAGAGTCCAACATGGGTAAGGAGGAGGAAAAACAAGCTCCATCAGGCGACGTGGTCGACTTTGAGGGCGACGCCGACACCCTCAACCCGCAGAACTGGCCCATGGGGAAAAAGGTGTGTACGACAGCCCTGTGGGCCCTGACGACGTGCTGGATCACCTTCGCCTCCGCCATCTACTCGGCCGGCACAGCAGAGATTAGCCAGGAGTTCCATGTGTCGTACGAGGTAGCCAATGCGGGCACCAGTCTGCTCATTTTCGGCTTCGCTCTGGGACCCATGCTCTGGGCGCCTCTCTGTGAGGTCTACGGCCGGAAATGGCCTGCTCTCGCTGTAAGAACCCCATTACTGCTGTCACCGTTACAGTACAGCACCCCGCTAACTTGTAGTTCCCTAGCCCTACTTCATTAGCGCTGCCTTCGCCTTCGGCACTGCGACCGCCAAGGATATCCAGACAATCCTAATAACAAGGTTCTTTGCTGGCGTCTTCGGCAGCTCCCCCATCTCCATCACAGGCGGTTCCATAGTCGACATCTGGACCCCACGCCAGCGGGGCACACCAATGGTCTGCTACGGCATCACCATCGCTGCGGCGCCGACCCTGGGGCCTATCATCGGCGGCGCCTTTATCGCGAGCGGCTGCGGCTGGCGCTGGACTGAGTACCTGACCGGCATCGTCATGATGGTCCAGTTCGTCCTAGACGCCTTCTGGCTAGACGAGAGCCATGCTGACGTGCTTCTCACCCGGAAAGCAAGCCGCCTCCGTCGGTCTACGGGGAATTTCAGTCTCCACGCTAAGGTATGTGAGATCTTCCATCCCATCCCTCCCGGGGCCAAGCACGCACCATACAGTAATCTTGCCGCTTATGGTGCGGGTGCGCTGCCTCTTCCGTGGCTGATATCTTGGCTGAAACAATACAAAAAAATACAGTGGGAGGAGACTAGCCCAACGTTCAAGAGTCTACTGAGTACCTACCTTGTCCGACCGTTTCAGATGCTTCTGGATCCAATCTGCCTCCTGCTTACGATCTATACCTCTTTCGTCTATGGTAAGCGCTACAAATATCCCCAGCCAAAATTCAACGTTACCTGCTGTAGTATTATTATTACCTTCCCAAACACTGCTGACTCATGGGGACTTTTTTCTAGCCATCCTTTACGCGAGCTTGGAGAGTTTTGCCCTGGAATACGGCCGGTTCCGAGGATGGGGCCCTGTAGTGAGCCAGCTTCCCTTTCTGTCGCTCTTAATTGGGTGTCTGTTTGCCGCGGCGGCCAACATCTTCAACAACATCTATTACGGAAAGAAGCTCGTCGCCAACCACTTCAAGCCTGTTCCTGAAGCGAGACTTCCACCAATGATGGTGGGCGGCTTCGCCTTCTCTGCAGGTCTTTTCCTTTTTGGCTGTAAGTCGCCATATTTTCATTCTCGCTAGCGGAACCGCCCCGAACCTACATAGAATTGTGGAGATCTCTTGCATAGACGACTGACCCGTTATTCTCATCCTTCAGGGACCTCGGTCGAGCACGTCTCTAGCCCATGGCCATCCATTATTGGCGTCTTCCTTACAGGGGTTGGCTTCACCACCATCTTCCAGTCGTCCCTCCAGTATCTCGTCGATACTTTCACCCGCTACAGTGCTAGCGCTATTGCGGCTAACACTTTTGTCCGATCCATGGCTGCAGGTGCTTTCCCTCTCTTTGTCTGGCCCATGTATGAAAAGATCGGCATCGATTGGGGGAGCACTATCTTTGCCTGCATTAGCGTGCTTCTGCTGCCAGCTCCATTCCTCTTTTTCAAATGGGGTTATCGGATCAGGGCCCGTGGTGAATTCAGCAAGCTCTCGACCTATTAAGGCTGTTTAGGTTAGATAAGTAGCCCTGTCATGGCTGTTTTGATCCAACATGCATATTCCAATCGCGGAACCGAGGACATGGTGAGCTGATATCTCGGGCGTTGTCTATTTCGTCATTTATGAGACACCAACATGCATGAAATGGTCATGGATACGGGTTCAACAGGTGTCACCAATATTCAACGCCACTCACTACCTGAGACCTCAGTTCTTTCAGTACCCTTCTTGAGAGATAAACAACATCACCAGATTGAGTTAGCATAGATCCCTAGTAAATACCACTTAATAATACTCCCTCTACCCATCGGCAAACCTTCTCTCCAACGTGATGCTACCGTACCATGACGCTGACTCGCTGCCAAACACGTGCTCCCCGATGATAACATATCGCATTACGTGTTCTGATCCTGAATACGATATACCCTGTTTATCGTACTTTCAACCGCACTGACCAACCTGCCATCTCAAGCCTAGCCGAAACCTTATACGCCCAGATTGGTTGCATCCAGTATAAGCAGAAGCTGAAGCTGCATATTCGCGGCGTGTCAGCAATCAAACCGAACGCTCAGCAAGAAAAACCACTCAGCAACTGCGGCATGGATGCTGACTAGTGGCGCAGTGGTGAGATACGCAAGGCGACGGCAACTCGGCAGTGGAAAGGATGACCCCCCAGCTCTGTTACGCTGCCTGGGCGGATGTAATCTGATTATAAGACTCTCAAGCCTTAGTTGGGGCCAATGTCCCGATTCATCTGATCTGCTGCCTCGGTACAGTATCGAGTCAGCCAAACTGCACTGGCTCCCCAATCCCAACGCCTTGGCAAAATACCTTGACTCTCACCAAGGACATACACACCCGTATCTCTACTGCCCAGTCACTAGGTCAACCCTGTCTACTCATCCCCCAGACCAAAAAAAACACCATGCCTCCATATAACTTCCCCTCTGTGCGAGCTTCATGTGATCGCTGTCGATTCCACAAGCTCAAATGCATCGTCAATGCAGAAGACAAATCCGTCCAGCAAAAGTGCGCCCGCTGTATCAGGGCAAAGGTTGAGTGCGTGTATAGCCAACGAGCCCGCCCAAAGCGCCAGAAGAACCTCGAGTCAGAGGGCAGCTCTGGTGAAGGCGAAATGGGGCCTATGACTCCACCAACTGGTTCTGGCGAAGAAGTGAGCTTTGACTCATCTTATACAGCTTCACCAGATATTTGGGCCATGCTCAACACTCCGGACTTTGGAGTCGGACTGGATGAGTCGACTTTGACATTTGGCAGCTTCGCACAGACACCGTCAGGCGTAGCATCTGCGAGCGCCAGTGGGCTGCATGTTGGTTCCATGCTCGACGTAGTACCGAACCAGATTCTTGGTAACGGACTTGTCACGGAGCCCACTACACCCAAATTCGAACAAAACACCGCCTTAGATTCATCTGCGAGAATCGCGCCCTTCATGCACGATTGTACGCAGTCCCAAACCAACGGGGCCATCGACATCGATGGGGCCTCGCCAATCACTCGATTATCAAATCTCATGGCCGATATTTACCGGACATTGGCTATCCTCACGGGCACTTCACATGCCAACAAATATCCCAGCTACAATTTTTGCGAATATCCTATTGGTACCGTCTTGCATCTTGCTCGGACTCTGGTAGAAATCATTCCTCAAGTCACAAGCTCATTTCACACCGCCTCAGCATTTACCCAAGACATAACTGGAGTATCAAGACGCGACTCGATATCCTCAGTTTCTCCATACAGCAGCTACAGCTACTATGCAGATCTCCAATCCATCACACCCCCATCATCTACAGCATCCCACAGCCTCAAAGACTCCATGGACGCACCCACAAAAATGCTCGCAATGAGCTGCTACTCCTCCCTGCGCCGCCTATACTGCCTAGTTCTGACTCATTTTGAAACCTACCTGAGGATGACACTCCCCGCCTTCACCAGCGAACTTCTGTCGCACAATGCAGCGGGGGTCAAGACGCTGCAGCTCGGTGAGCTGCCTCTTACGGACGAGGTGTGCAGCAGGATTGGCACGGCGGTCAAGTTGATGCTGGATGCTCTCCGCTCCGCGGAGGATATGCTCGGCCTTTCTGATTATGCGAGCACTACGCGAAGATGCCGGAAAGCGGATCCATGCGGATGTCCGTTCTCGGCAGGGTCGACGGAGAGGGGTCAGGATGTAACGCCGTTGGCGTATGAGGAGCTTTCAGAGGTATTTAAAGACAGTGCTATGATGGGGTATCAAGGTACGCACATGGATAATTTAGCGAGTAAAGTCGAGTCTGTTAAGACAATGTTGAAGGATAGAATAGACCTCCGTATCTGAGTTCTTTAGACTTCATATACATAGATCATTTTGTTATTTTTAACCTATGTCCTTACTCTTTGTATATTCTAAGTATCTGGTAGTAACTCAATAAAGAAGTGTAAAGCTAAGTATACGAGGGCCCAGAACGCCCAAAGGCCCTCAATCTTATACACATTACATCTTGGAGACGAATAAGTACTTGCCTCGGAGCTCGACGATCTGTCTTCACAAGAGCCGTAACATAAACGAAGTACTTGTTATTACTGTTTCGCATATAACCCTCATCGCCAACCCTTCTATTTACTATTTGCCACCACCATTATAGGCGACACGCTGAGGACTATCAAAAGCGTATTAACACCACTGGTATCAGCAGCACTAATTATGCTCTTTGTCACGGCGGTAGATCCCCGAATTCCTTCCTTCGCCATGAAATACGCTGCGAGGCCAGCAACATGCGGCGCAGCCATACTTGTGCCTGACTTGTAGACGCTGCCAGAGTCGCTCAGATGCCCAGCACTAAGTATATCGCTACCAGGCGCAAATACATCTACCACCTTGCCATAATTTGACCACAATGTGCGATGACTGGCAGAATCAATAGCGCCGACAGTAATGGCCGATGGAGCGGAAGCAGGTGAGCAGTTGGCGGCATCACTCCCATCATTGCCAGCTGCCACCACGATAGTGATCCCGAGATCAGTGGCAGCCTTGACAGCATCATTGCCGATCTTGGTATAGGGGCCGCCTAGGGATGCGTTGATTATGCTCTTCTTGGTGATGCCGCGGGACCTGGTGTGATTGACAGCCCACTGGAGGCCCTGAAGAATATTAGACATGGTGCCAACACCGTCCTTATCGATGACCTTGACAGCATACATGGTGCAACCTTTAGCTACACCATAGGTCTTGCCACCCACAATGCCAGCAACGTGTGTCCCGTGGCCATACTCGTCTGTATTGGGGGAGCCGGCAACGAAGTTGGCTCCCCACACAGCATGACCCCCAAGCTCTTTGTGTGTGGTTCGGATGCCTGAGTCGAGAATATAAACAGTTGAGCCAGAGCCAGCCGTCGCATCGTAATTGTAGCGAGCGTCTACACCCTTCTCAGAATAGAGCTGTGAGATACGAGCAAGACCCCAAGGAGCAGATGCCTGGCTAGTTGATCCGCGTTTCGTGATCGGGCTGGAGCTGGGCGCTGCAACAGCAGAGACGTTCACAATGGTATCCTGCTCTATGTATTCTACCTAGATTCTTATATTGACAACTAGCTCACATGGGTCTAAGGTCAGAACGACTTACCAGATCAGAGTCAATGACTTCCTGGAGGTCAGAGTAGGGAATCTCAGCGACATAGCCTTTGAATCCATCAAGGTCGATATTTTCCACAATACCCTCCTTTCCCTTACTTTTAGCCTTCTTATGAATGGCCTCTTCATGCTTCTTCTTGCTACTAGAGGAAGCCTTTGATTTGTATTTGATGATGTAATTATTTTGAGCGACAAGTTCGGGTTCGACATTGGCGTTCTGCACTTTTACCTGGGCAAGGGTGAACCCAACAAGTTCGGCAAGAAGGAACAAAGAGATAACAGGCTTCATGATTATAGTTTTTAAAGAGGTTGAGGAAGAAGTAGAGGAGTAAGGGTATATGCTGCGTTGTGTGTTGTGGCGCTTCTGATCCTCAAAAGGGCATTGCAGCGATCCTTTTATAGTATCTACGTCCCCTACTCAATTAGAATACTTCCCTATTATAGCTAAGTGCTAAATCTACAGAGGCCAGGCACAGCAGTCTTGGTAATCTAGATTGTGAGAATAGCAGTATCTTACCGAAAACAGCATTTAGGTTTGCGCCCCAATACCTTCACCTAGATCTACGGCCAACGGCTTTTCTGGACCTTTGGCATGCTGTGAGGCTAGACATGTTTCTAAGCCATGATCTACAACCTTTAAAACCAAACCGGATTTCTGGTACTGTTAGTGGCTGATAAACAAGGTTTGAATTCCAGCTGCCTGGGGTGCTGGCTTATCAAAGCCAACACCATTGGCCATGAAATGTAGATCACCAAGTCCAGTTCCTGATTTTGATCTTCAGCCCTAAATCCAGGCCCAGGAGCTAGGGGCGAAATTCCTACTCAAGAAGTCCAATCAGAATCAGGGACCGTTCCATCGTGTTGCTATGAGGATCATGTTGATTCTCACGGTATTGTAACTATGTAGAGGAGAAGCGGATGTTGTAATTCTGTGTGGAAGCTCTTCTATAGTAAGGACTCTGGCATCAGTATTTGCGTCAATAACCTAACTGTTATATGAGGCTATGCACACTTCGCTGTGAGTCAACCCCAGTCTTGGTCTAAACGACCTTCTTCCCTTCATGGCTGCGCCTTTTCTCCGCCCACTCTCGATTGATCCCCTTGTAATCCTGTATTGTATATCCTGAGAATACCTCCTGTGTTACACTCTGCTTTCTGCGACTGCAGACACCAAGATCCCTAAGTAACATATCTGCGTACGGGACAGTATCATACACAAACTCAGGATACCACGCTGAGAATCCACAAGGGTAGCGCAATCTACCGTAGCAGCTTGATAGTGCTGTCTCCTTGTAGACTCTGTCCTTGTCGATGTCGATCATGTTGTTGAGATAGGCGTATGCCCAGAGAGCTTGCGTTTCTGCAATGATGATATTGGCCGTACTGTGGACCATCTTGATGAAGACAATGGAATTGTCAGATCGCGATGTTGGACCCGGCGGTGCCATGCCGCGGTATAAGCGATATGGTGAGACCTTTTGCTTGTAAGGTATGACATTCTTGGGTGGGTGAGTGAGGTATGGGAACTTTTGAAGGATTTCACTTTCGGCTTGTTTGTCAAGATGGGTCCAGAAGGCTTGCTCCTCACTGCTCATGCTCTCAGTTGGAATGCCAAGGCTCGCTTCGATTCCGTCAGGTTTGTATTGGATGTTTGGGGAGAGCTTCCAGCCGGTAATAGCTATGAGAGCATCTGTTTGGGAACTTGTACCGTCGGCAAAGTTGATCGTTCCGTTTTTAGAGAGATGCGAGATATCTTTCTTGATGATTGTGACCTGTCCCGAGGTTACATAGTCGTGAATGTTGCCAGGGTAGTTAAGGACGCCAACTCGAGCAGACCAGAATAAACTACGTGCATCAAAGTCAGTACGTGTATCGAAACAACTCTGACGAGATAAACACAAACCTCTCATAAGGCTCTAGCTGAGAAATAGCTTCATTCTTCCTGTACCCGTTAAAGTTGACGGTATCCATCCGGATCTTCTCCCAAAGACGATGCACCATTGTCCGACCAAGCCATGTCCCGTGTAAGAAGCGACGGACCCACGAGTAACCGTCGTACTCCCCCCAAACGCAAGGACTGAACCATGTAAATAATCTCATAGTTGCGACATGTTCCAGCTGCAGGGTGAAAGGACCCATCTTAACCCAGGGCGGTGACATCCAAACACCACCGCCACCAGATTCGCGAATGACCCAAGTCACCTTCTTACCACGAGAAGCCATGAGCTGTACAGCATCGTAGCCCGTCTTTGACGCTCCAACAATGGTGACGGACTTGACGTTAGGATCTGAGGCTACCTCGTGTGCCTCAAACTTGAGTTGGCCGTGGTTGAGGACGGGCTTGCCGAAGGACTCACGACCTGGATATGACACAGGATTCGGGGTTGATGCAAGGCCAGTGCACATGATGAGTTTCTCGCAGCGATATAAAACTGGGACGGGCTTTGCGGCTGCGTCCTCGCCGAGGAGCCCCCAGCCGCCTTTGTCTAGCTTTTCGATGGTGCGGATGTTGACATTGAAGCGAATACGACGAAAGATGTCGAACTTGACTGCAAAGTTGGTCATGTACCTGTAGAGAACAAGACCGGGGATATGCTCCCCTTCCTTGACACCATAGCTATCATCAAGAGGGAAGTCGGTGAACTCATAGGTCCCTCGTAGATTGTTGGTCTTTAGGCCATCGTAGCAATTCTCTTCAGCCCAGACTCCACCCAGACCGGATCTCTGTTGGTGAAGTATTAGCTGCGTTCCCGTGACATCATCCCAAGCACTTAGAGTATACCTTTTCGAGAAGCAGGATATCGGCTTCAGGATCTAATTCCAAGTACGTCTTTGCTGCAGCAAGTCCGCCGACGCCTATTTGTAGTTAGATGCAAGGCCTTGTACCTAGTCGGAATCGTCTCCTGTGGCATACTCACCAGTTCCGATGATGATGACGGATGCTCTGTGTGACTTCATCCTGATGTTATTATCCCAGATGCATTTACTGTGAACTTATTGTCGGTTCTGCCGGAACATAGCGTGAATAGTTCTATTGATTATAGATGACTTATATAAAGAACTTTTGACTGTCACCTGAACCACTTTGTCCCTACAGAACTGCAGCAACTCACCCCGCGATGGACCCTTACCCCAGATAATGAAACGTGGGGATTGAGATAAGGTGGAGCATTTTCGGTTATCGTGCCTGAGCATTGCGTACCCATTCTCGATGATTGTAGTCTTCGTATTTATCCAGAATACTTTGCGATGTTCTAGGTTAGCCGGGAAATGGTGGGAGAGCTAAAGTGGGGTGATCCCACGCGGGACACTTGAGAGTGGTACGCGCTTCTAAAGTGGTACAGTACCTACGCAGTAAAGTGGTACGTGATAAGTGGGTATTGTAGATAGGCTCGGACAGAGAGTGGCACACTATCCCTATTAGCATGGTACAACGCCGAAACTACATATTTATTATCAATTTACCATTCTATCTATGAGTTAGGCAACACGACTCTAGGACTTTGCACTTACGCAAACTTACTTAGACTGAAGACTGAGGAAAGGGACCGGTTATATTTTTGACTGAGTCTGAACCTTCTGTTAACCTTTGTATTTGAGTAGTCAGCTTATAGTGATTCCATGTCCACAATGCCCTCAAGGACCTTCATTGCTTCAAAGGCAGCAGTCCATCGAACTGTCTTGAGATACTTTGCCACTTCAATAGCCAAGCCATGCGGGCAACATCTATGCAGGTCTCTGCCAATAGTCGTTGGAGTACAAGAGGCCATGTTGGAGATGGTCTGATGCATAAGAGCCTTTGACTGTGTCTGCAAGATATCCTCTCCACCGACGCTATGATGACAGGCTCGACGGTTATCTTTCTGCCCCTGCGAGAAATGCACAAACGCCCAAGTCGTCAAGACACCGATATAGAGACACCACGGATAGTGAAACATGCCGTTAGCCTTCCAATTCCGCAGGTTCAATAGGCCTTCGCGTATCATCTGTGCAGCATGCCACGCGGCATGACCAGCCGAGTCAGGAGATAGTCGCACCCACTCCATCACCGCCTTTGTACTTTCTTCGCGCTCTGCGCTTGTCACGACGTGCCCAAAGATTGCCTCAGCGCCTGCTGCAATCTGGAGATGACGGATATCCGCATCGACGACAATATGAGCGGTGTGATACAGTGCAAGAAATGCCACGTTTTCCTGACGAAACTCGTGTAGGGACGAGTCCTGATCGATGGTTTGTCTTGTTCCCATAGCGCAAGCATCGTACTTCGTCTTCCATAGCTCCAGTGCAGCCGTCATGCGACGGCGCGAATCGTTGTCCCCTTGTGCGGCGTTTCCAAGATAGATGGACTGGTTGTGAAAATGAACCATGTCGTTGCACATTGACATCAAACCATGCAAGATAAAGCTCAGAGATAAGCTATCCAAGGTCTCGCACCATATGTTTCCCCCGTCCTCGATAAAGTCCTTTACGATACTGTTAATCATCGGAGGATAACCTTCAGAGGAAATGTTTGCTTTCCATGCATCTTCACCCTTGGCTTCCCAAAGCTGTTTTGAGCATGGGAGATTGACTTGGATTGATTGGGTAGACATGCTTGGCATGAACGAGTAATAACTGACATTCTGCGTATCCCACATAAAGATAAATAATATTAAGCTAGAACAAATGTAAGTAGCGTGCTGCAATATCCCGAGGAATCGAGATCTTACCGCTTGTACTGCTCGTGGTATGCAAATGCTTTCCAGTCCTTCTCGTGATCTATACTCAAGTCGGGAACCATTATTCTGGCCCGAACATGGTAACGGGACAGTCTTCTTATAGCCTAGTTGTTACGTCAGTAGGAACGACCCCTCAACATCAAAGGCCAGACTTACGTTGAAAAGGAACGTATGAATTATAATTGCATTTTCGCGCTGATATGCTCCAGCTCTATACATCCCGTAACATTCTAGAACCATAAAGGCCTGAAGAATGGAAAGATCAGGCACCTTGATACCACTGAGCCCACTCATGATATATGGCGTCATGGCGTCATAAAGGCAGACTGAAAGCTGATGGTCTTCTTTCTCCTTGTAGGTGGCCCCAAGGACAATCATAGACAACAGGAACAAAGGCTCCGCGTCGGGAACCTCTAATGTTGGTGTATGGATCATAGGGTAGCAAGAGTTGAAGTTGGCAAAGAATAAATCTACGTACTCTTGCATCCGAGTGAGTGAGAGGTCTGCTGTAGTCTCATCGATCGATGTGCCGTCTGGGTAAACTGGCCTCATATCGTTGATGAGTCCGAGAATCTCCCCTCTCTTTGTTTCCGTCAGATGGAGGTTATTCAGCCCCAGGCGCCCCAGGGAGCATAGACTATCGACTTCTGCGGAATTACTGCTTGTATCGATTACTTCTCCACTGCAAGCCCCTGTTGACTGGAGGCTAGTTATCTCTTCATCGGGATCTGGAGACTGGCCTGCTGTCGTGGTCCTGATTGTTGGCGAATGAAGTGCTAGTGCGTCTTGGATTGGAAGGCCCTCCTGATCAAAGTCACGAGATTTCGGAGGCAAGACAGGCAAGTCAGCTTGGCCTGGCACTAGACTTAGATACCCGAGGGTTTCTGGAGAGTGAGGATCACCCGTGACATTGAAATGCATAAAGTCAAAGGTAGAGTCGTGATACATGTCTCCAAGCTCCAGAAAGTCGAAGCCATCTGTATTCAAAATGTCTTCGTGAGGTTCAGTAGAGGTGCCCTTACCGAACGAGGGAGATCGTTCTGTCGTTTGCTGAGGGTTACCAATCGTAGATTCATAGCTCCCTGGCACACCCAAGTGTTCAGGAATAACTGAAGACATCATATCAGCGTCCGGCTGACCCACTGCCACCGTTCTCGACTGAGCCCTTGATGATACCAGTTGCTGGGCACTCGGTGAGCTAGAAGCCCTTATAATTCGACCCCGATGATGTCGTTTAGTCCTGAGTATACCAAGCCCCAACCCGCCAGCTAGCCGGTCTTTACTTGCGTGGCGAGCCTTGTGTCTCTCTAAGAGAAGAAGATTAGCCACTATTCATATTTCAGCCATCAAGACATAGTAGACATACCGAGGAGATCGCGTCGCTTGAAGGATGCAGCGCATCGCGGACATTCGAACTCGACAGCTGAATGGTTCAGAGCGTGCCGCGCGAGATGGGACGGCCGACTGAATGACTTTCCGCACCCTGGCTTGGGGCATTGATGTCGCTTTGGTACATGCCGAGGTTCCCTGGGTCTCGAGTAACTGTCATCCATCTGTTCATTACGAGCTTTTCTCTACAGGCTAATTGAGGAGCGATATGGAAATGATGATGTGTCGGATAAATGTAGTAGCGGAGGGGAGTGCGTTACCCGCTTAGCCCAGCCGCTAACCCTTTAGCCGATGTTGGGCACACTGATACAGATAAAGAGGGTCGCCACAAACAGCCCAGCCTGGGTGACCACCAGCCAATATGGTCAAGCTGGTTTTGTCAATATGATGGATATACGCAGTCTATTTCCATGTCTATAGATGTCGATATTCCCTTGCCTGATCAGATAGTATTCCCACCATCAACTGGCCAGCACGCTCTAGTTACAAACGATGCTTGATCACTCAACAGGAAAACAATGACACCAGCGACTTCATCCGGATGCGCGGCCCGAGCAATGGGGTTTTGCTTTGCTGTCAATGCTTTCCCATTTGCACCCCTTGGCAAAGTACTCTGGGTCATTGGGGTGTCGATAAACCCCGGCGCAACGGTATTGACACGGATATTCTTTGATCCAACCTCGGCAGCCACCGAAGCACAGAGGCCTACTACGGCATGCTTAGAAGCTGCATATACTGGCGCTGAAGGGAGAGCTCTGATACCAGCTGCCGACGCAACAGTGACCTATATATGCAGTGATTAGCAATGCTCCAGAAACAAACACTGAGTATCCTACAATGCTGCCCCCCCCCACTGTCACCGATAGCAGCTATCTGGGCTTTTAAGCAATTGAACACCCCCTTTGCGTTCACATTCATCATAAGGTCCCAATCCTGGATTGTCGAGTCGAATATAGGCTTTGGCTTAAAGATACCAGCAATGTTGGCAGCACCGTCTAATCGTCATGAAGTTCACGTCCTTTCGTCGACCTATACTTAGCCTTCAACTATACAAGACGGAGTGGCAGGCCATATCCAAATTGATCGTTTTTTAAAAGCCTATCCTGCGTCATGTTGTCCATGATAGTGGCATCTATCAATCGATGCTCTCCTGGTTGCCTTTCTTCAGTAGCCAGGAGTATTAAACCACTGGTGGACTTGGAGTGTCCCCACTGCACCGGCTCTATAAAGAGATAGTGACTCGCTTTCTGTAGTCTCCGACGTATGACGCAGTCCACCTGAACTTCGAAGTCAGGGACTGACGGGAAGGTATGCATCATGGAAAGCTTCGCGCCGACGGCAAAAGAGTCGTTATTGTCATCACCGACAGTTTTCATCCGGAGCAAGTATCCAGCAACGACCATTGCACCGTCAGAGATTTGCGGATGTGCCGCGTTTGTACCTGCTCCCATCATCGAATATTGTCGCTGGGCGCACATACGAGGCACCCAGCTCGCATTGGTGCCATTGTCTCGCCCAGTACTGGTCAATAGGATATTTGCCCCTAGAGCGCCGGTTCCCACCATCTTCTCCATAAGCTGGACAGGGTCGATTTTGTAATCTACTGCGGGAGGCTTATCCGATGCCATGGAGAACAGGCTGTAGTACTCATCCAACTCCAGAGTGGCTTCTCGCCCACGAATCTTGTCAAGAAGCACTGCCAAGGGACGCTTACAGGCATTCGCGTCGAGGATGGTACCGTGACTGGAACATCTGACTATTGCCCTTTGATATATAGATTCCTCTGTTGGGTCTGCTATCGTCGCTGACATGGCCACCAAGGTTCTCTTGTCCGGATTTCCGACCTCCATAGAGAGGTGGGGGAGGACGTTTATGTAGCTGTTGCCGAATGGCGAACTGCATAAAATGCCCACAAGCTGTGAAGAGTCGATCAGGGGGGCCGATTCTTGACCTGTCCAAAAGGTACATCTCTTACTCATAATAGCTTCCTGCAAAGTCCAGCAGCGTTTTCTCCACTCGCAACTTTCCCATATCTGCTTGACCTGCTGAACCAGCTGTGGGCTGTATAGTCGGACCTTGGGACCGTCGGCTTTCAGCTGTGCAAGTTCGAGTGGAAATGCCATGCCAGGAAGGATTAGAGTATACTCGGCGTTAGAGTAATAGTCCTTCATCTTTGGCACCTCAGTTTCTTTGTCCTCATAGCTGTCTTGATCTATACACCATCGATCGACCCAGTAATAGCGGTGCTTCAGTACACCATAGGTTTTGGCGATGACTTTTTCCAGGTCTTGAGAGTCGTAAGACTTCCAAGGGTATGAGAGGGCTATGTAGCTCTCTACAGGCTCATCCACGGATCTAGTCACTATCTTGTCTTTTAGGTTGACTTCATTGCTCAACAGGGCGTCATAAAATCTTCTAGGGGTGATCTTGACCTTGGATATACCCGCCTCTTTGTCTGCTTCTGCCAGTCCCCCAGGTAGCAGACAATCGCAAGACCCTCGGTGGACCTTGCCCCTCGGGGCCACAGCATAATATGGCACAGCTCTCGAGACAAGCCCTTGCAACCGATTCAACGTTAGAAACTGGCTACCGTCGCAAAGTCTATCAAGCGGCAGAAATGGCAGCACGGGTGCCGCCATCTGCAGTTTTTTGGTGTCGCTCATTTCGGCCTCTAGACTTCTCAAGAGCTCATCCTGAATATCTGACCTCGATTTTCCTAGCGCCTCGCCCATCTCCGAGTGTACACCAAGGAACTCTACACGCTCTAGTGCAATAGCAATGATGCTGAACACTCTAGCAAGCGTGATAAAGCTGTCGTAGTTCCACGCTGGAGGCACCTGCACGGGGGCCCTGTTCGTGTTCTCTTCCAGCACCACTTGCGTTACCCGGCCTTGAGGTGTCGTCTTGATCAGCAGCCCCAAGCTCAGCATAAATGAGGTACCAACGCCATTGCTGTCAAGACACACGCATGGATCGACGGAGGTTAGGTCCGCCCTCGTCCTATTTTTGCCAGGAATGTTCCGCGATTCCCAAGAACCCTTATTCGCTTCTACATTCGTAGGTTCATCAGAGTCATCATCAGATTCTTCATCTGTGACGGTAATGCGCAGTCGGCAGCCGCGTGGCTTGGAAGCCCACAATGAATCCGTACGCATCGTGTGAGCAATCTCCTTGTCTGTCAAGACGCCGCATATACGCGGCGATGACATTAGTCCCTTGATATCGGAATGAGGACCGGGAGACTCTGGACCGCTCCTAGGAAGCAAGAGATTGCAGTAATTAGCATCGTCGATTTCGCCGTTCCTTTGAACACAAACTCGCATATTGCGGTCAAATGGATCGTAGTCCGACATTATCAGTTGTTTTCTCTTAATCTCTCTCTCTAGTGTTAGGTCGGTCTTAGCTTAGGTAGGATACAATTATATTCAACGTTCAAAGTCGCTTTGATACAAAAGAATGGTATGGCCTTGTGCAGAAAGTATCAAAGAGGTAGAATTAAAATACTCAAAATGAAATAGAAAGTTGCGGTGTGAGATTATAGAGTGGGATTTAAAAAATCACTCACTATATTATGTGTCACTTTATGACAAATCATACCATTCGTACACGGCTTGGCATAACAGCCGCACCCAAAGAGTAAATACAAGGATAGGCGGAAAGAATTAATATTTTCAAGACAAAACCTTATATAGAGACTCAAGACAAGCCCTCACTTCCAGGCTACTACCATCACGCTATTAATGTAGCTCTATATCCAAATGAAAAGGTATATATTTGTATAACTAACTCTTTGTTTGGACAGGCACACCTTGAATGACAGCGTCTTTCTCACTTCCCTCCGATCCTAGGCCCATACCTAGCTTGATGGCTTCAGCCTCAGTGAACGACCCAAAGTAGTCCACGTCGTCAACAAGTCCCAAACCAGCGGGCGGGAACACACGATTGATAACGTAATGGGCAGTGAATGAGATGGCAAACCCCAGCGGGAATGCAAGATAAAACAGTTCATGCCAGGCCTCACCAACCTTGACTTTGTCAGGGGTCACACCTGCAGCAAATCCAGGCAATTGGGTCGCAAAGCCAAGAAACCAAGCAATGAAGCTCCTAGGGTTGAAGCCACAAGTGAAATAGTAGATGCTGGTAAGGCCAGGGTTGTAGAGATCGGACAACTTAATGCGACGAGAACGGATCAGCCAGTAATCACAGACTTGAATGCCAATGATCGGCCCAAGAAAGACACTGTATGCAGACAGGACTGAGATGAAGACGCTGGCTGAAGAAAGAAGCTCCCATGGGCACATGGCAACGCTCAAGACTAGAGCAATAAATGCACCTCGCCTGATGTTGATATAGGAGCTGACTAGACCGGCGAGATCCATGCCAGCACTATATGCGTTGTCAACCACGTTGATGGCAATCTGGCACATAACAAGGCCTAAGCCTGCAAATAATGCAGCGGCTCTTGAACCAGAAGAGTAGTCTCTGTCAAGCCACTGTTGGCAGATTAGGGCTTCATAGTTGATACATGTTAGTGATGATAGAATACACCAGAGGGCGCTAGAGTTGTACTTACGGGGATTCCAGATGGCCTCGCCCCAGATTCCCTGAGTGGCTGATGCTGCGAGGCAGCCAAAGAGAGGAAAGAGTGTGCCGAAAAAGCTACAGATGTGTAAGTTGCTTCCCTTTCAAATCCCAGTCATTGATGGCAACTCACATAATGGAAAACCACTGCCCAAACACCTGATCACCAGGCTTTTGAGCAAATCGGGTGTAATCATTTGCATTCGTCAGTCCTACTGCTATGCCACCAATGACAGTTGTCACGCCAGACGTGATAGCCCAGCCAAGGTCATGGGAGCTCATTGGCGTCGCACTCTCGGAAAGCAGAGGGCCGCCCCCTTTGGCTTCAACAAGGGACCAAATCATGATGGAGATTAGCGTGACCGACGCGATAATGTTGAAAATGAGGAGGACTCTCTTGATCTTATGAGGATGGATCCAGAGAACTGGTATCATAGAGACATTGAAAAGAATCCAGCCAACAAACTGCTTCGTATCGAGATGAGATGATTCGGGAAATACGTTTCCGAGTCTTTGGAAGCTGGGGAACATTGCTGACAAGATGACAGAGATGCAGAGACCGCCTGTCCACGACTGCACAGAGAACCAGACTAGACTGAGGATAATTCTCTGGACGATGGCGATGAAGGATCCGTATGGACCCCAGATATATCTTGAGACGACAGGGAAGCCGATATGCCATTCAGCGCCTGTATAGCCATTGAATATTGCGACCAGGCTGATGATGACTTTGCCGATCAAGGTAGCTATAATGACTTGCCAGACACTAAGCCCGGTGGCGACAAGTGAAGCGCCCAGCTGCCAGTTGGATACTAACTACGGGTTAGATACCGCGTACATACATAGAGATTGTTCGTGGTGGCTTACTGGCAACTTGGTTCACTAACCAGAAAGATATAAAGGTCATAGTGTTCCATGTTCGACGCTCTGGCTCCAACGGACGGATGTCGTCATTGATCCATACATTGGAGACGGCTCTATCTGCGCTGGGCAGTCTCATCCGGGTCAGGATGGATTTGAGTAGCATACTGACAGGAAAATCCTTTACGTCGGAGCTGTTGAAGATACTGGAACTTGGTCCTATTGAGCTGACCCCTTCAGATCGCAACTGGTTTGTGGGGTCTCATTTATTTTATGATGTATCTTATCACTTTGGATATCTTGATGATAAGCAAACCCATTGCCACTACCTTCTGGTTGGGTTACATGGTGCGAGGTCCGAAAAGAGGGGTTCGCAACGACAGATAATGATTTGAACCATCCTGTGCTACATAAAGTTGAGTCTTGTGTAACGCGATTCCAGAAAAAGGACTCATATCCGGTAGATGAGGCCCAGAGTCCGGAACCCGGAACCAAGGTGCCCTATCACATATGGCCTTTCATTGCAATGAGATGGGAAATTATCCGATTCGTTGGTAAAATATAGACAGGCCAAGATAAGTTATAGATAGAGAGGTAGTCTATATGGGCCGATATCAATTGCCGTTTCGGCATTCCCGATTCGGAGATGCCGCGGCAGTTAGCCTGATAATTGACGATGATCAACACACTCGGATTGTTCCATCCCGACCAAAGTTGACCGAAGATAGGGGAACCACTTGCTCGGGACAATTGCACCGTTCAAGCAAACAAGACACTTCAGAAATGTTTGTCTGAGTTAACCCCGCAACGTTATCTTGAGATACGAGAGATATCCTGGTAGAAACCCCGCAGATGCATGTAACCTCGCGATGTAAGCTAACCGTCCGCATGCTCCACTTCTCCAGCAATGGTGCGAGAGAAGCTCCGTTATATGAGTAAAGCGTTGGATATTGTTACTTATAACTTTGTTGTCAAGAAATTGCTCTATAGATTTCAGATTTCGAGCTCCAGCCCTGCCCATCATGACTCTAAGTAAAGCTGTACGTATAGGAGTCGACGTCGGCGGCACCAATACCGACGCCGTCGCCATAGACGTCGCCCTGGCTGCACAAGGCGATGCTCAACGTGGAGTCATCGCCTTCAAGAAAACCCCCACCACGCCCGACGCGACTGCTGGAATCGAGACTGCTGTAAGAGCTGTCATTGAGTCTGGCAGCATAGTTCCCCAGCGGATTGCGAGCATCACAGTCGGCACAACACACTTTATCAATGCGGTCGTGGAGAGAGATGCCCGGCGACTCCAAAAGGTCGGTGTTTTGAGACTGTCACGTTCGTTCCTCCGAGAAGTACCTCCTTTCTCAGACTTCCCGCCCGATCTGGCAGCCATCATCAAGGGATATTGCGGCATCATCGATGGAGGCTTGCATATCGATGGGTCTCAAGAAGCACCCATCAAAGAAGCCCAAGTGGTGGCCGAATGCGAAAAGATCAAGGCAGAGAACCTTAAGGCGGTTGTGATCGCCGGCGTGTTTTCTCCTATTGACGAGGTATTCAAGCAAGAGAGCCGTGTCAAAGACATCATCCTACGAGAAATTCCAGGAATTGATGTCGTGTGTTCTCATGAGGTGGCCAATATTGGCTTCCTAGAGCGCGAAAACGCCAGTATCCTCAATGCTGCTATCCTTCAATATGCTCGGAAAACAATGAGGAGGTTCAATCAAGCCAAGAAGAAGCTTAACCTGACATGCCCACTGTTTATTACTCAGAACGACGGGACCACTCTTGATGCGACTGCAGCAGCCAGGATACCAATCAAGACTTTTGCATCGGGAGCCACCAACTCGATGAGAGGTGCCGCTTACTTGGCTGGTATCGATGCTGGGGGCAACTCTTCGGCCATCGTCGTGGATATTGGTGGAACCACAGCTGACATTGGCGTGATCCTACCAAGCGGACTCCCAAGACAAGCTTCCGCATATGTCACAGTCGCTGGAGTAAGAGTGAATTATTCAATGCCTCATCTGCACTCCGTTGGACTTGGCGGAGGTTCACTAGTGCGCAGCGTTGATGGGAAGGTCAAGGTTGGTCCTGAGTCAGTTGGTCACTACCTTGTTGAAGAAGCTCTTGTTTTCGGTGGCAATACATGCACGGCATCTGATATCGCTGTTTCCCTGGGAAGAGCAGGTATGGGCGATAAGAGCAGGCTGTCTGGACTGGAACCCGAGTTTGTCCAATCTGCAAAAGCCTGTATCAAGACTCTACTTGACGGAGCTGTCGATGTCATCAAGACCTCCGCTGATCCGCTGCCCGTCCTTCTAGTAGGAGGAGGGGCCGTGCTTGCGCCAGAAGATATCTCAGGGGCCTCAAAGGTCATCCTCCCCCCATTCCACGATGTTGCGAACGCCATTGGCGCTGCAATCTCTCGCGTCAGCGGCGACGTCGATATCGTTCAGAGCACAGCCCATCAGACAGAGTCACAGGCTCTTGAGCGTGCAAAGACGATGGCCGTCGAGCGAGCTATTCAAGCTGGTGCGATACCTGAAAGTATCACCATGGCAAACGTAGAGAGTATCCCGCTGCAATATGTGTCACATCAAGTTCGAACCATCGTTAAAGCAGTGGGAGATGTCGACTTCAGAGGTTATGTATCAGAGTTGGAGCTCGATGCTGCAGATGATGACGACGAAGCCAGTGACGAACCTGAAGGACGAAAGAATCGAGCTGTCAAGACTACCGAAGATATTCCTGTTGATCCTTTCACGTACACTCCTACCATCAAGGTCAGCGATGAGGGAGTCCCTGAATGGATGCTCAATGAAACAGATCTGGCTTGGCTGGCTGACGGATGCTATGTACTGGGCTGCGCTGGTGGTGGAACTCCAGCTCCTAGCTTCATCCAACTGCGGGATATTCTACGAAAAGGGCACACTATTCGCATTGTCGACCAGTCTTCCCTCAAAGACGATGCTCTTATCTACTGGGGCGGGCACATGGGATCTCCTGCCGTGTCGGTAGAGCGATTACAGTCCACCGAGACAGTGGAAGCATTCAATGTTCTCATGGAGTATCTCGGCCATAAGAGTATCGACGCTGTCATGGGACTGGAAATTGGTGGTGCCAATGGTATGGAACCGATGCTTGTTGGTTCCTCACGATTCTTCAACGCGCCTGTAATTGACGGTGACTGGATGGGCCGAGCATATCCTACCTACTGGCAAACTACACTCGCGGTACATAAGCCACTAGAACTCGTTCCTTGTGCGATTGACTCTGGCGACGGTAAGAGTATCATCATGACTCGAGCACCAGACGACGAGATTGTTGACAGAGCATTGAGAGCGTCATGTTCCGAAATGGGAAGCCGAGTCGGTATGGCTGCCAAACCCACCACTACCGAGAACGTGCGGAGATACGGCGTGCTTAATACCTGCTCTCTTGCTTGGAGGATAGGCAGATGCATTGCACGTAGTGTTTACAGTAACCAGCTCTCTACAGTTGCAGAGTCGATTGTAGAAGAGGCTGGTGGATTGAAGTCAGCTAGAGTATTGTTTCGAGGCAAGATTGTTGAAGTCGAGAGACGACTATACAAGGGGCACTCTCATGGCGCTCTACGCATTGAAGCATTCGATGACCAAGACGATGGCGAATCGGAGCGAATGACACCTGTAGTATCCGGAGGGACACTGCGAATCCCATTCAAGAACGAGAATATTTTTGCTGAGCATACCACTGCTGACGGCTCTGAAACCAAGATCATTGCTTCTGTCCCTGATCTTATTGCTGTTTTAGATAACGGATCAGGTAAAGCACTGGGTGTTCCAGAGTTCAAGTACGGTTATAGAGTGACTGTCCTGGGCATTACGTGCTCGCCGCAGTGGACCAGAACAGCTTCTGGTATTGAGATTGGAGGACCAAAGGCATTTGGCTATGATGATGTTGTCTACAAGCCTCTTGGGGAGTATGTAGAACCTGTGAGTGTGATCAAAGAATATGCTTAATTAGAGTTATTGATGTATATATTTCGTTGGGGTAGTGGTAAGCTGGAAGAATAAAAGCACTAGCAAGAATTTATGAAATAGAAAACTTTGATTGTTTTAGATCAGACCTAAGTGATTACTATAAATTCTATTTACCACTATGCATTTCTAGAGCTTAATAGGGCTGTAGAATTGCTTGGCATTAGCTGAGATAACTCGGTCTCTGGTCAGGAAGCCGAGATCCGCTAATGCTTACTGCTCAAGGCAGTATAAGGCATTAATGCATTTCAGGCATCAACTTAGCCTCCTCCGGCTGACTGCGGCTTACTGACTGTTGTATAGTTCTGAATATCCCCAAAAATGGCGGAGAAGGCTCTTGCTATTGACTATAGCTCGCTTGTGCCAACGACCAAGATTTGCATACTTACCCTCGAGTATGGAAGAGGTAATGATCCTATTGTATGCACTCTCTGACCTGAGATACGAGATGGAGCAGAATACCATGCTCTATCATATGAATGGGAAGACGAAAGCAAGAATGATGTTTTTATCACTATCGATGGTCGCCAAGTTCAAATCCGCATGAACCTCTTCGAGGCCCTGAAGACCTACGGCTATGGACGATGCAATATGTATCAACCAGTCAGAGGTGCAAGAAAAGAGCCAGCAAGTCGCCATGATGGGCGAGATGTTCACAGAAGCTATCGGTGTCATATCATGGCTCGGCCCAGCCAGAGACGATGATAGTAATTTGGTGATGTATCTCATGAGGTTCGACATAACCCCAGAACCAGACTCACGAGAGCTAGAAGCCTTGCTTTCCCTCTTTTATTGGCGCCGAGTCTGGATCATACAGGAACTGTACCTCGCAAAGAGCTACGTGATTTGGTGCGGCCACGAATCCATCTCCGACACCAAGTTTGAGAGATCCCCAGCCAATCTCAACTGCCACAACGACACGTTCAGCAATGACTTTTCCCAAAGCCCAGCGAACCAGCACTCGATGGGCCGGTTGTTCCGCTCCATCGAGATCAACAGCCTGCATCGGTGGATATCTGTATGTGTCCGCGTAGATTTTTAGTGCACGAGGGAGCAAGACATTATTTATGCGCTTCTGGATATCTCGACAGATTATAAGAGATTCAAGGAGAGTTTCAAGGTCGACTACTCAAAGATACCGCGGGATGTCTTCCTAGAGCTTCTATGTCAGAGAGATCTTTCCACGTGGCGCCGTGGAGAGGAAAATCGCTGGCTGCAACTTGCGGAAAGGATGAAGCTGGACATAGATGAGGATTTGAGGAGACCGAAATCTGAGAGGGTTAATATCCGAGATGTTGGTGGCTAAAGGATGGCCAAGAAATGGGAGTATCACGGCCGCCGGAAATTTTGACCTGAAGAAGTATACCAGCCTTCATCACTTACGTTGAGAGCGCAAGTCTAAGCTAGATGATTGTGCCTTCACAGTGAGTACAGGTCTTTAACTATCAGGAATAGCACCGTGATATTGATATATGAATTCTATAAATCAAGGCTCGACAAGAGCCTCGTAGTTGGGCCTTGCAGGGTTGTCTCCCAACACTGCCTCTCTATACTTCTGATTCCAAGCTTGGAAAGCTTCGTTGTCTCCATTTTGAAGTGCCGCGTCGTATGCAGCCTTTGCGCCTTGGTAAGTATTTAGGGCTGCGCTCCAGGCAGGTGCCTATCTTTTGGTCAGTGACACGTTTTCTTTGGAAAAGGCTTGCGGAGACCTACATTTGCAGGGGCCCATTGTCTGAAGTCCTGGCCGTCGGCGATTCCAGCATCTTGCGCTTGCTGGAAATCGGACTCGGCGCTTTCTTTGGCGCTGACAGCGTAGTTGTACGCCTGCTGGAGCCTCTCCTTGCTGTCTTGGATGCGGATTTGGCTGCCTGGGTCGGACATCTTGAGATGAGTGATAATACTGTGTAATGAATATGTTGAGAATGGGAGTGGATGAGTGAATGATGGATTGGAGAATGAGGAGCCAGTAGTGAGAATTTATAGTCAAATTGTGTGTTTGCCGTTTTTTACGCTGACGTATGTCAAGATGGCAATCATGCAGCTAACGTAATTAACTAGACTTCTTTCACTCGAAAACGGCGATTAATTCCACTTCGATTATCAGATCAACATGATAGTCACGACTATTCAAGCTAATTGATGCATGTCTCAGCTTCAGCTGCAATCTCACCGCCGATCGCAAGCCCTTTCAAGATTTAGCGCTGTGCTGCTATCCTATTAAACATATCCATGAAGAAGCGCAATATCTCAACAAAATGACGCTGGCAGGGGAAGTATCGTTAGACGGCGCTTTACGAGACGTGGAACTTGACCATGATATCAATTGGCTGCGAATGGGCGCGGCAAGTGTCTCTGTCTCACCTTGTCAGCGTGGCGTTGACGCTATTGACGCGTGCTGTACTGTGAGGTCAGTACCCCGCCTCAACATCTGTGCTGACCTTGATGATCTATCAAACTCAATCGAAGCTCGCCATGAGCCAATTCCAAGCTTTCGATTATGGCGCGGTGGGACTGAGAACGGCATCAACCGAGATCCGGCTGCTAGACCTCTACCCTTCACATGGTTTGGTAGATGACCGTCTGATCGGCCGTCTTTACACGACCTCCATTGAAAGCCCATCACCCTATATCGCTCTCTCGTATGTTTGGGGTTTAGGCGACAAAACTCAATCGATTCAGATATCAAACTTGAATGATGATAAAGAGACTTTTATACCCATCACGGAGTCGCTGGAGACCGCACTGCGTCATTTCCGCAAACAAGATGAGGTTATCACGCTATGGATCGATCAGATCTGCATTAACCAGGCAGACAATAAAGAAAAAGGTCAGCAAGTCGCGATGATGGGGAGTATCTACTCGTCTGCGACACAAGTGCTAGTATGGCTTGGGCCAGCTCAAGATGGCTCCAACGAATTGATGGGAGCATGGCAAGACATTGGGCAACGAGCTCGGCAGTTTGGACTGGAGAGCTATTTGAACCCACAGAGTTACCACCTCATATCAGCACTGGGAAGAAGCAGGGACCCCTCTGATGAGACTGCTGTGAGCTACCAAGGCTTGTTGACCAGTACTGTTGAGGTATTTGCTCCGTTGCTAAAGGAAATGACGTTGAAGAGGTGGTTCGAGAGACCGTACTTCTCACGAGTCTGGATCATCCAAGAATTTTGTTTGTGCCCCGATACCATCTTCGTGTGCGGTTCCAAAACGATACCCGTGGACTTCGTCAAATTCGCGGTACTGCTGCTTCAAACCGCAATAGGCAACATGCCACAGGGCGACTACGAGCAGCTTCAACCGCCTGAGATGCCTCTGGAGAGACTGTCCGAAGTATCCTCTGAACCAACAGCACGGCTATTTGGTTGTCGCTCACGTCATCAGAAGCATAAGGACGACGAGCTGTACATGTTGTTGCGCAGACTATTCGTTGAGCTTGAGACGAATGCGACTGTGCATCGTGACCGCATCTTTGCACTTCTTGGTCTAGCTGCAGACACTGAGAAGCTTGGGATCCAGCCGGACTATGAAAGAAGCACAGAACTTATCCTGACGCAAACGGCGCGCACGTTGATTGAGAAGAGTGGACGGGTGGACCTGCTGTGCTACTCTCAGTTTCCAAAGCTCGATGAGCTTTCACACCTACCATCGTGGGTTCCGGACTGGCGATCTAACCTCAGTCGTTCGTTCTACACTCTTAATGAACGTATTGATATGCATCTATTTGCCGCCTCCGGTCAGGATAGTGTTGTTGAGGTTGTGCAACACCCCAATGACACCTCGGATATTTTAGGACTTCGAGGCTATAATATTGATGTGATTGAGGAAGTTGCTGAAGGTGACGGTTGGATGGACATGAGCTGGGACTATGAGAGATATCTTGGCTATATGGCCCAGATTGATGAGTTGTGGCAAAAGTCCATGGAGAAAGCCCTCAACGGACGAACCCTAATTCGAAAAGAAGAGGCTCGGTGGCGTGTGCCTATCGGAGACATCTACTGGACGTGGGAAGGGGATAAACAAAGAGCTGAACCGGAAATAGCAACGTTTCACAAACAATTCCTTCAAGAGCTGGAATTGTTTGGTGAGATGACTCGACTGGCAGCTGTGGGAGAAGACGTTTCGGATAAGTGCTTGCAGTGGGAGGAGGAACATCGAGGCGCAGAGACGAAGCATAATTATCGTGAGAGTATGAGGAAGATGCAGGGCAAGCGACCATTCGTCACAAGAATGGGATATTTGGGGATGGGTCCTATGGAGGGTAGAACTGGTGATGTCGTTGCTGTCTTTTGTGGCGGGCGAATTCCTTTTGTGCTACGTCCTGTTGAAGGCTTGAGCGAGCTTGGGGGGTTCTCTTATATCGGTGAGGCTTATTGCGACGGTGTTATGGATGGTGAAGTTACGAGCAAGGCGAAACAGACCCTCTGGCTTACCTGAGTATTATTTGGCTCAGAACATCATTCTCGCTCGAATATAACCCTTCTTGGAATTATGCAGTGGATCACGAAGCGCTAGTGGCTGTCAAACCTGCTACCTTTAGTCTAGTCTACCTAGACCTTTAGCCACGGTGCCGATGTCGGCTAACTCAAATGCTGTGAGTCTTGCTGCGCGATATTGACGATGAGTCAAGTTCAGCAAAGAAAACAGCCATTAACGAGTATAAGTACTTAACTCTGACTTTTTAAATGCTCTGGAGGATAAAAACAATAAAGCCATACCGTCGCTCTTGAGGGCTTCCTTTCTCCTTATCTTTAGTCGTGCGTCTACCCGGCCGCTGCCATTTAGGCTCTCAGTATTGCGTGGTATATATACTTCGATTGCAAAGTCTTGTCAAGATGACAGTAAATCAACTTGAGAAACCAGATTTTATACAAATCAAAACCACTCTTACGAAACTACCATACCCACCATTCAAGGAGCGCCCGACTGTAAGAACTAAACGTCTTGTTCTCAGGCCGTTCTATGAAGATGCTGCCAATGACCTTTTCCCCATGCGCGCCCAGAAAGAGGTCATGATGTGGACAGCACAAGGCGCTCCAGATAAGAATCTCGAGGAAACGCAGAAATGGGCTGCGCAAAGACTACCGCCGCACGACGAAACCAACTTGTACTACGTGATCAGTCTCGTTGAAACTGGTGAGGTTATCGGAGCTGGTGGCACGTATAGACGAGAGTGTGAGCTTGGCTGGCCGGCGATTGGATACGCATTTCGCAAGGAAGCTTGGGGCAAGGGCTATGCGACCGAGTTTCTGGTGGCGTTTATGAAGATTTGGTGGGGGCTACCGCGGGTTGAGTGTTCTATCGCTGTGGATAGGACTACGTTGAGTGAGGAGGAGATAGTGGCCAGTGTGAATGGTGCTATCACGGAGAGATGTGCTGCGGAGACTATTAAAGAGAATATGGCGAGTAAGCGTGTCTTGGAGAAGGCTGGGTACACCTGGGTTAAAGAATGGAGGAATGAGGAGAAGAATTGGTCTATCTATGGATGGGTGACAACAGCTGCGCAACTGCCTGCAAATTAGTCACTGACCGATACTATGATTTGAAGCGTCTAGGATCGGATCGGCAGGGAGACAAAACACGCAGCCTCAATAACTGTGGTTACTTTGAAGGAGAACAATCGAGTAGACTAATGGTTCTTGGTATTCTGGTGAGGCTACATAGATATCACGATACCACTTTCCCTCTTCCAAATCATCCCCACCAGTAATAAAGAGTAAGAGATTGCCCAAGTAGGATACAACTTGATATAGTACGAGCAATCTTTCTAAAAGAATTTAGCCTTAGAGATGAAGCTGAGTTTATCGGCTCCAGACAGTCGAAGGACCTGCGCCGCCCTCATGCGTATCCTCATGGTCTCCAGCAGGAGGCGTCACCAGCGGCTGTTCCTCATCATGACCATCGTGAAACTCCTGTCGACCATGACAATGCGGACAAGGCTGAGGCGAGCCCGATACAAGATCTCCCACGAGCTCCTTCACAATATCCTTCATCTGACTAGTCCTAAGCAACACAAGCAGCGCCAGATAAAAATGAAGAAACATGTTAAACATCAGCGGCGTCGACGAGTAAGCCACCAAGAAAGTCTCCCCAGTATCCTGCCACCTGTTATGCGTCCAAGTGAAACTAAGCGTCAAGAGCGACAGAATGCCCATGAGCACATCGGCGATGAGGCAGTTCAGCGGATCGGTGATGGGCGTGGCGAATGTTGCTTTGAGATGCGCGCCTTGACGATGGAGGCGCTTCATGGTGAAGCCGAAGACGGCGGAGAAGACGAGGAGGATGAATGTGAAGAAGGCGGTGGGTCGGACCATGATGCAGAAGCGGACGAAGTTGAGGGGGAGACCAACGGCTGCTGAGAAGAGGAGGAAGTCTCTGGTGGAATGGAAGACTGCCGCTGAGTTGATGGCTGTCATGTTGGGCTGTATTTTGATTCAGTGGTGTAATAGTTGTATGTTATGATGGGATACAGATTGCAGGATTATTTAGAAGATTGGGCATGCATGAATACTTATACTGAAAATGGCGTTGAGATGCACTGCCTTGATGATATATATCATCTCGAAGGAAGCAGGGCTATGGCATGCGTGTCATTTTCCACCATATCCACTCGATATTCTCAAACAGACAGCGAATCAATTGATCGGCATCTTCTAGGCAGTGATTCTGTCACCGATCGGAATCCTTCGAGGCAGCAGCGTAAGCACTACAATGCACAACGATTTTATGCACTGTCAACTCTGCCTAATTAGGCGTGGACGATAGGTGACTAAGCCCCTAAAGTATCCACAATCATGGTGCACTAACAATTTTTAAACATTTCTATTGGCTGTTTGCCGACAATTATCGGAGTCTGCCTGATCTTCAATTTGCATTTGTCTGCCAATGCGCAGCCCCTCTACAGCCCCTCGCTCTATTTATAGCCCAAATTGGTAAGCTACCCTGGAGCTCAAGGAAATGGCATCATTTTTATTTAGAGAAGAACCGAATCCAAACCGCTCGTGTATATGTCCCATCGCGCAGTGATCGTCATCCGAATACAGAAGAAGCTCGGAGCTAGGAGCCTTACCTGATCGTGTCCTAGGTTGAAATCGACATATCTTTCTCACCATTGATCGTGAGATCACGACGCTGAACCTGTTCGATATCCCGCACGGTGATGTCAAATACTCATTAGCGAGGGCGATACAATACTCTGACCAGCGAGTGTCCCTAAATAATTTGCACGACTCCGGCTGCTTGATGGAAACATCCTCGGCGATGCCTCCAAAGGTACTGAACCGCTTAACTGATAGGGGAGGGAGACAGGAGCGTACACCAATAACTCTGCTGACCAATTCGGTGGTGCGGATTGCTCCAAGCAGGCTTGTAATAGCTCCAGGGATCGTACTTTTCATTTCTTACACTAGGAGAAGCGGGTAGAAAGATCTGATAAGAAGGCAAGGTTCTGTAAAAGACAACTCGGCAGCTCGGTCACAGGGCTTGCTGCATGGCAACGCCTTTCAGATAATTACACAGGACAGTATAGCCTCGGGTTATTTATGTTATGCTCATCGCTTTGGCCATATGTACCGGCGATACGAGATTCTTTGAAACCAACCCGTGAAGTCGCTCAAGGCTAGATATGGGATATCGCCAGCTATGAACGGAAGCCAAGTTTCCGTCCCGACCCATAACGTGCCGCTGTCCGTGCGCCGCGTCTTCGGCCCCGACTCTGCACTCCATCCCGAGACGCGCGGACTCTGCACAAACTCAAAGCAGTGGCCACAGAAGCTAGCTACGTATATGGCACCTGAGCTCCTAAAAAGGTTCCGAAATCCTAAAAAATCTTTACTACAACATAGGGTGTAGTGACGTTAAGTTCCAGTGTCTGCGGTAACCTCAATTGAGTCCGGGGACAACTGGCGGCATTTGTGCATGAGTGCGATATGACATTTCGCAGGGCGTTAAACATATCATGAGCGAGAAGTCATAGGGAAACAAATAGATAAGATCACCCAGTCACTAGTATAGCAAAGTATACTAGCTATAATACGAGGCATTGCTCTATGGCCATTGAACTGACAAATAACGATGCGTTATTAGACGAACCAATCGCAACATTCTGAACCAGACAGTCTCAATCCAAAGTTTTATGTATGCATTACAAAGCTCTGCACTCATGAATCAGGATCGTATCAACCACCCTGCAGCGTGACACATTTGGACCGACCAGTCCAGTGGCCGTTTTAGTGCGCCGCCTCAACTCAAAGATCTGGGCGCTGGAATGGCCCCGGGCTGATCCCCGCCTGTTCCCCGAGTGCACTAAATCCATAGACTAGTGGCTTCAGTGGCTGTTTGGGCCAAGGGTCTGTGTGTTCTGGATGCGGTAGGAATGCTTTTCACCATGGCGGCCGCCAGATCTACAACCAGTCTTCAACCTAAGCCCTGTGCAAATCCGTCATCAACCGCAGAGGATTTATTAACTTTGCAAGCGAATGCACTCTACGCCATAAGAGATAGAGTTTCTGCTGTTATCAACAAACCCGGGCTCCTAAATCCGAGGTTTGCTAAAGCCGTTCTCGACCCGGTCTATAGGCCGAGACCCCTGGAGGTGATATAGGTACATCATCTCTTCTGCCGCGCTAAGCTGTCCCAAAGGCCTGGACGGAACTGACGGCATGCATTGAAGATCTGGGTTTCGTGGGTTTATGTCGCCTAGTGTTACAGACGCTGTTTTTACAATTGTTCAAACCTGACGTGTTTTATCGAGGCGCTTCCCCATTGTCTACATTCTGTTCATCCCATCGCACAGGTTAGATATGCTATATTTTAGTGCGCCTGCTCCCGGACCTAGGTCAGCACTAACCACTAAGTGAGGCTAACATCCCGCTGTTGCTTTTTCCAGCGCCTGCCTGTGCGTATACGGTTTGAGCAAGGGTTGAAATTATATCACTTTCAGAGTGGGATGAACCAAGCCTGCAAAGCAACTAACTTTTCTAATCCTGCAGACGGGATGAGTACCCCGAGTAGATCCTTGTCCCCGTCAGCACTACCCCATACCTGACTAATGCCACCAAGCAATAGGAAGCAAACGCCCAAGTGCCGGGTTTCAAGCCCCTCCTCAAGCATTGGTCGCCTCTACGGAGCGTATGGGCCTCCCCTCCCCCCTATCGGATTTATGCTTTCATGCTATCTGCAAGCTCATGACTCTCTGAAAGTTTAAAATCCCTACGAGGACTAACGCGTCCGTTTATGAAACGCCCCATGCGACCCCCCTTGTGTCTCGACGCTTCGAGTATTAAGATCTGTCGATCTGTATTCCCTGGCTCCGTCCGCAAAAAGTTTGCCATGTATCCATTGTTCTTGACTTGATCCCCTTCAACTCTTTCTCTTGTTGCGCAGCTGCGATAAGCGAAAAATGACTGTCGAGGGCCTTCTCGAGCAATATCAGGGCCATATTGTCCCAAAGGCGTACAATGCGGGTTACCTCGCGCTCAGCTACCTCATCAGCTTGGTGGGGGCTGCTTCGACGCTCGAATTGATCAATCGTAGATCATGGTTTAACGGAATTTCGAATCAGTATGCTACCTGCGCCAAGCCAAAGACACTGCCAAGAGGGTTTGCTAATACAGATGCATTAGTCTGATACTATGTTCGTCCGCAATCACCATGGGCGGTATCGCCATTTGGTGCATGGTGAGTTTTAGCTTGCCTCGCCTTGTACACTATTAATCAGTATTGCCTGTGGTGCAGCACTTCATTGGCAATATCGCACTCACGCTTGCTGAGGGCGAGACAGAGATGCAGATTGTGTACTCCAGTGGCATGACAGTACTCTCCTTCTGCATGCCTGTTCTTGTCCTCCTCGCCGCATTCTACGCGATCGGCATCTCGAATCGAATCGCCTGGTGGAGAGTGATAACTGCCGGTATCCTTTGCGGCTGTGCCATCTGCGGCATGCACTATTTGGCCAACGCTTCCATCAGAAACTATCAGTGCATCTACGAACCGGCATATATCGTGGGTGCTGCTATTATTGCTGTCGCTGCGAGCACTGTTGCGTTGGCCATGTTCTTTATCTTCCAGTCGCTCTCGGCGAGTAGTTGGTGGAAGCGAACTATTTCTGCCATCATCCTTGCTGGCGCGGTATCCAGTATGCACTGGTGTGCCTCGGTTGGTACTCAGTATAGACTGCTTCATCTGAAGAAACTGGAACGAGGATCACGCACTGCAACCGCGGTGGCAGTTATTTGCTTAGTAGGTCTCAGGCGTCTGGTCCAGGCCGATTTACTGACTTCTGATAGTCTTTCAGTGCCTGCATTATCATTGCTGGATCGGCTATCCTACGAGCCCGCACTTTAAGAGATGCAGCCCTTCGTGCTCAGCAGATTGAGCTAGCGGCGGTTGTCTTCAATAAAGACGGATGTCTTCTCGTCGATAGCAACGGAGTCTTCCCAAACACTGTTGTCACCGATTTCTTTATTGGAGAGGTAAGATGATTATACACTTATGAAGATATCATTTCCTAGGTCTACATCACAAACTCAGCTACTAACATCAATCTCCCTTTCATAGAATACCGACGACAAATTCAACACTGCCCATCCTCAGTTCCACTGGATGTTTCAGGCTTCTCGGAATTGGACTGGAATATCGGGATTGATAAATGGCATGAAGCAACATCTACGACAGCTACCGCACAAAAGCCACCATAAAGATCCGACAAAAGGAATTCAGCTTATCAACGACGATGGAGAGCTTATTCATGGATATTCAGTCATCTTCCGCGAGCTATTCTGCGTTGCCGCCTCCAAGCTCAGCGATCGTCTCGACGAATCTATCACGACGATGGGTATTCTATGGGACGAAATTATACCCAAACGATCAGTCGCGAACCCTGCCTACCTACAAGCCCTCGAGAAGCATCGCGACAATCGAATTCCCGACACGAGCGAGATACTACGCAAGGAATCGACGACTACAGGAGAAAGCCACCTGGAGAAGGGAGTTGGGATTGAGCTTGAGAGTGAAATCGACGGACGAGGAGCACTCATGTTTCTAGTCCGTCGTCTTACATCAGATGATGAGGTGAAACGACTTGAGACGGCTGGGTATCGATTCGTCGACCCTGTTCAGGTATGCAACGATGCGAGGAACCATTTGCAGATGCAGATCCAGTCCAGCGAGTTCGAACTCAAGCTACGCGACATGAAGACTTTTATCTCACAACAATGCCGTATTAAGCCTGGGGTTCATCTTGGCCTATTCGCACTTCAGGATCGCGGGCTTAACAATCATCACGTCCTGGTGCAAAAGGGTGCTCGCGATTTACTTCCCTTGACACCTCTGCCGCTAAGCACTATAGACGAGACGCAAGTCAGAATGGTACAAGGACTAAGTGGGTTTCGAATTCCTGAGGTTGTTCAACGGCTGAGGACTCCGGGCGCGTCTCCGAGATCTCCTGATGAAGAATTGTTTGCCCACTATCTTTCCAATGCCATTCACTCACTACATGAATGGGTGCAGGAACCTTTATTTCATGACGCGGTGCTTAGTCCTACTATACTACGACTTCCCTACGGAATCGACGGAGGTGACGCAGAGGAGACAGTCATCATGGCATTGAGACTCAAGATATCGCATCCTGTCATCTCAGCCGGTCCCAACTGCCAATGGGTCCCCCTCAACTTCTTTGGTATGCGACAGGTCTTGGAACAGTCTCGACAGGAGTTTGTGCGGGTTCTACACCAGGACTTTGATCCTTCAACGATGCCCGCAAGCCGGGCTAATAACGAGCTCACTTCTGGGCCTCTATCAACACTCCGCCGACTAAAACGCTCCGAAGGATCAATCAACTCAAAGGGGAAGAAGCCCCGGGCCCCAATAATGAGACTTAGAGCCTCGTCAAAGGACTCTACACGATCTTCCTCAACAATAAACCTATGTCCCGCGGAGAGCAGCGAAGCCCACAACGAGCGCCTCCCATCAAGCGACACAGTGGATGTCTACCCCCCTGAGCGCCATTACACCTCACATCAACAATCATTCCTAAACGGTGGCATTGTTGTATTCCAAGAGGTGACCGTTCAGGTGGAACAGAAGAAGTCCGAGTCTAGAAGTGACTTGGAGCTATCGTGGAGTCACGACACGGTAACTGAGCCGCCGAAAGTACATCAGCGACATAACAAGAAGAATGAAATGCCAGTTATACAGAATATTGAACTACAACCGTCAGGGAGGGGAACGACAGAGGTTTCAGTTGAGTCTCGTTGGCTGCATAGTTTTGGTCACGCGGATAACAACATCACGACGATGGCCTCTTTTATAGATACTTTAATTCTAGAGTCTAGTCACTCTGCTACGTAGCAGAGCTTGCACTCTTAAACATAATTATACAAACTTATCTCCAATACCTAGACAAGTATGTGCCTGTTTTTACCGGATATGATCTTGTTTCTGTACGGTTGCTAATCACATACAATGTTATACAAGCGCAATTAGCCTGATATTGAATGTTGTCACCGTGGTATTTGATCGTGCCCACTTTGAATTAAATGTCTGACTAGTAACGAGGGATACCGCCTTTTCCGGGGTATTGAGGGGAAGTTGGCCAAGTCAAGCTCACCCCGCACGTTTCGGTAGGATGGGATACACGATCCGATGTACAGTAGTTATCGATCACCATATAACGCAGGGCCCTATGGTAGGAAGTCCTGGTCTAGCCTCCGGAAGAACACACGCTATCTCGGAAAACCTCAAACTAAAGTCCAAATCTTCCGCCTTCCGGTCGTGGTGCACCTTTCTCGGTAGTCAGGTCAGTTAAGTTATAAGAGGGGTTGCTCTGCTCGCCCGTCTGTCTATTCGTCTTGAGCCCCTACCAGCTACTTCTACTGATCTTTGCCATCTGTCATTGTCCATCCAATTACTACTTCCTGGCAGGAGTAGAAATAAGATGCTTCTTGCGTGGTCAGCAGTCATTATAGCCATAGTTTGGCTGGCACGTGTGTTGTTGGTTTCATCATCCAATGCCACAGGCGGCGGGAAGCCTTTGCCCGGCCCACCAGGTATGTCAAGTGCACAAACACGATTACTCCCAACACTCCCACTTGCAATACACTCGGCACTGTCTTTCCACAAGCCAAGTTTGACTGACCATGATGCTCAAGGTAAACCGTTGGCCGGGAACCTCTTTGATATCCCCCAATACCACTCTTGGCTGAAGTTCAAAGAATGAGCCGACACGTACGGCCCTATCTTCCGTCTCAATCTCGCTGGGCGGCAGCATGTCGTCTTGTCGACCGAGAAGATTGCCAATGATCTTCTGCGCGAGCAAGGCAGTTATTATTCTTCGCGGGAGTTCCTCCCTATGGCATCTGGGATCGTCTCAGGTGAGATGAGGCCATTACTTCTTTCATACAATGGTGAGGTCAACAGCTCTTAAGAAGAAGAAAGCTCTGCGGCTAACGTAGAGCTTGACATGCAGATCGATGGCGTCGAGGCCGGAAGTTGATGCATCAGTTGACCATGCTGGCGGCAGCTGACTCTCACCAACCCGTCCAGGACTATGAGTCCAAGAAGCTGCTCGTGTCGCTTCTCGAGACACCTGCCAGCTATGAAAAGTGGTTCGAGCGGTACGCCTCGGGAGTTGTTTTCCGCATTGGGTTCGGCAAGTGGATAGAGACATGCGATGAGCCCGCTGTCAAGCGAATTATCCAAGTTGTCCATAACCTAGAACGTGTCGCATCACCTGGAGCCTATTTGGTGGATTCGATGCCAGTCCTTAACAGCTTGCCGGAAGTGGTAGCCCCCTTCAAGAAAGAGGGACGAAGACTACACGAGGAAGAACTGAGTCTTTTTAGAGAGCTTCAGTCTGACGTGCGTCGCGGATTGCAGAAGGGCTCTGGCGCCCAGTCATTCACACGAACGTTCCTCGAGAACAAGGACAGCTATCAGCTCTCGGATGACGAGGGGGCGTACGTGATCGGCACCTTGTTCGAGGCTGGAAGCGGCACCACGGCGGCGACCATGATGTCGTACTGTCTCGCCATGTGTCATTTCACAGAGTGGCAGAGGAAGATACAGGGCGAGCTCGATGAGCAAGTGCATGCCCGACTTCGAGGATCTGCCGAACCTTCCGACGGTGCGTGCTGTTATCAAGGAGGTGCTGCGGGGGCGCCCTGTCACAGCAGGTGGGTTTCCTCACCAGCTGACCAAGGACGACGTGTACGAAGGGTTTATCTTCAAGAAGGGGACGATATTACATCCTAATCAATGGTAGGTCGTATCCCAACTCTGCTTCATGACATATGCTAATCTCATCGTGATGCATGGCAATCCACCGAGACCCAGCACTGTACCCAGACCCAGACAATTTCAGGCCTGACAGATGGTTAGATCCAAAATTCCCAACCACCTACAGAGAGACATTGTCCAAGCTCCCCAACCTGCAGAACTATAGCTGTTTCGGATTCGGACGACGTATCTGTCCAGGCCAGAACATCGCCGAGCGATCTCTGAACATCTTGACGGCTCGGATCGCTCGGGCTAGTAGCATCATCAGGAAGAGAGACGCGGATGGGGTGGCACTACCGGTGCCTCTTTATGAATACACCAAAACTTTTAACACAACGACGGAACACTTTGATTTTGACGTGGTTCCACGATCACAAGCTAGACTTGTGGTCATTAGGGAATCTTTAAGGGCAGAAAGGTCCAAGCGGCCAGCGTAGGGACAGTAAGTTAAGTATGTTAAAATACTAAAAAACAATAGGGCATCTATATCTAAGACCTTTATCAGGATAATTTAAAGAGGTAACATTTTGAAACGGGGCCTGAGGCATTAGGCAGCCATAACCCCGCCTATAATACACTAACACGCCCAACTCGTCCACTTTTTATGCTCCTCCTCAATCTTTTTTCAATCTTCTCTGAATCCATACTCTCTCATTACTTCGCTATGGACCCAGAAGAACTAAACATTCTAACCGAGACGCTGAAAGAAAAGGCGATGGCCCAATATAGGCTACGTATCCCATTTCGAGATATCCGGTCAGAGTGCCATCGCCATGTTCTAGATGGAGCAATAAAAAATGCCTTGGCTACTGAACTTGCGCATATCACTTATGCTCAAATCATGGATGGGTTGCCCACTGGAGATGTGTGTTTTGAGCGCCGTTTCCCTCATGTCTTTGGTGAACATCCTATCGACTCATGCCATGATGAACTATGTGCCGGGGCTCTTGAAAAGGCCCAAGACTATTATCAGCAGTGGAACTCTGACATTCTGACTTTTGATCCAACGGTAAGTCATGTCTCTAATACTCTTAGTCGGATTGCTGCTCACTGTTCTAGACCATTGAGAAATATCAACATGCCGAGATTGGGTCTAGAGCTTTCAAGACACGTCTAGTGGAGCTAGTAGCAGTAGCTCTTCATGAAATTGCCGTTCTGTTATTTCAGCTTGACTTCCAACTACACAACGGAGGAAAGACAGACATTGAATACGTTACCAACTGGAGGATACCAGCCTCTGAGCTTGAAGGCCTTGTTGATGTACCGCCACGGCCGACCCTCTTCAGTCACCACGCCTATCTCGATGCAGACATCTACCCCAATGGAGTTGCTGACATTGTTGGGTATTGGGCTGAGGATCGTATCCTCGGAGGCGTAGCAATCTTTGACCGTCGGACAGAAAGGTCGTCAGATACGCCATTGCCCAACATCTACTTTCATTCCTGTCGTCATAAACAGACTTATCGCGTTTACCAGCTTCGAGATGATCAACAAGAGGCACTATTTGCATTCCTACTCTCAGGAACAGACTGTCCTCCTCCCAATCCCAACCCGCTCCCTATTTTGGGTCATACACGGAACCGCGTTCGTGTGGACCCGGAATACGCCCTCACTCATGATGAGATCTTTCGCGATATATGGGAGAGGAAGCCAATCACAATTGAGCAGCAAAGACTCATAGACAGACAGGCAAAGTCGGATCTTGACTATCCTGAAGCGCTTGAGGAGGTTATTCGAATCAATGAGCAGCTTGGGTTTCCTATCCCAAAGTTCAGAGAACGATCACCATCTGTATAGTATGTGACATAGCTAAGTATATAATATAATAAATATAAACAAAGAGAGATCACGAGTACACTGATTAAGAAGCTTAAACTTAGTATTATTACGCTAATAGATTGCTAACGGAAAATTCAGGAGTAATTCACTATACTATCTAGGAGTAAATGTCCTATTTACTATTAGTATTTTTCTTTTGTTATAATAGCAGTAAGCCTTTTTGATTGCAGATTTGACTCCAAGGCTCAGTGAGTCACAGATAAAAAGCCTGAGCTTGTATAAATCTAAATAAAGCCCCCGTCTGGTGACTTCGCACCATGACAATATTCTTATCGTATAAACAACTCATTTATGTAAAGTCAGTGGTAAAACTTGACTAACTGGGTATGCTAGAGCAAGATAATTTGCTGGCAATTTAATAATAATCCCAAAGTTATACAAAAGGTCTCCCTAAGCTAGCAATACGTCCAAGGATGCAGATTGTCCAAAGACTGCAAAACATAGAATGTCAACAAGAATCTACCTTTATATCGCCAATTAGCTGGGTCTACCGTGATATCCAGCTGATGCCTCACTACAACGTATCAACTATACACCATTATATGACCTTGGGGCCGTGGTCCAATCACACCTTGCACAGTGCTCCTCCATTTTTCCAGTCACCAATAGTCTTTGGGGGGTATACATAGTTAGTATGCTCAATGAATTCCGAGACTTGACTGATCTGGCCATGGGTTGGAATGACGCTAGAATCTCGTCAGTCCTTGCCTTCATTTGTGTATAAAGTAATAGGAAGCACTTACTAGGCGCTCTCGGGCAGACCATCTTTATCAAGCTGACCGAGCCACTCTCGCATTTCCCACCTGTCATTGTTGGCATCAGGCATGCCAGGGTGCCACGCGTCTGCCTCAATGACCGCAATGCCTGACTTATTTGTAGGGCACTTGTCAGTGACAAATGCATATGACCAGTCGACAGAGTGGGTGGCTTGGTCTTCGCAGATGAACCAGGCTTGGTGCTTGCTATCGCTGTGTATGTAGGGGTACGTTTCACTAGTAGAAGTTTAGAGAGTATTGCCCAATCGATCGAGGCTGGACACAAACTTGAAGGTGATGAGCTCGGCACCGGGAATGCTGGACCAGTAGCTCGCTGCGATTTCCGGGACGATCAACTTGGCCCCGATTTTAACATACTCAGCAGCTCCTCCGCTGTGATCTTGGTCATGGTGAGTAGGCTATCACAGAAGTGTCAGTTTATCATCACCAAAATTCAGATCATGTTCAATCACGGGAGCCTAACCCAAAGGTATTTGGTAGGCTTGGCAATGTTCTTGTCGATCCATTCGATCACTTGCTTGGTCCACTGGCGAGGTGCATCGCCAACGATAACACGGTCTTCGAACTCGACCACGAACTGCTTAACTCCTAAGAAGTCGTCATTGACGATAATCCAATGAGCGTTGGGTAAACCGGGGATGTTTTTGTGCTTGATACTGTCGACCGAGTTGTTGCTGATGCCGGACCCAGGACCAGACCAGAGCATATTGCTACTGAATTCGAGAATGTGCGCATGACTGAGACCCTCAGTCTTCTTTGGCGCCTCTTTGGGGAAGAATCCGTTCCCCTCCGATAAGCCATTGAAGCAGTCTTTGGGAAACCTGGGATTAATAGTGATTTCCTCGACAATGACCTCCTCGAGTGTTGCATCTAGTTTCTGTGTAGTTGAGTTATAGACGGTCTGGAACGTGTGAGGAAATTTGATGCCCTCGATGGCTTTGTATTGAGAAAGGTAAAGGTCATTTGTAGAAGGTCCATAGATCATGTGGTTTTCTTCTGTGCGAATTATGTGAAGAAGATGACTAGAAACATCGAAGATGATAGTGATTTCGAGAACAGGGTCATAGACTTTTCAAGTTAGATCAGGGTAGTGATAATCCCAATTGGGAACCTACCAGCTGGTGTTTTGATTCCATTGATGAAAATCTCAATAGCCTTGACACCTTGATGAGCTTTCATCTAGGTATGTTAGCAAATTTTGTAGCTGAAAATTACAAAAAGATTATATAATGCTTACCTCTAATAAGAGTTTTGGCGAAAAGACATTTCCTTGCCGGACGAGAAATTCTGCAAGGGCAGCTATAAGAGTGAATCAGTCATCGCTTGACTCCTAGGGCAGAAACAGAAGGCGAAAGTCACCATCGACGTATCCGGATGTTAGATTTGCAGGAAGCCAGATCTGATTGTTTCCATGAACGTAGCAAGCAAATCCATCTTTGCCGCCGTGAACAACAAGAGAGTAGTCAAACTCATCGAGTCTCGCAGATGTCCAATACCAGTATTCTAGCGCGGTGTAAGTATATCACATTGCCATAAAATGACATAGCATTACGTACCACTGGGCTTGAAGGTACGGTCGATTCGCTGAATCAACTGATCCGAGGCATAGCTGAAGGATACATTCTGGGAGCCGGATATCGCGACAGCCGTGTCTGCTTTGTACAAGTTGTAGCTCTGCATAAGACTGCGTGAATGATAGACACTGGAAATACTTGGTAAGCTACTCAACTGACGGATGCAGCTAACGGACGTACTTTGGAGAGTGATAGGTGATTCCTTCGATCCCAGCAATTGCCTTCTCGCCGCCAAGCGCGGCCAAAGCTTGACTGATAAGACTGTCAGCAGTCGGAGGGTGCAAAGGAACCGTCTTCGAGGCCGCAAATGCCACCATAGCTAACGAGAGAGCGAGTAACTTCATTCTAGATATTGAAACAAGTTGATAATTGGATGTGAGTTTCGAGATACGATTATTGTTGTTTGCTATTTCCTTCAATCCACGGTCAGAGATATATTTCTTTTATAGATTCCTAGCGGATACGAGAAGTCAAACCTTGATATCAAATTACCAGGAAAATGTAAGAGGAAGCTGATGGTACCGAGTAAGCGTTGAGGCTTAGCAGCGGAAGACTGTCTAGCGCCCGCCGCGCGGTCGATAAGTTCTAGTTGAAGCTTATGGGCGGACTTTAAAAAACGTCCGCTCTGCGTCATCTAACAATTAAGGTCATTGTGACTAATGTTTCAAATAACAATAAATCGGTATTTTAAGTACCATCATCATTTAGACGTACTGATAAGCGTCAATCAGACTCCACTGGTGCTAGAACGAGGTTTATTACTCATATCATTTGCGGCTATAACTTTCAGTGCCTCCTATTGAGGGATGCCTCTCTAAGTTTGATCGTCAGGTATGCGAGGCATTTCTCACGGAAATAATTAGATAGACGACTAGCACTAAAGCTACTTGGGCGATACGCTATCATGCAAGGCCGTCTGATAACTACTAGAAAACAATTACAGCGCCGTTTGCTTCAGCCCTTGTATAGCTAACACCGTGTACCTTGAATCCCTTCGCGTTGAGAAGAGTGATAGTACCACCATTGTTGGAAAGCGGGACGCTAGTTTCAATAGTCTTAGTGTCTGCAGGACCAATACGCGAGCCCGACGGCAGAATTTGAGTGTCTCCGGTCTTGATACGAATCTTCCACCCACTGAGATCGATCTCAGCCCCGGTTCTGTTCTTGAGACTGATCGTCTCTGGGGCAGTACCTGGCTGCTGATCAGGACCAGGTGGGTTGACGAGAGCCTGGACAATGAACACGGGCGAATCTTCAATGTCGACTTTCTCTTTGTCGTCATCAGACAGCTCGGGGGCAAGAAGGTTCGCCCAAGTCATGAAGTCCTGGTCGGGCAGTGGGTAGCCAGCACGTTTGGGACCGTCCTCAGTATGCACAGCTTGAGAGGCAAAGCCAATGAATACAGCCTCCCAGTGATCTTCAAACTGAAAGATTAGACCGCCGTCCTGGAAGACTCCATTGTCTTTGAGCCAACGCCCGGAATTTCCCTGATTCATGTGGACATTGTGTATACCCTTGCCGTCGTTGAACTCTGAGCCATAGATGTAAACTGTAGCCTTAGTTGAGATGGCCCTGTCGATGATAGGCCTCAACTGATCGAGGATGTCATTGTCTGCCCCATCAACATCATGAGGGAGGATGCGGCCAACGGCGCGGTTGAAGAGGTTGCTGCGGATATAGTCTAGTGCAAGACCATCAAGTCTCTGCTCCGAGGCGCCAGCAAGAGGTTGGAAGCCATTACTCAGTTGAGCTAGTTTAGCGGTGACACCATGGGTAAAGTTAGGAACTGTCCAGTAGGCAAGGCGGGACTCTTCTTTGTTTCCTGACTTTATGTTGATGGCAGCTCGGCCTTCTGCACCTTGACCATCATCGAAGTAGAGCGAGAGGTGAGGGGAATGTGGATCAGCGACTCTGTCCTCAAAGGTATAGCTGACAGGCTTCGCACGCCAGACGCCATAGTCTTTGACCATCGTAAAGGTGAAATAAGTGGAAATGAGAAGAACCAAGAAAGGTGAAATGTTATAAAGGCAGTTGTTTGTGAGGGCTCTCTGTCATTTACCTGGAGATACAAGAGGTATATATAGTGAAAAGAGGTGCGATTGATGCGGATCAACAAATATGCCTTGAGCAACATCGTGTTGGCAGTGGCGCGAAAGGCTGAACTGCCCTGCATTACAGTCAGTCAGCCAGCCACAGACCTCCCTGCAGCGACAAGGAATGTGATATCTGGGTTAGTGGCTTGATGTTCTGTCACATCCTGTGTTTTAAGCGAGTCGAGGCCTTGCTCACCCTATTAACCTGCAGAAGAATAGCGATTGCACTAGCATAATGGTGACTGCAAGACCTTTTACGCAAGACTAATATTGAGGGCAATGGGCCTGGCAGACTTGGAGGATAAATGCACGTGGAGTGAAGGGAAGTGCCTGTTGGCATCGTTTATCATGGGCAACATTAAAAATACCTTCCGATAACGTTTGTCTTTCCGAGACTCTCCCGACTTTCAGCTCCGTATTGTTACGGAAGTCTGTTGAGAGAACTATGCCACACTGTGCTTGCTTCAGCTTCTGATTGGCGATGCCAAGAGCAGCTGAAGGAACCAGAAGCGCCCCTTTGAGCCACTGTCTAAAATATAAGACATTTATGCTTATTCATTAGTCTCGACCTTAGATCAATCAAGCCTTTTATAGCATTCCTCTTTTGCAGTAGCCAGTAGGTGGAAGTCTCTGAATTAAGGTCTAGATTCTGTTCCAGCAGACACACACTTTAATTGATGCCACCAACATGTTATATTATGACGTCTGTTCCCTACTGTCAAACGGTGCTGGTTCTCAGTCATTCCAGGGTCATCGTTTGTCCGGAACACAGAGCCGACTCTTGCATCTGCCGCTGTACACTTTCGTCACCTCCGAGAAATGTGCAAGTTGCTTGAACACTTGAGAGGAGGCCTCCTATGGCTTTCCTCATGGTCTCCGACTTTCTTGCAATAATATTCTATTACATTGTGTGTCGCAAGTATGGTTAACTGCTGCCCATGAGGTTAAGCTTTAGGCTGCGAACACAGATAATGAATGACAATACGATATTACTTTCCCAGTATAAGGAGCTTGCACTATCGCCTCGCTCTCCCGTAGTATGTTTCTTCGCCTCAGTGCAAAGCTCGGTTCCTGAAGTACCTCGTTCCTGCAGCTTCTTATTATACTAATGATAACGACACCTTGTGATATACAGTCTAATTAAAGCTTATTGAAACAACAAGGTAGGCTATAAGTGATTTACTAATAACGCTTCCTACTAAGCTTGAGGGAGTTCTTTCTAGCCAAGCCGATATAGTACAAGTAAAGCTCGTTCTTTTTACCCATGGGGAGGAAGTCGTTGGAGTCGGTCGAGTAAAATCAATCAAGATATAAAGAGTATTGATCCTAAGCTTAATAGCAGTATTCTAAAATCTGGCGCTCGATTGCCAATTCGCTCTTATAGTCCCCAAGAGGCTTAAACACCCTATCCATAATTCCTAGCCACCGCTTATGAAGCTTTGTAGTAAAATACGCATTAGTATAGTCCCAACACTCAGGATACCATCCCGAGTTTTCCCAATCAACAATTCCCGATAGCCTGCCGTTATGTATGAGAACATTCCGCATATTTAAATCTGCATGTGAAAAGAAAATCCTATGTCCGATGCGATGAGCCACATCAGGCAATGCACCATCTGGGAGTTCCTTGTTGAACTCGGTCTCGTCGACAAAGGGGCCAGCAAGATCTCCCCGCTCCTCATCGTAGTCTGACCCTGCGATGATGCGGTAGTCAAAACAGGCCTTTCCGACTGCATTGGTGATCATATAGTCAGGAGCAACATCTTTTGGTATTTCTCGCAGCTCTCTTATGCACTTCTGCAAGTTGTAAACCAGCGAGTTCACCTCTCTGTCACTCATCGCGTCAATACACATCCCCAGACGTAGGCCCGGAATTTGGGAGGTAAGCAGATAAGAATGGCCACCATTTGTTACAAGATCTAACAGGCGAGGTAGAGGAATGTGAGTATAGCGTCGTGCCAGCTGTAAAGCGCCGTGCTCATTTGCCAACACCTCGTGCTCTTCTGGGTCCAAAACTTTGAGATACATGCCGAATGGAAGTCGTTGAACTTTCCTGCTAATGGAAGGCTCATATATGTATGCCCCTAGAAGCGACAACACGCGGTAAGCTTGCACACGGAAAGTGGCCGGTACTAAAGACCATGCCGTTATCAAGGCTGAAACCGCATGCTCCGATACACGGCGCATAACTGAAGAGAGCGGTATGTTGATAGTTGGTTGTAGTCGCTTGGATACAGTTTTCTCTTTAGAAGTAATTTCATATGATATCAAGAGCCAGCGCATTGGCTTCGAAAGTCGGGATAAGATTTGTAGCAATGATAAATCCGGGGTGTTTGAGTGGTTTACAAAAGACGCAAGCCGAAGGACTGGCACCTTGTCGACAATTGAGGGCCATGATGGACCTCCAATTCTGATTGCGGCTACAGAATAGTAGATGCTTATCAGCAAGAATACTTTTGAAATGTCAACGGCACTTTCACCTGGCAGCCTTTCTTCAACATGAACTGGAAATACCCTTGCGATACAGCCGCTGCAGCAGATTTGCGAACGAGCCAATAGTCTCCTGGATTGTTCCGATAGAGTCTGCTGGAGAGTAGTCGCTGCTGCATTTCAGGACCGAGAAATATACTTAGCAGTTCGTAAAAAGATTGATTATCCGTAAGTCAACCGGAACAATAAGAACAAAACCTCCTATTGGCGATTGGTTTCGATGTTCGGAGAATGGGAGAGACGAGTAGTGGATCAAGTAGAGATCCTTTCAGGCCGGTGGCGCAACACTTATCTCCGTCCCTCTTCATGATGTTGGCCACCACGGAGCTATCGGGCGCTTGTTGTGGAGTAGTCTTGCACGAGACTGTCGTTATCAGCGGGTTAATGCAATCAATCCCTAAGATACGGTACGTACAGAAATTGACTAGACGCTTCCAATCTGAGAGTAGCGGCATCAAGTCAAGGTCATCGCTTCCCGTGGAACATCTTTGAAGCATGTAACGCGCTGTAGCTGATGGGTCTATAGACTCTTGCAAGAAGCATTCGAGCAGTTGATCGTCTGGATGCCGAAGGCCAGCATTTCGAATAACCTGTAGTATCTGATCCAACCCATCCATGGTACCTGACATGTGTGTCTGGGGAGATGTGGCTTCACGAGCTGTGGTGACAACGAAGAAAGGATGAGGCTGTGACTTAACGGTGCATCATTCGTTAATCAGGCAATGATTTGGACCGAACTTAATCCGCAGCTGGTTTTGGCTTGCTTATTTGTATGTTTCATTTTCAGTCAGCCAGTGATAGAGTCCATTGATCATACTGTTAAGCGGCTACAGTCAAAAGCCACTCTTGGGCATAGGAGATCATCCGTGGCATATTCATGCTAACCGCGATCCTTCTCTTCAAACAGCAGAGGCCATTACTTGGGTTACGGATATTCTTATGGCATTCCACCAGTATGGTGCGATTGACCTGTCCACCGACATCGGTAGTGCCATAGACTTTGGCCTTTAGTCCTAGAACTCTACAACGCTCGACCATTAATCCACCCGTGTCAAAAAACAATTATCAAGAAGTTGAAAGCAGTCTCGGCTGGAACTACTCCTCCGAAAGTCCAAGGATATAGCAACGCCTTGTACAACCCAGATCCAATCGCCCGGCTCAAAAGCATCTACACAAGTTGGCGAAATAGCCTCGCGGAGTCTTTCCATGTAAGCCAATACACTGCCGGCAGAGCCCGCCCGTCCCATTCACCAATAGGAAGCCGTTGGAGTCGGTCGGGGAGCATGCTCCCCGACCGTCGGCCTGTAGCTTGCATGGACCCCTCAGCGGTCATAGTCGGCCTTATCGATCCGACGAATTGCCAACTACAGAGTACACAGGTTTCAATCAACACTCTGCACTGATAAGGGCATAAAATATCACTTGCTCCCTCTGAGTATTGCCTTTCAGCAATAGACGTCGAATCAAAGAATTTACAATACCACAAACCACAACAAATACCTCTCAATGGAAAAGTTCGATGTCGCCGTAGTTGGCCTTGGTGCCCTTGGAAGCGCAGCAGCCTGGCAAGCGGCGCGAAAGGGAGCAAAGGTGGTGGGCTTTGAACAGTTTGAGTTTGGCCACGTCCGAGGTGCATCTCACGACACGTCGCGCATCGTCCGCACAGCATATGATGCTCCGGAATACGTCTCGCTTGCCAAAGCCGCCTACAAAGACTGGGCCGACTTGGAGAAAGATGCCGGTTTGAAGCTGTTGACTGTTACCGGTGGCATCGTTGTGCTTGCGAATGATCGCACCTGGACATCCGGTTTCAAGGTCTCGGATTACACAGCAAGCCTTGATGCCAATAATGTGCCCTACGAGCTTCTGAGTGCAAAAGAGGTCAATACGCGATGGCCGAAGCTCGACATTGGTGACGACGAGAATGCGGTGTACACTCCAGATACTGGCATTGCGCACGCGGCTAAATCAGTGACGGCGATGCAGTTCGTTGCTCGCGCTCACGGAGCCATACTCAAAGAAAATACCCCAGTCACTGCAATTATACCCATCACGAACGAAGGAGTCATTATAAAGACAGAAAAGGGCGATTTCCAGGCTCGCAAGATCATTCTGGCTACAGATGCCTGGACAAACAAACTGCTTGCTCCCCTCGGTGCACAGATTCCACTTGAGGTCATGCAAGAGCAGGTCACATACTTCAAGCCCAAAGAACCCACTCTATTCAACGCCGAGTACTTCCCTGTGTGGATTCGAGTGGTTGACGGAAAGACGTTCTATGGATTTCCCACTTTCGGCGAACCTACCATCAAGGCTGGCCGCGACGTGTCAAACAACCGCATGAGCCCCGAGGAAAGGTCATATATTCACTCTCCAAAACTCTTGGATGAGTTGACAGCATTTATGAAGGACTTTGTGACCAAAGATGAGGAACTTGAGATCCTTCGTACGGTTACATGCCAGTATACGATTACCCCAGGCCGACACTTCATACTGAGCGCACTAGATCAGTATCCGGACATTTTGGTTGCGTTGGGAGCGGCTCACGGCTTCAAATTTGCACCTGTTATCGGTCGCGTTATGGCAGAGCTGGCTATAGATGGAAAGACAACTGAGGATCTCTCCAAGTTTGTCATACCTGCGATTCAGTCAGTTGTTCGAAGTAAGATTTAACATTGACATGTACACGGCCATTATCATTTCGATAGCTATTTTACTTCTTTATATTATCGTGATAAAATGCAACACCCATATCCATCGAACATATCGCAAGATGAAGGTGCTTTTCTACGTTGGCATTATAGTTTGCTTGTGATGGCGCTCACAAGGTACACAACTCAGACCATCTCAACTAATACACATAGCCCTCCTCCAGGATCCATCCTTTCAGCGGATAGAATTGGCGCGTTATTGAAGAAAAGGACTTTTACATGCACTGACGAAGAGGATTTGACGGACAACGTTGATTCACATCTAATCATGCTACTCAGAGAAGCTCAATGCCTGGGCGCAAACAAATATATAGGAAGATAACAGATTATAATCGAAAGGATTCAAGAAGGAGTGTCTAGGGCGATGGCTGATAACACAGGTACTATCCTGATAAGAGAAGACAATCCAGAGCAACCATCGATCTAATCAAGACCATATCATCATTTCTCCCTACATAGACCGCTTCCCATAAGGCTCAAATGGTAAGATCACAGCAATAACAGCCTATTGAATATTGATTAGCTGTAAATACTAGGGAATACTATCAGGGGTACAGCTTACCATAACGATGTAGAGCACAGCGCATACATAGATTGGTACTGACGTCGCAGTGTTGCCGTAAGCGGCTACGAACGAGGAGACCAATCCCATGATTCGGTTTCCTGCTACAGCTATTCCGTTGCCCGTTGCGCGATGGGCTGATGGTAGTACCTATGCCGTGTCAGTCGATGCATCTAAAGCTAGCTCTGTTGCTGATTTGACAAACCTCTGGAGTGTACGCATATACTGGGGAGGATTCGTGTCAGCAGGTCTCCTCTTGTCAATATAGGCGCCAGTGACTCACAGGTTCCATAGTAGATATTCAGCGTAAAGGCTATGACACAACTCAAGGCAACGTTCTGAGCCGGAGTCTTGACGGCAGTGTAAGCAAAGAAAAAGGCCATTGTGACGAGAGCTCCAATCGCCATGGTATACTTGCGGCCAAGCAGCTTGGAATTACACATGAATCCAGCAGCCACTGGCCCAAAGATACCGGTGACGCTGCTGAGCATATAGTTCCTCCACTGGTAGTATGGTCCTGACTCTCCTGTTTGGGCACCGCGACTAGCAAGGTAATCAGGGAGAAAGACATAAAACAGTGGATAGGCCAGGCCTGCAGAGATTAGTTTCGCCATCATGATGTACGGTAGGGATTACGTTACCAATTAGAAGCCATGATATCCAGATCAGAATCGTTGAGATGGCGAGCTTCCTTGTGACGAACAATCCATGGATATGTGCCCAAAACTCACCAACGCTGTATCTAGACTTGCCATAAGTGGAGTCGATGGTCCCCATAGACTCAAGTGCCTCGACGGTGAGACTACATGGCCGATTGTATTTCTTTGCGATGTCTTGGTAGATAGCAACCACAGCAGCATCTTCTCCCTTGGCAAGAAGGTACTTGGGCGTCTCTTTGAGTCGAATCACAGTGACTCGCAAAATGCTGCACACAAACACGAGAGCTCCATTGCCGTACCAGACATATCGCCAGCACTTCGATACAGATCAGTTTCAAGAACTGGGGTTATAGTATATCAGGTGCTTGTACTAACCATGTTGTTATCTTTAGTACATGTATCAGCATCCGCACAGATGTACTTGGGATTCGAGTAGATTGGCCAGCAAAAGGCTGCAACAATGACATATGCGAGGCCCCACCAGCAGGCCATCAACGTAACAAGCCATTGCTTGTTGCCAGGAAGGAATTCGAGGAAGACGGTCGTGTCGAGAACAAGGTTCCCGCCAGCACCGAATCTATTCCTCACTGTTAGTAAGTTGCAGCCTGGATGATGGGGAACCTGCTTACGCAGCTAGGGCAACAAAAGTAGCCAGGACAATCCAATTAGGCGACGCACCGGCCGCAATGGCGAATACGGAAGATAGAAAAAGTGAAATGTTGAAAGCATAACGACGGCCAATGACATCGGCACCTAAACAGCAAATAAGATTCCTGTCACAATACGAGAAGGGTCATGTTGGGTTACCTAGTCCCCAAAATAGCACACCAACCAGCATTCCTGTATACACAGCCACATAGAGACCATAAGAGAAGGCAGGACGGAACTCCAGAGCAGCCTGACCAGCAGTCACAGCTTGAAGGGCAAGGATGAGAGAGTCAGCAGCGTAACCGAAGCCATTGAGGAAAAACAGCTTGAGATGCATGTTTGTCCAGCCGATTTCATCCATGGTCTACACAGCAGGTGGATTAGTTTGGATTATTATGGTGTACTTGGATTGGAACTGGTTCGACCTTGTTGATGAGACGCATCTTGGCATCAAGCACTGGGTCGATCTCCTGCATAGAGAAGATTTGCTCATCCTCAGTTCCCATCTCAAAACTGCGAGATTCGCCATGCCGATCGCCACTGGTACGTAGGTCGGCATAGCGCTCTCGGTCAGAGAGTTTGTCTGATGGGTGAGACATAGTAACTGGGCCGCCCGTGTTGGATTTATCTGACATGATCACGCAAGATGTGGAGAGGAAATGGTTGGTGTCTGTGAAGGCTACTCTGGTCTAGAAATGGCCAATTTTATGGAAACTTCAAACAAGAACGTGGAGCATGACCTGTCTTTTATTATTAATTTGGACCAATACATTAGTTCCCATTTTGGCCTTGTCATTCTTATCTAGCCAACAACGAGAAATATAATTAACAGCTAGGTTTAACTTGTACTTGCATGCCATTGATTCGTTGATCTGCGAGTTGGCATGAGTCTAATACTCTAGACGTGGTTCGTCGAGCGGGGTAATCAGACATGGTATGGGGTGCGGCGGACAGAAATCGCATTTTCCGGTGTCTTAGCTCGTCTGCGAGAGCGATGTTATGCATCGATTGATTACTACTTGTTATCAAAAGACCCACGCAGACCCAGTCCTGTTTACCTCAACGAATTACGGAGTAGAAAGAGTTGATTTCATGACGGTGTTCTAAGCCCGTATCCCCATGTCGGTAGGGGGGCTGGAGTCTGGACTGATAGTGATAACCCAGCACGTGGTCGGGGAATGCAACTTTAGCCTCCCCGAGACCGACCAAGCGGGGCGGGGAGAGCATCGGAGGCCCGAACAAGGCATGGATGGGTCATGCGACAGTCATGATGAAGTTATCATTCACAGATTCCGACCAATCAATGCAATTGTATAATCATAACAAAGATACGGCCTATCGTAGTCGATCATGCCGGTACAGGATAAGGATGATAGGAGGGTATGGAAGCTCTCGGGGAGGTCGGACCGTCTGAACTCTCAGGTAATGAGTGCTGCCTCCCGTTTGTTGACGGCGGGAAGATGGTTGAGGGATGGTTGGATAAGTTAAGAGAACGGCCAAAGCTTCCTGTCCGATTTACAGTCACATCTAATTCATTGTATTGCTATAAGCAAGCTGCACTACTTCCTGCTCTCAAACTTTACCAAGTTTTAACAATTTGTCGTTAATATCATGTTCTCAAAACTCGGTTCGGTGCTGGCCATGACCAAGGCGAACGGTGATGCAATTTTATCCACCAAGCCAGATGTCCAAGAACCGCGAGCACTCCCCGCATCCTGGTATCGGCAGGATGAAATGTATCAGCTTGAGCGACGCGCCATTTTCTCAAAGCGATGGCTTCTTGCCACGCACAAATTACGCTTCACCAAGCCGGGGGACTTTCTCCGCTTCGAAGAGGCTGGCTACCCATTCGTGCTGTGTTTGGACAAGGATGGAGTGACCATCAATGGCTTTCACAACATCTGCAGGCACAGAGCCTTTCCCATCGTCACAGAAGGGGAGGGAAATGCCAAGATCTTTTCTTGCAAGTATCATGGCTGGTCCTACGGCATAAACGGAAAACTTGCCAAGGCACCACGCTTCGACACTGTTCCAACATTCAACAAAGAGAACCATAGCCTCTTCCCAGTACATGTGCATATCGATGCACTAGGATTCGTCTGGGTCAACTTGGATGCGTCCCCAGAGCCCGAAGTTAAATGGGATGACGACTTTGAGGGCATTGATTGTCAGGAACGATTTAAAAATTTTGACTTTTCTGAATATCACTTTGATCACGTCTGGGGCATGCAGGGCAACTACAACTGGAAAACCCTCGCTGATAATTACAACGAATGTTATCATTGCCAGGTTGCACACCCAGATGTCAAGGCCATTACAGACTTGACCTTCTACTACACCGTCTCCAAGCCAGGCTACATTCAGCACTTCTCGCGACCTAAGAAGGGAAAAGAGCAAGACGATATCAAGATCTGCAGCACCTATTACTTCCCCAACGCCTGCATGACTGTTTCGTAAGTGCCAGTCCTTTGTGTGCTTGGTTAACAGGTAAACTAATCTTTTTCTTCTTCACAGGCCACATTTCTTCTACATGATGCGATGCGTCCCAACATCAGTCGGCACTTGCTCAATGGAGTACGAAGTCTATCGCCATAAAGACGCCACCGACGAAGAATTCGAGAGGATCAACCAATTCTTCAAGCGAGTTCTCGGGGAAGATAAATATTTATGTGATGCAGTACAGAAAAACTTGGAAGCAGGTGTTTTCACCAACGGAGAGCTGCATCCGGACTTGGAGAGCGCGCCGATCTACTTCCAGAACACGGTGAGAGAGATCTTGACTGAGCACCGTAAAAAGGAACAAGATTTGAAGGCGGAGATCTGGCCAGCTCGGCGACATGTGTCGACTTCCGAGGTCACAAAGGGGGACGATGAGTTTTGTGATGGACTGGCTTGCAAGGCTGATAATGCTGACATGGAGTGGTGAGGTTTGGGATGGATTTAGTGCGCTGTACGGTAAGCCTGGAGGATTGATGATGATAAGTTCTAGTACTGTTGGCTTAGAGACTGTACATAAGGGGGGCAGCAATAATAAAGCAGAATTTGTACTCATTCAACACGTCGCCGTTGTGGTTTCACTCTGCTAACAGACCACCCATCCATCCACTAAATTATCTTTTGTGCAGCATCATCTTGCATTTCAGGTACTTTGTATGCACACAAAAACTCTGCATTGGCGGCAAACTTTTCCTTTACCTGTTCATCGCCATCATCAGCATCACATAGTCCCTGTGAGCGAGAGTACTTACAATATCAAGCCGCCAAATAATTCACCATTGACCCATAACTGGGGAAATGTCGGCCAGTCGGCATATTCTTTAATACCCTGGCGAACGACCTCATCTTGCAGCACATCGAAAGAACTATACCGAATGCCATGCTCGTTCAAGATACGAACGATACGTCGGTTAAAGCGACAGAGGGGACACTTGGGCACGCCCTTCATGAACAGCATTACTGGGGCAGTATTCACTAAGTCTCTCAGTCTGGAGTTGAGCACTTCTTTTGACTCGGCAAGTTCGCTGGTCTCTATCGTCTGCGCATCGGCTTCTGTCAGCTGGCAGGTGGTGCTCTCAGTAAAGGTCGGCATAGTCACATGTATTTGAGTCTGATGTTGCATGAAATGGAACCAAATTAAGCAGAAATGACAATCCCAGTTAACGCAACTCTATGTCTGAACACTGGCGAATATTGGAGCAATATGATAAATCTCATTATTTGTCAAGCTTCTATCCACAGGTCGTTATTAGTAATAATGGCTTGACTATGGTTCGCCCCTTTTAATTTTCGTGGTTGCATTATCGCCAAGACATGCTGTCATACTGGTCTTCTTTTACCGATACAAACTTCCCGGGTCAGCAGTATATGTCATCGACCTCATTGGTCCCACGATGCTTGATTGTCGGGGCCTTCGGGGGCTAGTGTTACCACAAAGTAGAGTCTCGTATCTTTGGCTTTGCGAATGATGTCACTCGGGCTAAGCTCTTTCTCATCTCCCAAATTGACTGGGTTTATAGATTCTCGAAAAATGGAGCCCAATCGCCTTTCGCCCGATAGTTTGTACAAGCGTTTGTCCTACCAATGCAGCGCAGGCCTCCATATTCGGGTTCCAAGATCAAGATATTGCTCATCGATACCATCACATTCAATTATTATATGTATGAGCTCAGTTTTCTGGTGGACTGTCTCAATAACCAATCTCCCCTTGTATCTTGAACTAGAAGTAACCGAAAGAACCTTTGCTTACCTCTAAGTTCTCAATCCTCAGACAAATCTTGCCTATCTTGATTGGACTCAGATATTCCATCAGCACCTCAACATGCCATCATACTAAATCACCATACAAGCCCCAGACAAAGATTACACCTTTAGCTGCAGCGACGATACGTACATCCTCGACGCAGCTGAGGAAAATGGCATAGACTTGCCTTATTCTTGCCGGGCAGGGGCTTGCTCTACTTGTTCAGGCAAACTCGTCTCGGGAACAATCGATCAAAGCGATCAAAGCTTTTTAGATGACGGGCAGATAGAGGCAGGGTATGTCCTGCTCTGTGTCGCTTATCCGACTAGCGACTGCGTTATAAAGAGTCATCAGGAAGACGACCTGTACTAATGCTTGTACTGTTGTTGGCGGGGAGGCATTATTTTGCAAAAACTCGAAAGAAGTTCAGGTCGGAAGCAACATAGTGCTGTGGTTTTGGCAAAGCAAAGGACAGTATACATTGATTTCAAGGAAATCTTCGACCACAATGTTTATGGCAAGGTGCTATAACAACGTCCGTAAGGATTTGTTTGCCAGCTCCCTTGTAGCTGCCTATACTAAATGCTATATATTCCCAAGTCAAATACAGATCCTTATAGCGCGGAATGGTGGGAGTTAATCTTTCAGGGCAGTAGATTGTAATGAGTAGTCTAGGTCCAAAGACTACCCTGGACCAGTCACACTAACGGCATATCACCACCGTCGGCCCCGCACTCAATACAGTTAGGCCTGGACTCCAATGATCATCCCCGCATTTGATAAGAATGTGTATAAAAGTAATCGCCCAGCTTGATACCGAGACAACACCCCTCTTTTTATCACTGTCCTCTATCTCGTGAATTGAGAGAATATACGTCATGTACGGCGGTCGATCACATAAGCGTCTGCACCAAGCGTGCGAGAACTGTCGGTGAGTCCTCCCGTGGCCAAATGCTACGTCTGACATCGCTACTTTGGCACTAAATGGCTGTAAAATACTGATTAAACATCGGCAGAAGGAAGAAGACTCGTTGTCCGGGTGAGAGACCGGCTTGTTCGAGTTGTACGCGCCTTTCGAAAACGTGCACGTATCCAGAGATTCGAGGAAACCCTCTGGCCTCAGGTTCTCAAAATGGGAGCAACTCTACAGACACAGTATGCTTGCTGGAGGCGTCCTCGCATGATAAGGTCATGTTGCTCACGACGGATGCTGTTTAGGAGAGACGGCTTGCTCAACTCGAAGCAAAGATTCGCATGATGGAAAGGCAAGAGTACGATCACCGCTTCTGACTTTGCTCCGTGGGTTTGTGTAGCTGATGAAGCCAAACTTCATTTCAACAGGCCGAATAGTGACATCGAATCATTTACGACCAGGATATCAGCGAACTCGGGCCAATCCCAGGATTGGCAGCTACCACTATCACCTAGCGTTGAGATGGATAGCTTCACAACGACCAGGTATGTTGAGAGATGTTTGTCCGCTGAATCATTTTGTTAGTTAACCTGACTGGCAGAAACGGTACATTACCGCCGAGAGATGTTCTGGAAGATGTCATTGATGCCTATTTCCAATACTGTCACAAGCAGCCTTTGTGGCTATTCGCCCGGGAAGACTTTTCTTCAATACAGGAATGTAGTGAGGAGACACTATTAACCTTGCTCGCCCTTGCTTCATGCCATTCCAAGCATCCTTTCTACCAAGATCGTCAGCACGAATTGAGTCAAAGTTATGCACAGGCTGCAAGAGAGGGGATCATGCAGCAGGTGGGTGAGGGCAAGGTCTCAATAACGTCAATTCAGAACCTCTGCATGCTGACGCTGGCCAATATACAAGGTGAGTCTCCTGCTCCTCATGACTATTTATATATGTATGTACTGAGCAGGCTATAGCCAACAAAACAACCCTGGCATACCTTCACGTAGGCATGGCAGTTACACTTGCTAAGTGTGCGAATCTCGATGTTGAGACCTGCGCCTTTGAGGACTTTGGCTCGCGCGCAGAAACACGGAGACGAGTGTTCTGGAGCCTGCACTTGCTACAGCAGATGTATGGACATCAGTCCTTCACCACGGACATCTTGCAAGATATTAATAGACCGCAATACGTTGCAACTTATACAGGCCCGCGAAAGAGCGTCAATGAAATGCCCCCTGCTATTCCACACGAGGACATTTCAGGTCAAGACGAAACAACGAGTGCTGATAAGAAGAGCGGGACATGGGCCTATATGATCCAGACTTCTACGCTGTGGGGAGAGGTCCGCACATACGTTAAGCAATGGGCTCAGCAGACCAACAACGCACCACCTCCTTGGTCCATCGAGTCGGGATACGCAGTCATCAACGCCTATCTCATGGACTCGGAGACAAAATTCCCCGACCGCCACAGATTCGATAGCGCGCGATTCACTGACCAGGAAAGCCGACACCTCCAGAGCAATCGAGGGTATTGGAGTCCGTGGGTATATCAGCAGTTTGCTTATCACACAATACATAACATGCTCAACCATCCGTTTCTGTATTCATCGCGGCCGCAACAATCAGCTCAACTGGGAGTTCCCAACACATTCTGGAAAACCTCCTCTGAACTAGCTTTTATTCACAGCACATGGGTTACGCGCCTCATTGAGATGGTTGTGCATAAAGAGTATCGCGTCTCGGATCCATTCATTGGTCATTGCGCGGCGATTGCGGCGACCATTCATATCTACTTTTGCCGGGCGGCTGACAAGACTACTAGAGATGCAGCTCTTGATAGACTGGCGAAATGCGTTGCATTTTTGGCCGAATTGGCCTTGCTTTGGCCTTCATGCAGGTGGTTGGTAAGTAGAATCATGATATATCTTAGGTTTACTTGAACGCTAATGTCGTGTAGCACGACAGGCTCCAGTCTTTGATCCGGGCAGCTTTCGAGATAGACCATGAGCAAGAGAAGGACCAAGATGTCCCATCACCGAGGACCATTTCGATCAACACGCGTTTAATGTGGGATATACTCCTTTACAACTCTGGCGCTTACAGGGGCATGGCGAGTTCTCCTCAGACAAGAAGTCTTTTCGATGGCAGCTCTCTGTTCCCAGAGGACAACACGGACGACGGGGAAGACATCGTTGAGATAGATAATTTTCATAGCCCAACTGTTGAAGTTACTTTAGGCAATGGCCAGGCATTGCCACCACAGTCCGGGCGGCGAAGAGCGAGATCTGATCGGGGAACCCAGGAGGCCCGAAGCACCCAACCAGATCCTCCAGCTCAATCGTCTTCTGTTCCAGAAGCTTTTGGGGGCTCTACGGAACATACGCCCCTTGCTTCTTGGCCTATGTCTTTGGATATGGCGTATGATCCGTTCTTTCAATTCCAAGATTCAGGCGGTCCCTTTTTTGGGACCTGGGAAGTGGGAAATCTCTAGTCTCAGTACGATGTAGTGGTTAGAGAAGATAGGGCGGGTCAAGGGTAGTATTAGCCCGTGTTCCCTGAACAGAAGACAAGACTATAGCCAACCAGAGCTTATCCCGTTACCCTTACGTACGTCTTAACTAGCCTCGTAAAACCCTTTTGCCTTTACATCAGTAACCAGGGATATCGTCCGTCCTGATTATGTCGAAATAGCAGTGTGTCAGCCAGGCAGGAAATGGACTGGAACCAGTCATATCACCTCGATGTTCAACATTGAGGAAATATAAAACCTCTGCCTCGAGTGGTTCACGAAGCTCAGTCTTTAGGTTGGGTAAGCTCTTACCCAAATCGATGTCGAGAAGATTGCGGGACTTCACTCGGATTAGGGCTGAGTCACCATGTACGTCGACTCTCAGAGTGACATACGCAAACCCCGAAATACAGCCTGGATATATACAAGAAGTAACTTATTAAGAAGTCTATACTTTGATGTGAAACCTCTCGTGGGTTCTAGCATGATATACAGTACACATCTAAGTATCATGGGTTGGCACCACGTATGGTCATCTTGAGACAATAAGGGTCCTCCTCTATGCGCTCGCGAATTGGTCCCTGGGATAGCTCATTAATATCCCAAGATGCCCAAGCAAATCGACCCTATTAATTCTTATAAGTCAAAGGCCCTTAGTAGCGAGAGAACGAACGTATGGTGGAGACTTGCATGGAGGAATGCGGCGTTCGGGGTTGCGAGCCAAACCGCGAAACTACCCTGAAGAGCGACTGTTTGGCCAATCATTGTAGCTTTATGGGGTGTTGAAGACATTACTTGAGCGTACTGACTGTTATCAAATCCAACATCATCTTTGAAGCCCATCTTCACCCACTCTGGCGACCAGATAAGGCCCGGGTGCATTGAAATGATCTGCATCTCCTCAACGGGTGTATCCTTCGCAACCATCTGGAATAGCATAGTGCCGCAAGATTTATTGAAACCGTAGGCGGCAAGCTTCGTGGTGACAGCTTGTATGTAATTGTGCGTTATGCTACTGGAGACGTTGACGACGAACTGGAGCGGAAGGTTAGCATTGTTACGGACACTTGAGATCATAAAATGGGCTGTCTTGCTCTTCGCTTTCCAGTATTCTGCGCATGGAACTTCTCCAATAGATACATGGGGGCATGGACGTTGGTCTTAAGGTGCGACCACATATGCTTTGCACCTGACTCTAACAAAGGCTTCAACGGAGGAAAAGCAGCGGCATTCGACACGAACACATCGACGGCAATACCCTCGGAAGCCAGCTGTTTCCAGAATGCATCCACTGCGGAGAAGTCGGTAATGTCAAGCTGGCGGTGGATGATCTTTGTGTGCGCACCAGCGGCTTTTGCCTCTTGCTCAAGGCGAAGGGCGCCCTCTTGCAGGACCTCGAGACGTCGCCCCAGGATAATGACAGTCTCAGCTAAGGCACGTACAAAAGAGCATCCGATAGCATTGCCGATTGTCGTTCCGCCGCCGGTGATCAAGATGGTCTTGCCAGCTTGGCTGAGCTTGTGGTTGGTAGTGGAGATAGCATCGTAAGGCTCGTTGTGCACGGTTTTGGTGACATCAGTTGCTCTAGAAATGTTAATTATATCCATGACGTTCAGGAGATCACGTCGAGCGTTCTGTGCGAGTTTTTGTAATTCAAGTCTGTGAGAGGAAGGAAGGTGTTGATGTCTGGATGTGATAACTATTGTAGGGACAGATAGGCATATTTATACAAAATCACCCAAGTCTTCCCTAAGCTCTTAGGCCATGAGGTGATTACAAACCCCTTCACGTTGCTTGCCCATGGGGAGGGGACAAATACATTTTCGTCTCATTCAAGCATTATGATTATGATGAATATTACTAAAATCCCGCCTACTTTACGCATTTAGGTTAGCACCCGCAAAATACCCCATGCTTAAACGGGGTGGGCGCCAACTGGATGCGGTTAGGGCCCGTCCATGGGCGGACAGGGCAGCTTGCGCATTCACGGTGCCGTCTCGTACTCTGTTCTATTGTCACCTCCTGTCTAAAGCACGTTCTCTCCTTGTGCGCCCGTTCTCCTCTTCCTAGTCAGTCCATTCTCTATTTTCCAATTACTAAGTCTATTCCGCGGTCACACCATATGCAGGCTTGCGCGGCATGTGTCAAAGCGAAGCGGAAATGCTCGCGACAGAGCCTCGCCTGTCTTCGTTGTCGTTCCCGAGGTTTGAACTGTCAGTATCCGACGAAAAGGTATAGCCACTGGGTCCTTCTACCCGATAGACCTCCAGAATCCTCAGCAGAGGAGCACACTCCTGCAAGATTGAATCTGGAAATTGCTCTGCGTGGCTTGGATCCACTACTTTTGCTGGATAAAGCAACGACTCATGCGCAGCTATCAAGCTGGTTCACTTCTATTCATACTTGGGACACCGCCCACTCTGAGAGACTCGTGATGGATGCATTCTCCTCTTTTGACTTGGATGGTTATGTTGGGAAAGTCCGTGGCTGGCTGGCTCAGTGGGTGCAAACGGGAAGCAATCCCTTCATCCATCGTCAGCTGTACAGCTCGAGGTTCCCAAGAAGCATCCAAGATGCGTACATGTGCCTTTCATGTTTCCTAAACAAGACTCCAGCTAATGAGCATCTGGTTATGCGCCTTGTGGAAGAGCGCTCTCAGGTTTTGCTAAATGAACACGGCTCTGACCGAGATCAGCGCAACGGCCTTGACTTGATGGACCATATCGCGCGAGTTCAAGCTCTGTTGGTCTACCAGTTTATTGGCCTGTTTGAATACAAAGTCCGCCTACTTCCAGTCGCTCAAAGTCGGAACGACCTCCTGCTGGCATGGACCAAGGAGATGGTCTCGGTAGCGGCAAACACAGTTCCATCCGGAGTGCGAGATATACTTTCATCCTCGGAACTCGGAAATCACTACGGAAAAGACTTCATTCAATTGCTCTGGCACTCTTGGATCGTTTCGGAGACTGTTCGCCGAACTTGGAATGTCATGGCCACTATGCTCGGACTGTTCGGCTTTGTCAACCGTGGAAGGGAGGCCTCATGTCCAGGCGGCATGGTGTTCACCACCCGGATCGGAGTTTGGGAAGCGAAAAATGCTACCGAATGGCTGGAGATTTGTTCTTCTCGATCAGTAGGGTTGATGCAAGTTGCTGAGGCCTGTGAGCTTATAGACTCTGCAGAGTGCAAACAAATCAACGAGTTTACAAAAACAACACTGGAACTTACGTATAGGCGCAAAAGAGTGCAGCAAAGCATGAAATACTGCAATACCAGAGGAGTGGACACAGCAGAGTTGGCCGAGAAAAGAGGATAGAAAGGTTGTGGATTGTCTGGAATAGCAATACTTAGCCCCAAATATGATGCAGTCTCCTTAGAACATTACAGGACTAAGGGTACCGTCAGCTCTTATTACATGAACAGGAGACAGGATTGTAGTCACCCAGGGTCCATTCCACTACTAGTATACAGCTCTCAATTAGCCTCAGCCACGACAGCTTCCAGACCTTGGATTAGATCCGCCAAGAGATCTCCTGGATCCTCCACGCCAATACTAACTCTTAGAAAGTCCTTGGCCACCGTCGAGTCTGTCATTGTCCTCCACTCGATCAAACTCTCTACACCGCCGAGGCTAGTTGCATGATGGAAAAGCATCAACTTGGACGGAAGGTTCCGGGCATATTCCACCTTGTTAAGCGTTAGAGAAAACACCGGTCCATAACCACGAGGCATTTGTTTCCGTAGCCAGCTTCCCTCTATATTGGCTTCGTCTTGCAGACTGGCGTGATGAATTTCTTTGACCACTTTTTGGATGATCTGAGCCTCTTTATCGCTGAGACTTATCAACGACGGCTGCCGACAAGACCCTACCAATCCAAGTCTCAATGCACTGACAATAGCCTCGGCTGACTGGCTTTGCTTGAAGACTCTCATCTCGAGAGTGCGGATGCTCCTGGTTGCAAGCCAGCTGTCAAAACCTGCCATGACAGAGCCAAGGTATAATCGATCCCGATGAAGTTGCTGCAGCCATTCGTTGCCGGGGCTGCCACTCTTGATCGCCAGGATACCACATAGGAAATCGGAATGGCCTCCGATGTATTTTGTACCCGAGTGCATGACAACATCTGCACCCTGAATGAATGCGTCTTGGAGTGGAGGGGGTGCAAACGTCGAGTCCACGCTAAGGTAGGCACCTCTGGAATGGGCGCGGTCTGCGTAGTACTGAATGTTAAATGCTTTTCCTGTCGGATTGACAGGTGTCTCTAGATGAATTAAGTCACCTGGACCTAATTGGTCGACGGCGCAGTCGAGTGAGAGCACCTCGGTTCCAGAGGAGCGGGCATAAAGCTCCAAGGTCCCATGGCAACCATGATATCCCGCTCCGATAGAGACTTTTCTAGGTCTCAACATGATCAGCAAGGCATGAAATGCCGCAAGACCAGAAGAGTAGGCAATGCAGGGTTGGCCTAGAATGGAAGACAAGACGGTTTCCAGACGCGACAATCCTGGCGTAGATTGCCGCGAGTAGCAGTGCTCTCCAACATCTAGAACCGGGTACGAAGGTCGCTCGTGGTGTTCTCGCATGCGGTCTGGAGCTCGTGGGTAACGGAAGGTTGCGGCAACGTGGATTGGCGGTGCCACGTCGTCAACATTGTTGAGGACATCATCTGCGTGCACGGCTTGTGTGGCGGTTGACAGACTGGGTAACGCCTTTGCCAAGTTGGTTCTGAAACGTTGTTCTGTTGGATCCATAATCTTCTGTTATTCAAGAAAAGTTGTAAAAGTCGTGACACAATGCTCCCAGATTCTGTTGCTGGCTTTCGCTTGATCGCTTTTATTTCCCGATCTCCTGAGGGATTACAGTGCTATTACAGAGTACACAGCCTATCATTCCAAACACTTATCTCACTAGGTTTTTCCGGTGCCCGGCCGCCGATGATAACTGCATTGTCCCCGACATAGATCAAAGTTGAGCTTGCGCCGGGGAGATTGAAACGCAGCCGACCACGTGACCGGAGTCCCTATGTTCCATAGTATCCTCACCTTGCCATGAAATTTGCATAAGATGTTGCTTGTTAAAGCACGGTTATGTGGTAGCGCACGTATGAAGCTTGACTTAGTCAGTGCTCAGCGGTTACAATTTCGATCTTTAATTGTCTTGCAGTTGCAATTGCATGAGAAGGGCGTTGAAGTTTGAAAATCAGGTTAGGCCGCAGGCGTTTTCAGCCACTTGGCTCATGACCATCTCACGACTTTGAATGCTTTTGCCTGTGAAGGCCAGCCTTGCTCGCACTGTTTCCTTGTGAAACCTCTATCTTATGCCCTAATTAATACAACAGCGACTTGGAGCAACCTTTTTATCGTAAAGACTCATTATGTCTAATCCATTATCGTAACTGTAAAGACATAGCAGTAGACCTTTCTTTTGCAATTTTGTCGACCATGTATAGCTATAGGCCCTGCTAAATGGCGATGACATTCGACTGATTGAACTTCCTCCTACTTGGCCACAAATTAGATATCTCGATGTTGACCTTTACAGATCGAAACACCCCTAATTATAAACCTTTATTTTATGTACAGGGAGAACCAAGCGACCCTTTGGCCAAAAGTGCCGACGAACAAGATACGCATACTGGCCGAAACTTGTATAAAATTAATGTATATCCTAAACCCAATACCATTCTTCTGATAATAACCAGCCGATCTCTGAAGGACAGCTCTGTGGGAAAGTCAACCTATTACCGAGAGGGCTGCCGTCAATGTGTTGGTTGTGCTTTCACTTGCTCGTTTTTGTGAGTAAATCGGGTGCTGATCGAGACGAGTACCATACGTGAGGGAATTCGTTGTCACCCTTGCCCAGACTAAATGGGTTAGTCGAGGACATTTCGCGTGCAGTATTGGGACCCCGTTGGTCTGTACCATCGTCCAGGGGGGGACCGCAATTCCGGTGGTCGTTTGCACGATTATCATTTCCACTCAGGCGGTGACTCCACAGTCGCATCTTAGACATCGACCTCCTTAGCATTCGCCTGACACCAGGTTTGGCTATGGGCTCAGTGTATTTTTCCGTAATTGGCCTTGGTGTCGCTTCGAAGAGTTTCGTTGTTGTGTTAATCCGGAAGAGTAGAATGTTTAAACACTCCCGAGCCTCAAGCAAATCTTTCCTATCCGGATAGTCTTGGGGCGTGTGCCGCAATAACGTCGTTATGAGTATCGGATATCTCGTTATTCTCTGCAAAGGTTTGATCAATAGTGATCCAAGATCCCAGGCATGTGTAAGGTGCTTTGTGACCTCCTTGCACTGCTCCATCCAGTAAACAACGACGGGATGCTTTTGAATGGCCACCAAACACTCTACAACCTCCCTGCCTTTTCTTAAGAACTCCTCAACGACCATACTTATGCTGTCGATATTAAGCATAAAGGCACGCCCGATCCATGTCGCTCTGTCTTCAGCTTCACTGACTTGTATCGAAGTGTTTCGATTGACGTTTGTCGCAGGGACATTATTGTTACCTACAGAAGGCTTCTTGTAATACCGACTATACACACTCGCCGCAGACTTCTCAAGTTCAGATTGAAAGGATGTGTGAACGGAAACGATGTCATCGACATTACGAAAAATCAGCTGTATTGCCTCAAAGTCGAGTGCAGGGCAGGCGTCGGCTGTCTCTTTGTAGACATGCCGCAAAATGCTCATATCTCTGGTGAAAATTCTTTCCGTGTCGATGATTTCCTTTATCACGTTTCGGCGTTGGGTAATGAGTGAGGTGCATGTGTCGTGAAGCTGGGCATCTATTGTCACTTTGGTTGTCGATCCATTGCTAGTGTGTTGCCCCTCTTCAAATGCCAGCATATTCGGTAGATCAATTGTTGAGATGCATTTTCCATCTTGCGGATCGTGTTCGAGTACAGGCTGAAGCTTCTGCCGTGGCGCCCACGTTACTTGCTGGAGGCAAGCTGGGTCAGATATACTATTTGGAATTGTACTGAGCATCTTGAAACTTGGGCCTATTGCCAGAAGGAATTAACAATAATAAATAACGTTATTAATTTTATATTTCGTACAGGCACAGTAGATCTTTATAATGTACAAGCTTAAAGGTAAACCTGTCTTAAACTTATAATATATAATACCTATTCAAGAAAGGCCAATTCATTATAGAGTAACATTTCAATCCATCGGCACATACATTAGTGAGAGTCATAGCAGCTCCACTTTCTGCCGTAGTAAGCTCTGTATATGTCTTACCTCAGTAGCTGAAGTTAAGAAGGAATGCCAGTAATTTACCACAAACTGGTATTTTTAAATTATGTTAACTAAAGTAATCGCTGCGCTATTAATTAAACCTCCGATGGAGATGAAATTTTACATTCCTCGGCACATAATGTCTTGCAATATATACAAATGAGTCATGAATCATTGACCTAGGCAAGTGGCTGTAATGCTACACATTTAGTGTCATTAGTATAATAACATAATCGAAAAATCGAGGGTCCCTTAAACAAGGTGTTGACTACTAGGGATGACTGCGGCCTGTAAGGTTAAGGTTTCGGTTGCGAAGTGCGAACACAGGTGATGAATGATAGCACGATATCTTCAAACGACTAGACCTTATCGCCCTGACTTTAATAATAAGCTCAGGGTAACAGAGAAGCCCAATAATAAGCTAGAAAAGGGTGGAATTATGTGTACCCTTTCATCCATCTGGCCAAGTCATAAATGCAACACTGTCAATCACTATGGACACTAATTCTGTACGAGTGGAGGCTTAGACAATTCTAAATGGCTTCCGAACGTAGTATGTTATAGATGGGACAGAGGCATGCCAACCTTTCGGCGCGATTGAGTCCACTTGATGATCAGGTCGACGAGTGAAAGGATCTGGTCAGATGTATGATCTGCATGCAAATTGATCCGAAGTCGCTCCTGGTCCTTGGGCACAACGGGAAAATGAACAACGAGAACGCGATTCCTTTCTTTGCTCAGAAATTGTCCCAGATCTGCTGCTCCGCCGTGGGGAGCTATGATGGGGATAATTGGAGAATTGGGACCATCAGTTGTTGGCTTCATCGGGATAGTGATGATGCCGAGGTGCTGGCAGCTTTTCCATAATACATGCTCGCTGACAGCATTATAGAACATATTTATGTTCGACTGTACGAGATCTCGTCTCTAATGTATCCAGATTAGTAGGTGTACGTATTTCTGACGATCTTGCAACATACTCTTTCACCTTCGATACTCGCTAAAATTCTATACCCAACCTTGACTGCCGCCAGCGTGGTGAAGGTCGGCGCAGTGGAGAAAATGAGTCCACGGACGCAGCTGAGCAGGACTTGCTTGCACTCTCTCCTTGACAGAACAACAGCTATGACTTTGGGTAAGTATTTGATAGCCAATCGCAATTATACCTGGGCTTGGAGCTTACCACCAGAAGCCCCATGTGCTTTGCCAAAGGTATGAACTCGGATAGAGAAGTCTTTCTCCAGACCCAGATGAGACACAAGCCCTGACCCCTGGGGGCCTACCAACCCCGTCGAATGTGCCTCGTCGATCACAAATACAGCATTTCCAAGTGGAAGCTGCTCTTTCACCTCCCTGATAACTGCCTTAACGGGCGCCACATCACCGTCCATGCTATAGAAAGACTCCAGTGCAACAAAAACTAAGGCAAGACCCGTTCTGACTGCTTCATATTGATTCCTGATGTCCATCAAACGTTGGCGTAGACTTGCCAGGTCGTTGTGGGCAAAAGGAAGAGCAGTTGCACGGCTCCTATAGATTCCTTCTCGGATGCTTGCATGGACAAGGCTATCATAAAGCACGACATCATGCGGCTGCGCGAGTGTCGAAAAGACAGCAACATTTGCTTCGTAGCCAGTATTGAAGAACAAAGCACTGTCTGCTTTATGGAACTCGGCAATGTGCTTTTCCAGTTGGAAAAGGTAGTCAGTTGAGCCTTCACCCCATCGAGACGCCCTTCCACCGAGGATGAAGTTAGGATGCTTTGCAAGCTCCTTGAGAAATTCCTTCCCCAAGAGGCCAGAAGAGGATAAGGACAAGGTGTCGTTTGACCCAAAGTCAACCATTTCGGCTAGACTGCCTGGGGCTGGTGGCTCAAGCTGCCAGCCTCTGCTTTGCCGATCATCATGAATCAATTGCAGGTTATGTTGAAGTGCATCTGACTTGGACATGATGGATTCGTCTTTATGAGTTTCGAAGGGAAAGTAAAGATGCAAATCAAGGTAGTGAAGATGGGCAGCTTGGGTAGAGCAATGCATATCAGGGCAGCCGGAAAAGCTCTTAACACTTTATGTTGATCTTTCGACACCTTCTTGGATGTTCTACCTACTTCTCAACCTAACAGACCTTCCTTCTGCGGTATCTAGCGGTGAAGTGTCGATAAGTAACCTGTTTGATCCCCTCACAACCAAAAGACGGCAAACATGACGCTTGCCAAGTCGACTAGAGGCAGAGGAAAGCATTGTTCTGCCAACATCGTACCATAACATTGACAGCATACAGCGGCACAGTCTGAGAACAATAGACAGCCCTGCAAGACCTCCCGAAAAGCTACGGATTCCAACAGTCCGGGTGTCGTGTAAGGGTTACGTGTAAGGCGCGTGATGTAACCATCAGGTGACAGATCTATCATCTTAGATTGGTACTCCTTGTGTAAGGGTTACACTATGTTCCCCGCAAGACATCCCATGTCATGATCAAGTTCATCGGTGTGGGCGCTGTTTGGGAACACGAAGATCTCTAGCAGGATATCCCATGACACTATTAACTCGTCGACCTGGGCTTGATGTTTGTTTTGAGGTATCGCATATGGCGAGCCACTTTTTCTAGCAAGACATGGCTAGCCTGTGTTACGAATAACATGATCTCTTCATTGGTTATATCGTCAAAACGCCGTCGTTGCCGCCCGTTTCTGAGCAGCTAGAACTCGCCAGTTCACTTTTAGGGTTGCATTGACTGATTCTGATGCAGGTTTGTGTTTGTCTATGGTTGACAACTCACCGCTGAATGTCTCATGGGTCTGGAGGCTGCCAAACCGCTTTAGCGCTGCATTAGTTGCTTCTTCTGTAGTTTCCTGTTTGTCTAAGACCAACAACCAACAACCAGAGCGAAAGCCTCTAGCCCGCCCGCAGCGCCACGCTACGGATCCAGCTCAGTCTCTCATATGTCGGATAGCAAAGAATAAGAAGTTCAAGACTCGGCATCAGCGACTGGTTTGACAAAAACAAACATCAATCTAGAATTTCCTCTTACACCTTTCAAAATTCAATTGCCATTCGTCCACATCATAACAATGGAGAACAAGGTTATTTCTTGGGGCACTGCGGCTCCAGAAGCTATTGCTGTCATTGATGGCGCTCACTCTATCACTTATGGCGAACTGATCAATTCCGCCAGAATGATTGCATGCTTCCTGCAGGAGCGCGGCGTCAAGCCAGGCGACTCTGTGGCGATCTTGTTTGATGTTGATCATCGTCAAGTTATCGCGCAGCTGGCTGTCCTTTTTGCTGGTGGAACTTGTGTTCCAATTTCCCCCACTGCACCATTTCATCGCGTCGCAAGCATGCTGAGCGATGCCAATGCTCAGTACGTCATTTGCGATGAGAATTCAACCTTCTCCTCTGAGGGTATTACTCTTCTCCATCTCAGTGATGCACCAGTCTTGGAGTTGTCCGTTGATGCAACCGACTCTGGTTCTTCACGGATTGCATCACGTCGTACGCATATACTGTTTACCTCTGGCTCAACTGGTAAGCCCAAGGGCGTCCAGATCAGCAGCTCTGCCATACTGCACCTGGCAGCCAGTACCCCATTGACCCCATTGAACCCCGAAGATCGGGTAGCTGCTTTCAATGACCCTGGCTTTGATCTGAGCCTCTTCGAAGTCTGGGTTACTCTTCTCAGCGGTGCCACTATCTTCATTATCCCAAAGGTGACAGTAGTTGATCCTACTGCGCTGAAGAGCTATCTTGAACGTCAGAAGATTTCCATCATGATTATGCCTGCCGCTCTTTTCCACATCGTCGCCAAGTCATCGCCTGATTCCTTTCACTGTCTTAGACATCTGCTCACTGCAGGCGATGTTGCCAATAGGATGGCCATGCGTCATGTTCTTGAGCACAATCCTCCAGAGCATCTTTGGAACACGTATGGCCCGACTGAGTGTACAACCCTTGCAACGATGCAGGAAGTCGATATCAATGAAACACTACGTGACCGGATTGGTATCGGGCGTTCCGTCGGCCAGATGAAGATTGTCCTCATAGATCAGTCTCAGCAGGTCATTCGCGATACCAAGCAGCGAGGCGAGATTTGTATCGCTGGGCCTCAACAAACTCAAGGTTATCTGAATCAGCAACCTCATGATGAGTCAATTTTCATCGAAATCGACGCTCCCGTATTCGTTGGGTCTATCGACACGCGGGAAGAGCAGGGCCACTCTTGTACTCGGTATTACCGAACTGGCGACGTGGCCGAATGGAGAGATGACGGCGGCGGCCTCGATTTCATCGGGCGCAGAGACAACCAACTGAAACACGGAAGCTTTCGAGTAGAACTTGAAGAGATTGAAAGAAGTCTTCTCGAAAGTGAACTTGTTCAATCTGTCATTGTCGTGAATCGGCCAGCACCAGATGCGGACGGTGTTGGGGTTCTAGTCGCGTTCATCGTCCCTTACGACAAAGCCACTACCAAATCGCAAGACCTGGTATCGTTTGCTCGAAACACACTACCACATTACATGGTCCCTGATAGATTTGAAATCGTTGAAGATCTTGTTGTGGACTCACGAGGCAAAATTGATCGTCGTGCCTTTTCGGAGAGCCTCCCTGAATCAGCATCGGCCACCCCCCATTTCATCCTCACGAATGGGAATAGTTCTGCTTCATCAACAAAGTCTACACTGAAGGCTATTTGGGAGCACATTCTGGGCGTTTCGCCGGTCAAGGACGATGACGACTTCATGGCCCTTGGCGCCACCTCACTCCAAAACGCTGCCCTTATCGCCCGCATCAAGAAGCATTTGGGGCGCCTCATCTCCATGCATGATCTGTACTGCCACTCCCGCTTTGCAAGTTTGCTTCATTTTCTCGAGAGTGACGCAGAGTCCATCACTGCACCTAACGATGCAGATAAATGGATCAAGGACGTCGACATGGTAGATGACATCGAGGAGACACCAAACTGGGAAGACCCAGATGAGGGTAAAATCTTCTTGACTGGTGCGACTGGTTTTGTTGGTGCTTTTCTACTCGATGAGCTTCTGCGTCACCCAAATGTCAAACAGGTTGCTTGCCTAGTTCGTGGCAAAACAGAGTCCGAAGCTGCTCGTCGCCTTCAAGCCAATATGCAGAAATATGATCTGTGGCCTGATGACTATGCTTTAACTACCAAGATCACGGTACTCCCAGGGGATATCACGAGTCGAGATCTCGGCCTCGGATCAACCAAGTTTGATTGGCTTGCCAATTGGTGCAGCGCCATATTTCACCTAGCTGCCAAGATCAACTTTTGCGACTCGTATCATGAGCACTACGATACCAACATCCTTGGAACTCGGAACATGCTCCGTCTTGTTGCTCGAGGGCGACGCAAGACATTTCACTACGTGTCTAGCATCGATACATGGGGTCAGACAGGATACTTTCTAGGCACCAAGAGGGTCTTGGAAGACGAACCTCTTGGCCCCCATATTCAAGGCGTGAGATACGACGTGGGCTACTCCCAGAGTCAGTGGACAGCTGAGGGAATGGTTCGGCGCATGAGAGGTCGGGGTTTTCCAATCATTATCTATCGGCCCGGCTTCATCATAGGCCATTCGGTCACGGGAGCGAGTAATCCCAACGACCTTGTTTCACGACTCATTTCCAGCTGCATAAAGCTTGGTGCATGGCTCAAGATCGATCTAGATCCGGCATATGTTACAGTTGACTATGTAGTCAAGGCTATGTTACACGTCTCACGCTCAGCAAAGAATATCGGCAAGTCATATTGCCTTGTCGCGCCACAGGTTGAAGATTCAGTGTCTGTGAATAAGACTTGCTCTCTTATCTGCCAAGCTGGCTACAGAGTCGAGCTCACAAGCTACCCTGATTGGATCGCCCGATTATCGGAAGAGATGCTTCCGGATGACCCTCTTGCGCCTGTCATGCCACTACTAGAAGAAAAGGTCTTGGGCAACTTTACAAGACTTGAGGTAAGCCAGCATTCTCCGATATACGACTCGAGAAATGCAATCAAGGCTCTTGCAGGTAGTGGTATTCATTATGTTACACTAAGCCCGGATATAATTAAGCGTTATATTGCATTCTGGAACGAGAAGGGCTTTTACTCTATCTAACTAAATATATATGGTCAAGACTGGTTTCCGCCTGATGGGTACTTTATGCTACATTTCTTCAGATTCTGTTGCTCTTGAACAATCTCCTTTACATCAGCCCAGCTGCCTTCAACCAACCAGCAACCTTGTAAGTCCAAGTCGCGCAGAGTCTCCGAGTGTCGAGTAACCAACGACTTGAGCTCCATCACTGTGAAGGGTTGATTATGTAGACTCAGAGATTGGAGCCGTGGCCACGAAGAGCGATCTGGCAGGATATCATCCAAAGAAACAGTTGGCCTCATGTTAAGCGGAGGATAACCAATAAACTCCACATACGTATCCTCCAAGTGAGGTGCACTCAGACATGATTGAGTGATAGAGCAAAGTGCAAGCATCTCGTGCCTAGGGTTATCCTTGAGTTGAAAGCTCCGGGCCTGGAAATCCACATATAATGTTAGTTTCGCGACTTGAGAAACCAGACTCTTTAGTCCAGTCTGTTGCGATGGCGATAATTGCCAGGCTTGCATGCTAGGCGGAGGGACCAAGCGGAGACGAATTATCCTAGGTCTCAGGCCTTTGTTTGCAAGTTCAGAGCATAACGTTCCGATCATCTCAACGGGTGGAGTCGCAGTGTGGATTGTCTTGAAAGAGCCACACCACCTTGACTTACCCAGGATAGGGCTGAAGTGTTGCAGTATTGTATAATCATATCCAGTATGGGCAAAGTCAGCAGCATCCAAGTGTTCCATGCCTCCCATGTTTCTAACATCATTTAGCTCCAAGGAGACCAGGTTGGATAATGAACTTAAAGCGGCGCATAATCGAGTGATGTGGTTTTGTCCCTCTCGAAGCTGCTGTTGGTCATTATACAATTCTTTGTATAGATCGTAAAGCTTGAGAAATAGCCTTTGGGTAGGCGTTGGTGATTCTTCGTCAACTTGGTCACTGAAAAGTTGTTCGAATTCGGGTTCTGTTCTCCAAGCCATATTTGACAGCCACCGGGATTGTTCTTGCGTGTGAGGATATTTATTCCGGTAGTATCTCGACCGTTCCATGGTTTCTACGTGTCGAAGCAGTCTGGCCTTGGCCTCGAGCATGAACAGTGGCCTGTTGCAGGCTAATTCGGGTTCGTAGTAAGACGTGACTATGTTCACGCTTTGCACTGACTTTCTGAAAATGGGATGATGGCAAATCCCTTCTAAACGAGTAAAGGATTTCGTGGTGAGGCAAACAGAAACTTCCGTGAGGAGCAATGGCGATGCGGCATTGTTGAAGCAATGTGAAACTAAGCGACACTCCCCAATTGAACCTCGGCCGTTTTTCTCGTTACGCACGAAGAAAAGAATGTTCCTCAGAACTTCGGAAGGGAGTGATTGAATATCCACTGTGGATGACATTTTCGATGTAGTTGCAGGAGTAAGATTCGAGTAGAGGGAAATAGGTGCAAAAAGGATATGACGTCTCTTGTAAGCTGCGGGGTCGGCGATCATCGCGGATTAATACAAAGCATAAGATTCGGTGATTGGTTGCTGTGAACAGGGGCGAGAGCTTACATGAGTCACTGACCGTTGCAGATACACAAATGCGGGTTCTTTAATCAGGTACATTTATTATCCACCGTAATTCATTATATATTCCTTGACTATAGAGCGACCAGCTTGTTTGACTGTATGTTGGAGCCGTTTATATGTTTCGTATTCTTCTTTGACATAACAGACAAACCTATCCATATTCAGCGTCTTCCGAACCATTCCAAAGTGACGCCAGGTATAGGACCAAAGATTGTATACACAGTGCAATTATTAAGCATTTACTAGAATCCTCCTGCACCTTTCATCTTCATTGCCATACCATAAACACCTTTAACCAAGCCCATAACAGTCCCTGGATTTCCCATGTACCCTTTTCCAGGCTTCCCCTCAGCATCCCTCCAAATGCCATCTTCAGCCACCCTGCCAAACCTCTTTGTGTTCTGGTTCCTATCAATACATTCTCTCCATTTCTGACATATCTCCTCACTGTCGACCATGACATTGATCTCCTGACTGTGAAACCAAGATTGAGTGTCTTGATTACCACTTCCTTGTATGCCGACACTGCCATCAACGATCAGAAGCTTAATGTGACAGGATCGGGATTTGAAGGAGTGATGGATGGGATGGTCTTGGTCCTTTCCTACGTAGTTGTATATATGCAACAATTTACGCTCAGGGCTATCTTTGGTGAGGGACGAAACGAGGTTTTGGGCGATTTGGTCATTTGTTCCGCCTTGCCCGGGTATCATTTCTCCCGGATCGTTGTAGCCAAAACACACGTAGTATGTAACTTCTACTCCTCTCTTCAGCGCTTCTTTGAGTGCTGGAATCAATGGAGCAGCGTTGAGATCGGGCGTTTGAATGAAGATGTTGTGTTTGGCATTCCTAATCAACGATAGCCATGCTTCGTTTTGGGGCACATGGACGCTTTTCGAGTCGATGGCCCCGTACGGCGGTCGAGATACTAGCGCCATCGGAACTGGCTTTCCATCACCAATTGTCGAGATGTATGGTGTCATTTCGTCTCCTGCGTCAATCTCGGGTCCCGTGGGCTCAATTGGATGCTCCACTGCGAGGTTGAGCTGGCGATTTGCTGCTTGAAGACGCGATTCACCCTCTTTCAGGGCATAACAAGACTGCATACGCTTGACCTCTCCCTCTATGTCATCATCGTAGTGAGGGCGATCTGGGAAATGCTCCGGCAGGGGTTGCTCAATATCAGCTTGTATAGTGGTAAAGTCTCTTAGATGTGAGGCTTCGTTTTCCGTTGTTGAGGAACTGTTGGTAGAGGTAGGCAATCCGCGCTCAGTTGTAGGTGTCTGAAGAGATGGAGGTTCTGGGTGAAGGGAGTTTTGCCAGGTTATCAGGGCAGTATCGTATATGCTGTCAACTATTGGCCCTTCAACGTGGACCATCATCTCCAGGTTATCGTTGTCTTCGGTGTTGTTACTCATAACGGCAGCGATCTTGCGATCCACAACGCAGAACTTGGCATGCAGAGTGCCCAGAAATATTCGATGGAGGCTGACTACCTCCAGGTCAACATTTGGTATCTCCTCCGGTGAAGGCAAGTCGATTGTCTTTGAGGTGTACGCCTTTGGTTTGACAAACTGGTGTGGATTGATAGCGTTGCATGGTCCTGGCTTGTCATACATGATCTTAGCAACCACTCGTCTCCCAGTCTTTCCAGCTCGTTTCGAGAGCTCGATCAGAGAATTTTTGATTAGAGCTTGGGCTACTGACGGTGCCCAGGAACATGTAATGAAGAAGACTTCCTTCTCAGCCCGCACAATGAGATTCGAGCAGTGGCGCATGACATCTGCAAGGGGAGCAATGACTGTGAGAGGCATAGTTCCATGAGAACCCATTAAAGGAGGTGACACGACACCTGCCATTGGGTCTTCATTCAGGCATTGTAGCGAGTCGGCGAATGCTTGGAGGAACAACGGGCTTGGGGTCGTTGGGCCCCAACGACCGCATTGGAGGGCTGCTTGGATGGCATCTTCGCTCTTCTCTGTGTCTTCTTTAGATGAGATCTTGTGATGTAGAGCGTGCTCGTGATGACCGTATAGCTTCTTGATGGCATTTCCCGGCGTCTGGCTTGGATCATTTGCCAAGACGGAGCTCACGGTCTCTTTAACCTGGCACAAGGCGTAGACGTGTTGCGAAACCATTTTTACAATTGGTAGCTTTTTTACATGTAAGCAGACGGCAGAGGCACTTGCTGAGAGCCATGGTCTCGTACAACTATTTATCAAGCCCAATTGAACAAACGTCATTTAGTCAAGGTTGCACACTTCTGCAAGCTATGCTAGCCATGTCTTACCCAACTTTGGTTTTATTCCCTGGCTAGTGGAGGTGATATTGCCTAGGCTTACGTACCTCGGGGCAGAATTCCTGATTTAAGTGGCTACGCAGTACCTGGAAATAGGGCTCTTGGCTATGTGACAGCATGTAGCTTCTGCTCCGCCACCAAGGTCTAGCAAAGCTAAACCCGGGATTTTTGTGCCGAGACTAATTGCGGCACGCAACTTCCGGCCGGGTTAACCGGAAATACAGCAAAGAATGGTCATGGCAGCTCTTCATCATGTCATCGCGTTGAATGTTGGCATCTGGTTTTGTTACTGACGATTGAAATGGCTAAAGAAGACACTTCTTGCGTTATATATCACATCAAATAAAACCATTTGAGGGTCAATAGATTACCCACGTTCAGCTTCTAACTAGATGTTACTGTACTGACTCAATCTACTTCATGATTGGTAACTACACCCCGGCATTACCGCTTTTCCACTCTTGAACGTTTGAAATACGAAAAAGAAACGCGTAAAATTGAGTCAGCAATACGGGGCTTGAATAATTGTTCTCATTCGCCACAGGATAATTTTAGATCGGCGTAGCTTCTTTTGTCAGATTACAGCCAATCGTCGCGTCTCGCTTAACGCGAGTGGACTTCCTTGGTTAGCGAATTCAGTTGGTTTGGTAACATACTTACCCGGTAATGCTATACAAATTGTTGAAATACAAGCCTTATGTATTGCATACAATAAAATCCAAGGCTAAGGAGTCTCAAGAGGTGAGCCTTCATCTGTTGGTCTATTCTTGGGAGCCAGTTCGTTGTCTGATTCAGTAACCTTTGAGAATTTCTATCCAATACTAAGTCTCAGGAATTCTCTATGCTCAAACGACCAACGTGTTATAACTGTTTTTCCTATTCGCCTTGTCGCAACAGTAAGATTGTGATACAATAAATAGTATTTAAACTCGGCCTATATAATTGAAGTCCACAGTGATGTATCCAAGTCCCAAACCATCGGAAGTGGATAAGGCATTGTCTGCTCAAAGGCATCCAGATTGATCTCAAACATGCTGTCAGTATGACGTGTCTGGTGACTTTCTTGCTGGTTGGCACTCGAGGAAGCTTGAAAAGCAGGAATCTCTACATTAATAGACTCAACTAGCTGTGAATTGGAAGATTGCACAGCGTAACAAGCCTTTTTGTATAGTTCTTGGCAGACTTTTCGGACTTGAGTAAGGTAGGTATTGCCGTTTGCTTCGTCTAGTGTTTTAAAAATCTGTATGACGTCACCAACTAAATGCATGTCATTCGTCGCAAACTCGTTCATAGGAGTCCTAACTGCCATGATGCAGAGGATAACAACAGCACTCATGGGTATTGGAATAACGTCCCTTCAGCCAATTAGTCATTGATCAAGGGTGTGGCCTGATAGAACTCACCAGTGCAAGCTCTTCCTTGTGACTGGTATAAGTTTGGTTAACTCAATGATGCATCGCGACCCGTTGAGACAATTCTCTATGGAGTCTCTCATCTTTGAAGGAAGGGCTAGAATTTCCGGGTGATTTGGCGATACCCAGAAAGTTAGGCTGTGTGCGCGGCTCACAACGATGACGGCATTGTAGTAGGAAAAGTACAGCCGCATCAACCCATGATGCTCGCACCTCGCAGCACAACCATGACTGAGAGCCGGTGCAAATTCAACACGCCAATTCTCCAGCTTCTGTAGTAGGTCCGCCACCGAGTCTGCAACGCAGTTCGGTGGAGCTTTGCTTGAATGAAGATCTTGGTAAATCGCGCTCTGGATCACGGCCAGTTGGATCTGACCTTTGAAGAGGTTGAGTTCATGCCCATCAACACTCTTGATGATTTCCGTCTCATCCAAAGAACACATTGGTGGATCAACGTAGGCAGCGCTGAGGTCGTGACAAGGGGGTCTTCCAGTTCGGAGGCATAGTTCTCGGTCCAGACAAATCGCGATCCAAAAGACCTTCTTTCTCATATTTGCTTCTGCTGGACTTACAGATGGATCCTGGCTCTCGACATGTATGCCTATTGAGTGTGCAAGACGCACAGCGCAACCAACGAGCATGAAGCTGGGCTGCGGATTTGGTGTTCCGATGAAGAACCAGGCAATGGCCAGCAGAGCTTGGACAGAAGACAATTGTGTACTACGCATGAGAACGTCCCATGTCCCGGCAAGTGCATTTGATGCATAGGCCCAGGCTAGATCCTCTGCTTCTGCCGATTGAGCTGCCTCCGCCCGACGACGCTGTGTGATTGCAAGAACAGAGTTGAGCGAGACCCACCACGCTGGACTCTCAGTACACGTACCTGAGTACTGCTGGCCTAGTAGACACATGAATGCTGGTGCATTGAAGCACGGGAAGACTTGATGTTCATGAGCGAAGAATTCACTAACAAGGGAGAATGCCTCAGTCCAAGATGGAAGAGGCTTCATGACCTGCTTTGTGAATAAGGGCTCGATAGATGGGTGTGTCCATTTGGACCACGATTCTGGTGTATGCTGTCCTGATTTGCGTGGAGTAGCTGTGGACACCAGGGATATGCCCGACGGCGGACCTGTGGACATATTGAATAAGCCCATGAATGTTTAGGTGCTTATGCAAACCTACCAAAGTAGCGCATATCTCCGTTGCCACCAACTATCGTGTCCCGAGGGCTTGTATCCGTTGCTGTCAAGGTCTGACCGGGGCTCGACTCTGTGAAGCTGTGAAACTCATGATGGGCTTGAAAATGTAACTGAGGATGTGCGACCGTTTGAACGACTACAGAGTCTGACAACAAGGTTGAAGAAGCATCGACTCCTTCAAAACTCTCTGACTCAATTGAATCGCCTGTCGAATGTCGAGGTGATACTTTAGATCGTCGTTGACGTGGATCGGGCTTGTCAACGTCTGCATAGTGGCAGTCATTTCCGCAACCTTGACAACGTCGACAAACTGGCCGGGTTCCGTCGCACCGGACCTTGCCTTTCCGACAATGATCGCATGCCTGGCACCACGGAATTAGTCAATACCCGTGCGAATTCTACAATGATACAGCAGCGAGTGATGGGTACCTTTGCAAGGCGACGTCGACGGTCGCCGCGGTTGTTCATTTTTCGGAGTTTAGAAGTCAACAGACGAGAATTCCGGGTCATGAGGGGATGGAATAGCCATTTCACGACCTTGTTTTGTGCCTCGGCTCTGTTCGCTAGTGCGCAAAACTCCGAGACTTGCGTGTCATAGCGTACCGAAACTCCGGACGGGTCCACCAAACGAGAAAAGGGAAAACCTGTATGTGAATCTCTATTATTACAGAGAATTTAATGTGTAAGACATCGAGAGTGGCTGAAAAAGTTCATGTGAATAGGTAGATTTGGTGGATAAGAGAAATCTGGAACTGGCACAGTGCAACACCAGTTGAGTTGGAATTTAGAAAGTGTGTAGATTGATAGATAGATAGATTGCTTAGGGTCTAGATGTGACTGCGTTGCAAGATAGAGGCAGGCGCTTCAACAACCTTATCTCTAAAGTAATCAATAAATCCCTTTCCGAACCCATCTAATCTCTTGGAGCTACTGACTCCACGGCCGAGGATACCATAGACGACAAAGTGCACAGCAAAGATCTTGGGAAACTCAACACGCTCGATGGAAAACTCTGGACGCCAGTCCTCTCCCAAAAGCTCTTGCACCTTGGCTCGAGACATATATGAGCGCAGCCAGTCCCACTTGGCCTGCGTATCAACAAACAACCCAAAGTTCAAATTTGCGCCCTTGTCTCCAGAACGGCCCAGGGCGATACTGCCCAATCGCACTTCAAGAACTCCACCATCAAGAGACGTTGGTGATTTGGTGTCATACGATGCCCTTTCTTCCATAATCTCAAACTGAGGAGGAGGCTTAGTCTTGAAAGATTTCGTTGTGCCGGTTCCGTCCACAAAATGGAACTTTTCTTCAAGTTCGGCTTGCTGCCAGAGGGCTGGATAATACGCCAGGTATGGACGAGGCATAGCAGAGCGGAAGTCCAAAGAGCTGTGAAACCCTACATAAAAGTTAGTAACTGTGGCATTATTTCCACTCCTTGGACAACCTTACCTGAGTAATGCTTCAATGAGATGTTTCCAATGGCCATCATAATCGCCTGGAGAGCTTCTGCCTTCGTTGACTGAGCGAAAATGCGGAGATAGACGGTTCCGCTGTTTTGGTTTGCAGGATTCACAGCTGGAACCCCAATCCTCTGAAACTCGAGAAAGTCGAGATGACTGAGCCTCTCTTCACCAAGATGAAAACGAACTTGCTTTTCAAGAAGGGCAAACTTTTGCTCAAATTTGTGACCTGTTGCGTTGAACAAGGCCTGCATTTCGTAGCCTCCTTTGTAAAACAGTGCGAGTTTAGTGGTATCTGGTGGTGGCGCACCGCGAACTCCGTGAACACGAACTCTTTGATCAAGTTAGCGACACTGGTAAGACTCGGGACCTTGCATACCTGTCTTGACCAACTTGGTCCATTTCAATATCTTCCAGGTAGGCCTTAACATCACTGTTGATGTACACATCGCCCTGCAACTCATATACGAGCTGAGACTTGCATGTATCAACAGTGACCATACCGCCAGTACCCTCATGCTTTGTGATGACACAGGAGCCATCTTGCGCAATCTCAGCAATCGGGAAACCCGGGTCAACAAAGTTGTCAAGATCAAAAGCGTCAAAGCCTGCAAAGTTACCACCGGTGACATAGGCTGAGCACTCAATCAAGTGCCCTGCGACTAGGGCACCGGCTAGTTCATCGTAGTTGATGTTGCTCCACGACCACCAGTACCATGCGCAGGCGATGACAGGGCTGGCATCGGAAGCTCGGCCGCATATAATGATGTCGGCGCCCTGTTGAAATGCTTCATATATGGCGTGGGCACCGAGGTAAGCATTAGCAGACACTATTTCCCGAGATTCATCGCCACCTTTGGCAAACATGTAGGTCTCAGGAGTAACAGTAACATGACTATTTAAGGAATCAAGATGAGCCAACGCGTTTTCTCTGTCTTGCGGCATATGTCTGCCGAGCTTGGGAAGCACGTTATCGCCGGAAACGTAGGCTACCTTGAGATCGTAAGCCTTCTCGGCAACCTGGTAGCGCGTTAGTCCACGATGTTGAATAGAAAAGTCTTGGGAAGGTCTTACCAAAGCTGCTACCTTCACAGCAAGACCTTCAGGATTCAGTGCTCCACCATTGATGGCAACTTTAATACGCTTCTCGGCGATGGTATCGATCGAGAGTTCAAGACCTTTCAATGCAGTAGCCTCGTAACCTGGATGTTGTCCTTTCGAATATGCCTCTGCATTATTGGCCATGTTGACCTCTGGTTCTTGTAAGAAACGCAGCCTATCTAGGTTCAGAGACCCCAACGCTTACCAGCAAGGTAGTCGCCAGTGATAAAGTCAACATCACCTAATGTAGCTTGCTTATACATCTCAATGGCAGGATCTCCTATAAAACTAACGGTCAGTAATATCTCGGCTATTGGTGACTTGTCGTACCATGGTAACCGGAACAGTTAGCCACTCGTACAGGCCTGATGCCGAATTCGCCAGCGCGCCATTCTTTGCTAGAATGCATCATGATTCTGTGCCTGTGACTACTTGAGTGAGGAGGTACGGTGTAGTGCGCTGTGTTGTATACAGTATAGCCACCAAGCCCTGCTCCAGGGGATAGGGTTGAGAAGCGTAGAGCATAAGCTATCTTTATATCACCCCGCAATTTCGGATGATGCGACTCTCAAGGCACAAGTACCATAACCGAGACAACCGGCAACCAGTACTCCGTACTTGAATATGTCGGTAATTTGTTCTATTAGTTGCTTGGTGACGTAACTGTCCCTGTGTTACAGTTGGCTGTGTCCCGAAGCCCGCCATCAAAATTCCGGTTCAAGACTCCGGAAGTAGAATCAAGCCCCAGAACTCCGGAGAGACCCGCCAAGCATTGCAAAGACATCATCGACTTGAAAGACAGTGGAAGAAATATTCGGTTCCAGTTAGCCGAGAGGATTACTTAAGTCCCCGGCTGTGACGTGAGATATAGCTTGACCTGCATCAATCTTGAGTTTGTTCTAAACTATCCTTGTACAACCTCAATTCCCAACAATCACCCCCTTACTCACCGACGCCATGTCGACTTACTCTATTTTCACCGAAACTAGTCGAATTTTACATAAAGTTCTCCTTCAGGATCCCAGATTACAACTTCCAGACTCTTTCGTCAAAGCCGCTGAGAAAGTCAAGTTTGTGGGAGAAGACGACCAACCTTTCATCCTCACACCTCTCAAGATTACGGAGTCAAGCGCGGCCCTCAATGCCCTCGTAGCAACAGCTGCAAATGTGGTCGTAGCCGAGCGCTATGGCATCGGCTACCAGAATGTTGAGATCAACACGGACCTTGCAACGCTCTTCCTTGAATCAGTGCTACTACCCACCATTGGCGGCAAGCACTTTACGCAGAACGGTAAGATGCTAGCAGAGCTTGCCAAGATGGACCTCCATCAGATGAGCAAGCCAGTCAGGCGATATGCGACAAATGTTTATCGTACCAAGGATGGAAGATGGTATCATCTGCATGGATCTATGAATGCCGTGCCCACGATGGACATGTTGGGTGTTGAGGACAGTGACGTTAGCACTGAAGAAGCGTTCCAGATCTATACGAAAAAGGTTGCACAATGGGATTCCCAGGATATCGAAAAGGTGGCCAACGAGAAGTACAAGCAAGCTGGTGTGATTTGCTATACGCCCGATGAGTTCTTCGCAAGTGAGCATGGTAAGATCATGTCGGAAGAACCTTTATGGACATCGACTCGAGTGCCAGCACCGAAAAGGACTTGGCCCGAAGCCAAAGACAGCCAGGACTATAGTCCACTCGCCGGTATCAGAGTCTTGGACTTATCTCGTGTTATTGCAGCTCCAGCAGTATCCAAGATCCTCAGTGTTCTAGGCGCCGATGTCCTCCGTGTCTCCTGCAACAGGCTACCCGAGTACTCGGCAACAATGCCGGATCTTCAGACTGGCAAGAGGGACGTTGACCTCGATCTTAAGACACTTGAGGGGCGGGAAACACTTTCTCAGCTTATAAAAGATGCTGATGTTCTTGTTGATGGATACCGTCCTGGTGCCTTGGCAAAGCTGGGTTTCGACTCCAAGTCTTTACGTGAGTTGAGCCCAAGTCTGATCTATATGAGGGAGAATTGTTATGGTTTCAAAGGGCCGTTGTCGTACCGTTCGGGATGGCAGCAAATCAGCGATTGTCTGGTAGGACTGTCATACCTACAGGGCAAATTTCTTGGTCTCGACGAGGCTGTTGTTCCACTTTTTCGTAAGTTGACCGTGTTATTAACTCTCATGTTCCCACTTCTGACATTGCCTCAGCCAACTCGGACTATCAGACTGGATTGGTAGGAGCCGCGGCTGCCATCCAAGCATTATTAGTCCGCACCCAAGAAGACGTCACTTTTGACATCGACATCAGCCTCACGCAGTACAACATCTGGTATTATCGTCTCGGCTCCTACTCCGAGGACCAGCAGAAGGCTCTTAGAAGCCGGGACCTGCACTTCAACCCTCGCCATTACGACGACATGAGTGCGCTCGTTGGAAAGACACATCAGTCGTTGCAGAAGATTCGCCCAGAAATATTTAAGCATCCCAAGTACTTCTGGGACATGAGTGGCAAGGAATACGGATTGGATGAGGACTTCAAAGTGCTGGCACCTGCATTCAAGTTTGAGAAGTCGAGTATTGGTTGGGATGTTCCGACCGGACGAAGAGGGCGGTCGAAGGCTGAGTGGGTATCATAAGCCTGCCTGTCGTTATAGTTGCTGGGAGATCACAGGCGTCCCCTGGAAGCAGTACAGTAGATTGAAAGGCATTCGGGAACGCAACGGCGTTGAGATGCCATGAACTTGTGACTCCGTCGGAGTGGTTATCTATTAAGATATAAGACCCGCGGGCCCCGATCAGCATGCCATGACTCTCATATAGCCGCCTGCCAATTTGAGACTACACAAGTTCTACCGATGATCATTAATGTTATGACCAATAGTCCACCAGTTGTGAAACGGAGCCTCGGACAGGGTCAGGATTATTCATGTGGATCGCCACCTGGACCATGACGCCACTCAATCCAACCGAGGCTCCGTGTGAAGCTGTACAGGTTAGACTTAAAAAGGCAAAGCGAACCCAGAGACTCTTGAGACGACTTCCTTATGAGTACTAGACTTGAAAGATTGCGGGGTATCAAAGCGCCTCTGATTGCTCCTCCTCGATTGAGTTAGTCGTTGAGTAAAGTATATCTACGTCTTTCGACCTCGTGATCCTTGAGCTCAATCATCAATCAACTGCCAAAGCCGAAGTCGAAATGTCTCAGCTCTGGGCCAACGTAGTCACTACCTATGATACCTTCACGATCGAGTTCGTGGGTAGCTGCCTTGTACAGATCATTTTCTGGTGGATTCCGTCAGCCGTTTTTGTTTTCCTTGATCATGTTGCCCCAGACTTTGCGGCGAGACACAAGATACAACCTCCACCAAAGCAACCTAAAGGCTCTGAGATCCTGGACTCTGTCCTGATCTCTTTGAGAAATCAGCTCATAGTCATTGGGCTGCAGCTATCCCTAGCCTTTCTGGCGACACAGCGGAATATGCCATCAACATTCCAGGTCACAGCATCGCTGCCATCTGCAAGCAGCTTCGTAAGCGACTTTGCTATCTGCTTAGTTGCTCGAGAGGTCCTCTTCTACTATTCCCATCGATTATTTCACATACCATACCTTTATCGTCGCATCCACAAAATACATCACAAATTCACAGCACCAGTCGCCTTCGCCTCACAGTATGCCCATCCCATCGAGCATATTGTAGCCAACACGATCCCCATTGTCCTTCCGCCCATACTGCTCAGAACTCACATCTTGACCATGTGGGCGTTTGTCGCTTGGCAGCTTATTGAAACGGCGACTGTTCATAGTGGCTTCGACTTCTTTGGAGGTGCAGCTTATCGTCATGATCGTCATCATGAGCGTTTTGACGTCCACTTTGGAGGAATGCCTTGGCTGGACTGGCTTCACAACACCGACGAACGAAAGAGATTGGAGAAGAAGAATAAGTAATTCTTTCATGACAAAACTATCTCGCCAAGATCAACATCTTGAAAGCGAAGTATCAAGCTATGTATGTTGCCCATATCAGATATCCCTCGAGATCGTTGTGAATGGATATTGCTAGAAGAATGGTGCGGATTGACGCCGCGCTCGAATTGGCTACAAAACAGATTCGCCAGACACCAATACTCGTCTGCATGAAGAAAGAACCCGAGTTTTGTTTGAGATTCATTTCCTTGAACGGAGATATAGTTGTCGGGGGTTGAGAATAAGTTATGATTGGACCAGACTCGAAACCAATTCCTTAGCCCTCGTGTGATAGGCAAGGACCTTGACCTTGGGTCTGGTCCATTCTGGTGATGGTATATGAGATTGTGGAATGCTGGATTGTGTCAGTAAGGTCGTTGTTATTTTATTGTCATGGAACTTACCACTAGCAATAGCAAATAGATTTAATGGGCTTATTGTCTCAAATACTTCCCATCGACTAGTACCGAAGTCTTCACCCATAATCATGGTAATACACTGAGACAACGTGACCTGGCTGCGCCCCAGCGATCTTTCTGCTGCGGCTTGGGTGTACATGAACCATGTCTCGGCATCTGGAGCATCAAAGTGCTCATCCGTAGCCGCGAGGCCAAATTGCAGTTCATTAATTACCATCTGGGGACTCATATCGTAGAATATCACGAACGCAGAGTCAAGAAGGAAGGTATATAAGAGGGTACGGATTAATTCCTCTCGTAATCCGAACGCTGTCCAGTGATCGTGGAGGTTGTGTGGAGTAAGGTATGCTTCCTCACGTGTTCCAGGCATCGCGAAGGGATACAGGCTGCGGGATACGAAGACGATGTCAGGAAACCGTTTCCTGCGAGCTCTGAGTCTCATTTTTGTGTCACCTTCCCAATTCATGAGCAGAAGAATACCATAAGCAGCCTGCAATATGTTAAGGCGCTGGCGAACTTGGCAATCCTGGCCGTCATCGTCTGTTTGAGCAATACTGTCTTCGCTGAAATCCGGGTCCTGGAAGATCCAGTTCTCGACTGTCTCCAGCCACATCATTGCCTGATCATGGTGCTTTCTGTCGGGACTCAAGGAAGCTCCGATCAGTGAGAGAGCCGCAATCAACTTTGGCGACTTTACTGTAGAGTCAAAAGTCGGTCTATGGAAGACGGGCCAGTTTGGATGCCAGGTTTGAAAGAACAAAGTCAGGAATAACTCAATATTTCTTGGAGAAAAGAATCTCGAACAAGACAGTTTTCGGGAATTGTACCATTTGAAATCGGGCGATTGAGATGATGCTTCCAAGACGCCTCTGACAATATATTCACATTTGTTTGACAAGGAGTGTTGTCCTGTCAACCCTTGCTGGGGCTGTGTCCGTTGGCCTATACTTACCCAAGGCGATGTGACCGGCATTCCAGGAATGGCTACTGGTTCAGGAGAGGGCCGGCTACCATATTGTAGGAGGTCAGAGTGAGTCTTTGTGCTGGCGCAGATATTGTCGCAGTTGAATGAATTCGCCAGACCGTGGGACGAAGTAAGTCTGGCAAGAAAGCAGAGACGCATACGGGGAAAGGTCGGCTTTGGTGTCAGCAGCGACAGCGACGGGCTATGATACGAAATTGGCCAATCATCTTGTGGTAGATAAGAGCCAGATTGTGGCATCAGAATTGAGTTGCCATCCGTCTCAGAAGCTGCTTGAGGTTGCACAATTAGGACAGGATGAAATGAGGTGACCGGCGTCGAGTCCGAAACCCAGTCATGTTGTGATAGGAATAGTGGCCCGCGCTGCACTTGCAGGTCCTGTCCTGATAGAACCTGGTGCTTTTGCTGGCCTTTTCCCACTTTCAGTGGAAATATTAAGTCATCCTTCTTTGGTGTTTGGACATAACTGCAATCGTGATTCTGCTTGGCGCAAGCTTTGCAAGGTCGCGATCCCGTGCATCTCCTTTTCAACTTGACGCATCTTTCACAAGAAATTTGCGGTCTTCCTCGCTTCTTCCAGTCCAGAGATGGAGGCGGTAAACCTGATTTGAGGCGTCTGTCACAGGTTCTCCAATGACGAAGGAGTGCATCTCTGATGGCTATGCTTCAGCCATTGAAATCAAAAAAGAACAATCGAGCTTAAACTAACCGGCGATTGAATCCACGACTGCAGTCTTGGCATTGGTAAGACCTTTCATCTGCGTCTGAGCCCTCGTTGCTTTAGTATTAATGCTCTACAACGACCAGGCTGCAACAAGCTTACGCGACAGGTAATGTCGATTAAGGTGGTCTTGACGAAACATTGTTAGTGAGCGCTGCACCCTATCAAACAGCTTGATTTCAAACGGCATACCTGATTTTGTGAACCCGGCAGAGCAAATAGGACAGCAATGCTGGGACTGATTATCAGGCATGGTGTTGACCGAGGTCATCAGGTCGGGCCAGGGAACTTGGGCGGCAGTACCAATTGGAAGAAATAAGCGATGCAAGCTAGCAATCCAATGATAGAGAAGTCACGGGTCACGAAGTCCACAATTGATGGCAGAGACGAGCCTGAACAAACTGGACTGCAGGATTCGATGTGCCCATGCAACTAAAAGCTGGTCAAGATGCACACGTGGAGGCGGGAAATCTGCCACCCCCGCAAGAGAGATCGGCATCCCGCCTCATCCCCACGATCTAAGTTAGTCTAGTGTCTAGATATCGAAACCCCGCAAAAGCACAGCCTTTCGGTTCCCACTGAGAGGCATTTCGGCATTTGTTCGCGGCATCCGGGATTTGGAGGAATAATATCTTCCTGTCATTAATCGCACTTCTTCCACTTGAAATCATCAACGTTCACTATCGCCAACTTTCATCTCAAGCTAGTGACAATTGCCCTTTACATATTACGTGGACTCAAAACAGCCCTAAATTAGCTCTGGCAGCAGCGCAGAATATGGGAGACGTGGCAACTGAAAAGCCTTACCATCGGGTAGCTACCGTGGTAGTAAGTAAAATCGTGATATCAAGTGTTTGGTTCATCAGCGACTAACGATAACAAAGCGCTCAAATGACGGTTTCCAGTTCAAGATCAACTCAGTTCCAATCCCAAAACTCCAGCCATGGGAAGTGCTCGTTAAACTCTCTGCTACTGGCGTCTGCGGCACTGATATGGCCCTTGCAGGTGGTTACCTCGGTCCATGCCGTGAGGTGCTTGGTCATGAGGGCGTGGGCCGCGTTGTGCAAGTTGGCTCTGGAGTAGATCCCGAGGGTGTCAAGATTGGCGATAGAGTTGGTATAGCTTGGGTCAGGGATGTCTGTGGTCGATGTAACTGTTGTCGTCAGCCCGGCGGTGAGGTTCGTTGTCTGGAGCAGCAGAACTCAGGACGGAAGTGGGATGGAACCTTTGCAGAGCACTGCATTGTACCGAGTCGTTATGTATTGACGATACCCGAGTCAAAAGAGCTGCCAGATGAACTGGTTGCACCAACACTGTGCGGTGGCGTTACCGCATATAAAGCACTCAAAGCTTGTGGAGCGACACCGGGAGAATGGGTTGCTATAGTTGGAGCTGGAGGTGGTGTTGGGGGTCTGGGGATTCAGTATGCAAGAGCCATGGGATTCCGCGTTGCGGCTGTGGATATTGGGTCTGCAGAAGAGTCATGCATCAAGATGGGAGCCGACGCATACTTTGATGGAGCATCCCCTGACACGCCGGCTGAACTGAGGAAGCTTACCCCTAATGAAGCTGGAGCCAAGGCCGTTATTGTCACTGCAGGGTCAGGTCGAGCCTACCAGAACGCCCTTGATCTTGTTGCAGTGTTTGGCACTCTAGTCTGCGTTGGCATTCCCCCACCAGATCAAGCGATGAGTCTCCATCCGCTAACTCTCATTGACCGTGGTATCAATCTTCTGGGAACATTAGTGGGAACACGAACAGAAACACTTGAAGCTCTCGAGTTCGTGCGAAGAGGCGTGGTAAAACCTATTGTGGAGTCGGTTAACTTTGACCAGCTCGACGATTTGGTCAATCAATTCTCCAAGACAGCTGGAAAATTAGTTATACAATTCCCATCATAGGGTTTATTCTCTGTTCTTTTGTCGTTTCGAGGTTGTTTTACTAGTGGATCAGAAGATAACATAGACCTTGAATATCAGTTAATTTCATTATGTAAATAGTTAATTAAAATCTTTCATTGCAGCTCTTATAAACGCCACTGCCAGTGCTCTGTAATGATCTGATATGAGAGCAAATTGAGACAAGCGATAAAGGGCAAATCTCTTCGGATCGCCCAAAGAACGTTTAGCACGTTGCATGCATTTCTCTTTTTGAAATAAGTCGTATCCTGAGCAGATCTTTGCCGGTTCACGCCAAAGGATACATGAAAGTTCGGCATCAGGACGGGGACATATGCACATGTCGGACAATTCCCCACCTCCGCCTCGATGCTGTGTAACCTAATGTCGGCCGAACGGGAAAATACCCACCACTGTCCCAACCAAGTACCAAGGTTCACGCATACCAAATGCGCGGCTACTTGTTACGGGGATTTCTATTTAAGGCCTGCTCGAATAGTAATTGGGTTTACTTACTCTAAGTTTGCCAATTTTTCACATAGTATACCATCACCATCAGAATGACTACTGTCAATCCTCTTGTTCTGCCTCCTGGCATTGCACCATCTGTTTTCCAACAATTCATTTCAGAAGTCACTGAAGTTACAACCGCTGAAAATGTTGTCATCATTTCCAAGCCTAGCCAGCTGGACAAGCAGGACTACCGCGACCCCAGCAAGATGCATGACATGTTTGACATAACCTCGAAGCAGCATTTTGTCTCCTCGGCAGTCATCACTCCCCGCGACGTAGGCGAGGTTCAAGCAATCGTCAAGCTGTGCAATAAGTTTGAGATTCCGCTTTGGCCATTCTCCATTGGCCGAAATGTTGGGTACGGCGGTGCGGCTCCCCGTGTACCCGGCTCGATTGGCCTTGATCTTGGCAAACATATGAACAAGATCTTGAAGGTTGATGTTGATGGTGCATATGCTCTGGTTGAACCCGGAGTTACATATGCAGATCTTCATCAGTACCTAGTGGACAATAACCTTCGTGACAAGCTGTGGATTGATGTTCCTGATCTTGGCGGCGGATCCGTGCTTGGAAATACTACAGAGAGGGGAGTTGGCTACACTCCGTATGGTAAGTCATCTTATCGTTATACCGACCAAGCATTGACGCCCTGTAGGTGATCACTTCATGATGCACTGCGGCATGGAAGGTAAGAGCTCTGATACAGCTACCTCATTGCAGGATGCCTATGACTAACTCCCCAAAGTTGTACTTCCCGACGGCACACTAGTCCGTACGGGAATGGGTGCTTTGCCAAACCCAGATGCAGATCCAAACGCCCCTCCACACGAGCAAGAGCCCAACTCGGCATGGCAACTGTTCAATTACGGTTTTGGTCCCTACAATGACGGCATCTTCACTCAGTCCTCTCTTGGTATCGTTGTCAAGATGGGTATCTGGCTCATGGTAAACCCTGGCGGGTATCAGTCATATTTAATCACTATTCCTAAAGATGAGGATCTTCATCAGGCCATTGAGATCATTCGACCACTGCGGACTTCAATGGTGCTCCAAAATGTCCCCACTGTTAGACATGTACTTTTGGATGCAGCTGTCATGGTATGGGCCCAGCTTAACCACTTGAGCCCGGCTGACAACAACTGCAGGGATCTCGAGACAAGTACACGACTTCGAAAAAACCGCTTAATGATAAGGAACTCGATGAGATCGCGGAGAAGCTCAACCTAGGCCGCTGGAATTTCTATGGGGCGCTTTACGGCCCTGAGCCCATCCGGAAGGTTATGTGGGAAGTTGTCAAGGGTGCTTTCTCGGCCATCCCCGGGGCTAAGTTTTATTTCCCAGAGGATATGCCTGACAATGTTGTCTTGCAGACTAGAGATCTTACCCTGCAGGGAATTCCCACCATGACTGAGCTTGAATGGGTGTAAGTTCTGCATCTCTCCCGACATCAAACTTGACGTATTAACCGCATTTCAACAGCAACTGGCTGCCCAATGGAGCTCACCTGTTCTTTTCCCCCATCGCCAAAGTCACGGGCGACGACGCGGTCGCTCAGTATGCCTTAACCCGCAAGCGTTGCGAGGAAGCTGGTTTCGACTTCATCGGAACATTTGTCGTCGGAATGAGGGAGATGCATCACATAGTGTGTCTTGTTTTTGACCGTCTTGATCCGGACTCATGCCGTCGAGCGCACGCCCTCATCAGTCAGTTAATCGATGACGGAGCGAAGAAGGGCTGGGGTGAGTATCGCACTCATTTGGCATTGATGGATCAGATTGCGCAGACTTACAATTTCAACAATAATGCGCAGATGCATCTCAATACGACAATCAAAAATGCATTAGACCCCAAGGGAATTTTGGCGCCTGGGAAGAATGGAATATGGCCAAGCGGCTATAACGCAAAGGACTTTGCTGTAAGTCCACAGCGCTTTACAAAGCTGTAGCAGGGTAATAGTATAGATTCTTAAGATAAGGAGTGAGATTGAATAGAACAGTCTTGGTTTTGATAAATGCTTTCCAACCATACTTGACCTCTTCTCATGCTTACATCTTGGCTTGGGCTGGCTCCTTGGCTAGCTGTGCACGGAACTGCTTAGTCAATTGCCTAATCGCCAAATCCAACAGGACATCCTCGCTTCCACCAGGAATCCTGGCCCCAGGAACTTCTCGATATATCTCTATATCGTCGTGTCAGTTCTCTGTCTCAGAATCAAAACATCTACTGGATAACTTACTCTCGGCAATCTCTCCCTTGCCCGTACGCGTATAACCGTTGCCTCCGAACAATAGAACAGCACATCTCGCACACTCGTCAAGAACAATGCCAGCGTTGGCCTTGCACAGAGCGGTCAAGCCACCGAGCTCTTGGTCTGCCGTTTCCTTGGGCATCTTGGAGAGCTGGTATGCAAACGATTCTACCCAGGCCCATTGCGACTCCAGGATTGCACCACATTTAGCTAGTCGGTGACGTACCACGGGCTGTTCCATGAGAGTCTTGACAATGTTAGCTGTCAATCATATCTACTCCATATTCTGAACCGACCTTGTTGAAAGCCTTGCGCTGAAGACAATATGCAAAGGCGCTGCTCAAGGCGACTCGAGCCTGACGGGTGACACCAACAGAGATGAACATACGCTCGTGGTTAAAGTTATGCATGATATACTTCATCCCGTCGTTCTCACGCCCTATCAGGTTTTCCCGTGGAACTCTCACATCATCAAGTTCAATAAAGGAGGTTCCGGCCACAATCTGCCCTGCAACTTTAAGTCGTCTCCTGGTCACGCCAGGATAGTCCTTGAGCGGGACTAAGATTAAAGAAATGCCTTTTCCTCCAGAGTTCTCCCCACCAGTTCGGACTGCCATGCTAGCGTAGTCAGCCATCATTCCATTGGTAATCCACTTTTTGGACCCGTTAATGATATATTCGTTGCCACTCAGAGTAGCCGTCGTGGTGATGTTCGCGACGTCAGAGCCAGCACTAGAGATGGGATTAGTAAAGCTCTCATTGAGTGACATCTTGAACCCACTCTGGCTCCGTAATAGCAATACAGATTCTCTTTCGCCCGAGTAGGAGATCTGGGAGAAACCTTTCTTGTAGCTGAGGCTCTGCATAATGCAACAGAGGGGGGATACCAAAAGCAACGCCAGTGGTGATGGAGCCAGGTGGCCCAGCAAGGCCAGAGCGGCTCATCTAGTGTCCAATACAGTCAGCATCATGAGGAATAATGCACTCGAGTGGCGTCAAACCTCATCTGCATATATCATTGTATGCAAAGTGTCCCATTCCTCCACAGGTACCTGGCCGGGCATGTGGGTTATGCCTAGCTTTCGTAGCCATTCTACAGGTAAAGGCGCTGGCAAAGACGGCAGGATAAAGTTACCCTTTGCAAAGACCTCGAATAAGTTAGATGGCACCTCCTCTGCTGTTTCCCAGTCCAGGGCATGCTTGTTAAGGTTCTCATCAACGAATTCGCGACAAGCAGCCTGGAATCTGCGATGCGACGCGTTGAAGTACGGCGACGGGGCGCCTCTAAGCCACGGAGGGTCTGCGAAGGGGACTTGGTGAACGGCAGGTCGCATTTTGGAGGTGGTTTGGAGATAGCAAGAGTTTTACAACACTTAGGTTAAGATATATTTGAAGAATTGCACGCTTGTATATATAAACAGTATTTCAAGGCGTCCAACGCCAGTGGCAGTGGCGGGGTTTTCCTATTGAGGAAACTTCCTCGGCATAACTGTCTGGACTACCCCAAGCCAGCCGAGGCTGATTTTCGAATTTTCCCACCCACTCAAATGTCTCATTCCGGGTCCGATCGACATGACATGGACGCGCCGAACGTTACAGCTACTGAGAGCCATTTCAACTAATCGCGGGCATTAAGAAGCCATTTATTTCACCCCCGTCGTATGCGAGAGTTGATTTCTTCAGCAGCGACACGTATCTGCGACTTGTAGACACCTTGACAGCTGCGAGTGAATGCGTCTGTGGCAGCGTCTTGATGTTGACGTATATTCTTGTCCCAGCTTGGGCATGCCGCTCGCATACCATCTGTATGCTATGTTCCACTTCCGCCACTGCCGTCGTGAGCGTCCGATTATTGTCTATCTTCAATCGACCTATCATAAATATCAATATCCTTATAGTTTAAATGGCGTTTCAGCATTTGTCAGTGTCTCCAATCCAATAAACAGTGGAGGTTCGCTGATACCCGCTGGACGCTGACTCAATAATACGTTCTTAGTAAAAGGCATCTTGTGGCCCCAGTTAAAGGCCAGTGCATTGTAAGCTGGCTCTAACACTGCTGAAGTTAGCGCGATAGTTAATATTCTCAATGATAGTATAGGCACTAACTTGGATTCATTGTGTCAGGAATAGTGCCATTACACAGCCACTTAGGAACGGGTTTCGCTTTTGAATCCAGTGCAGTATGTAGCTCGAGGGCCGCCTTGACACGCGCACCAACGTCTGTGGATCTCCACACGTCCATACCTTGGATACGCAGCGTCTCGGCAATGTGGGAGATGGATGAGATGCCAAAGCTGGTGTGTGCAAAATCTCGGCAGGTCTCCTGCGTGATGCCACTAATTGGGAAGGCTTTTTGATTGTACCAGTACTTGATAATCTCCGCGGTGGTATTGATCCCACCACGGCCTTGCACGGGATACTCCCCATCAGAGGTCAGGTAGATGTACGCGGGAACCCGGCTGGAGAACAACCCCAAGGACTTTTCGTACAGAGCTGCATCTTCAAGGAAGACGGCAGCCCCTATGGTAGACTCAATCATCACTACAAGCGTCAGCAGATCCGCTAGTGACAGTAATACAGAAGAAGTGGACCTACCTAGTTCCCAGTTTCCATTCTTCCGCGGAGCACCATCCTCGATGAGGGGGATGTAGGCGTGCCGTAGCATGTCAGAGAACGTGCTGATACTCTTCTTGGACCAGTGTTTATAGCTCGAGCGCATGATTTCACCTGCACGTACCCAATTAGCGGCCGACCAGGCCGCCTGCAGTGGTGCGTTGCTGTTGTTGTGGCCTTGGATCGTGCTGGACCAGGCATCCATATAATGGATGGATTTCTTAGCATAGTGCTTGTCCTTCGTAATCCACCATGCCAATGCGTTGATATATGCCGCCATGGAATCCTCGCGCTCTTGATAACACCCAATGTTGGGCGTTGATGTCGGTCCGCACTCAACCGTCTTATATGGCTCAGCCGTTCGCGTAGGTGAGATATACGACATGTTGAGCATGGAATCTAATGCATCCGTCCAAGGATTCGTCCTAGCCGCGATCCTCTTTGAAATGTAGTCGAGCTGCGGTCCGGAAACGAAAACTCCCGGATGAACCCATGCCTTGGGTGCCTTAGTTGGAATGGGAGAATAAGGTGTCGCGTTACTATTACTTGCCGCGTATACAGATTTAAGGGCAAAGGAAGATTCTAAGCCAAGCACTAGGAATTGGAGCTTCATCTTGCTAGTGAAGATAGTAATAATTTAGATTGGTAGGTAAACGTATAACGCTGCTGCTAACTACACATAGCTCTGTTAGCTATTTTATACCGCATTTGTGTTAATAGTGCCTAAGGCACTAACCTTACAGTTTCCACCAATAACAATTCAGTAAAATTCGAGATTTCCCACTAATTAGCTAGCCCGCTTTGTTCTTCTTACTTAAAGTGCTGCTATAACCTTTTAAGTATAAGGACAATAGCTAATTCCGCACGCGGAACTATGCGTCTCGGTCTTTACTCTAGCCTTTTTAGATAAGGTATAGATAGACAAGCAAGGCAGACTCGACTTAGCTTTTGCTTAATTAAGCTGGAAATAGCCTAGTACGTTAACCTAGCCTTATTATTTGGAACTGCCATACTTAGTTGTTGTGGATTAATTGATCAAATAATGATAATATGGAAGAGTCGATTCGTGGGACATTGGCTTGTCTGGGATATTCGCTTATCAATCACGTTACGCCATCTGCGGTATAATCAAAACACACCGTTACAAAAGGACCGTCCGCTCCACAATAATTTCTGACGCATCTCTTTTTGCTGCAGCGGCTAATCTACTTCAGGAAGATCGAGTCATCGCAATGTGGTCACGCGCACTCACTCCTGGAGGAGTCCGCGAGCATCTGAAGCTTGTATGTAAGAGCCTCAATTTTCTAATAATACCGCGACCAAGAAGTGTTCCAAGAGACATAGACCACCAACACCCTGAAGCCGAGTCCTCTAAGCTTTTCAGACTCGAGTATATCAGCATGTACGACCTTGTCGTAGTTGGTCATGGCATTGCCGGCCTCGCCGCTGCAGTATCAGCTGCAGAATTCTCGCCCTCGGCGCAGATAGCCGTGCTAGAGCATGCACCAGAGCATGCGAGCGGTGGAAACTCACGCTGGAGCCCTGCCAACATGCGAATGCCATCTGTCAATGAGGTATTACCAGGCTTCGTGGACGACATGGTGGCTGCAAGCGGAAGTGGTGGCGACCGCGCGTATTTCGAAAGGCTGGCCAGCCAGGCCCCTGAAGCCCTCCAATGGCTCGAAAAGCAGGGGGTGCAGTTTCACGCCATGGACTATTTCTTGAAATCTTGGCCTAACAGGATCCAGCCTATTGGCAAAGGTGCTGCGATTGTCGAAGCCCTCAAGCAATCAGCCAAATCGAAGGGTGTCCAACTGGTGTATAATTGCCGTGCCCAGCGACTTCATCTTGGCCGAGGACAGGCCATGATTGAGGCAGCTGATGGGCGACGAATAATTGCCCGGTCTGTTGTGCTCGCCAGTGGTGGGTTTCAAGGCAGTCCAGACATGCTGCGTACTCATCTTGGTCCTGGTGCGGAGACATTGAGACCGATATCACCTGGGACGGCCTGGAACACCGGCGACGGCATCCAGATGGCGCTGGCCAACGGAGCCAAGGCCTCTGGCGATTGGAACGGAATGCACAGCGAAGTAATCGACCCACGGAGCAGTCAGCCAGCGCCACTGGTCCTCAATTACCCGTACGGGGTTGTGGTGAATCAGGACGGAAAGCGGTTCGTAGATGAAGGTGCTGGACTCGTGCATGACACGTGGGAGCATCTTTCCAGAACCATACATTTTGACACACCGGGCCGCTTAGCCTGGGCAATTTGTGATTCCAGATTTTTTAAATTGGAGGATCATGAGGCAGCTATCCGCTCCGATATGCCGCCGGTGACAGCGGACACGATTCCTGGTCTGGCGGTACAGATGGGGATGCCGGAACAAGCGCTTCTGAACACAATCTCAAACTACAATGCAGCCTGTAACGCAAACATGTCTGGCTTTACCGCGGGCCGGCTTGATAATCTCGCCACTACCTCAGGCTTGCAACCATCGAAATCGAACTGGGCTAGGCCGCTCGACGCTCCGCCGTATACCGCATTCCCCTTAGCCGCGGCCATTGTCTACACTTTCGGCGGCATTGCGACTGATGTGGAAGCGCGCGTTCTTGGCCAGAGAGGCATCATTCCTAATCTATATGCTGCAGGTGAGATTACTGGCCATTTCTACGAGAAGGCTCCAAATGCAGTGGCCGTTATGCGGGCACTCGTCTTTGGACGTATTGCTGGCCTCCATGCCATAAGCTCCCATCAGACAGAGAGAAGTGTACCGTTGGGTTAGTAGGGTCAGTAGGGTCAGTAGGGTTAAAGGGTTAGGTATTGGTTATTTAAGCTATTCTGCTTATATTATTTTACAGTAGTAGTTTTTAAGTTATGAGAAATAAAATAGAATACTTTAATAGTAATATATACTAGTCTATGCCTGTAAAGAGGTGTTATGACTATAGTAGTTACGTTACGTATTACCTATAAATTTTCTTACTAATTATCAGGAACTAATAACTCCTATCTTAGCCTATAACTAAAGTACTAATTAAACACAGACTAAGGATTTACTATTACAGTCTAGGACTAAACCCTAAACATCTTAGTCTTTAAACCTTAATATACTAATATATTATTTAGCTAGTATATAAAAATAATTATTTAGTATTAAATAGAACTTAGCTTACTAGCT